GGGCTATCAAGCAGGAGATCTACAGCAGGCGATCGAGGCTTGGAAGGTGTTTTCGCATTATAGATGCTGTTTCGGGCGGCTGTCAGGGAAGGAATGGAACATTCCGTTCGTTCCACGATTGGTGTCATAAAGGGAAGGCGATTCTGGGCCATGACGGCAGGGTCACGGTAGGTACCCCATGGTGGAGCATAGTCCTCGGGCATTTCTGGCACGAATCCTTTCCTTTCTGGTGTTCCATGCGAGGAACTAGCTGCTCCTTCACTTGCGACAGATTGGGACGTCAGCTCGGCATTCTCAATATCGGGAATGTCGCGGTTGGGGTCGAATTCTGTCCAATCGCCCCCGTCAACACTGTCAGCTCGTGTGGTATCGGCGTATTCGGTGTCATCGTAGGATTTGTGGAATGTTGTTTGTGTTTCATCATCGCCAAAGTCACTCGAGGCCGCTGAGATGTGACCTGTGCCCGTGCTATCTCCCGTACTGGCGCAGTCCTCGTCCTCGTAATCACTACCGCAGAAGCTATCGGCATCTGCTTCAGTTTCTGCCTTCAATGGCTGATTGAAGATGCTATAGATCTCATCAGTCGCCGCACGAGTGTGCATGGTCATTGTCGGCTCCCGGGTGCTCTTCCGCCGGGATTTGGATTTGGACGGTGAGTCGAACTTCATCTTAACTATACGGATTATAAGATTAACCGGCTCAGAACAAGCGCACGGGTTGTATCGGCTTACCGGTCTGAGTCTGTGTCGTTTCCCCCTTGACCTTGGTGCGTCTTGATTTGTCTGATTTGCCTTCATCTTGATCGTGAGACTGGGAATGTCCACCTATCGTCAGATTCTGAACCAAGTGCTCCGGTAGCTCTTCTGTATTGGTATTTTCTGAAAGAGATTCGACGCTTCCTGCATTCCCCGAGATTTGTTGCAAGGGCTCTTTCTGTTTCTTCCAATTCTTGTCCATCCACCCACGTCTAATGGATCTGAGTTCTTCGAAACTCATTTCATACGCCGGGTTTTTCCGATCTGGGTATACTGATTTCAAGTCGACGAATACACGCTCTCGGCGGCCGGTGCGCGGGTTGACCGCTTCCCTTACATGATGTTCAGGTACTTGCTTGGGAGGCATTGGTTCTTTGGTAGGTAAATCTGGTTTGGACTGAATACATAATAAAAAACCATAGGGTTATGCCAGCAATTAGTCCTGTGATCGTAAATATGTGGAGGTTCGTAAAGAGAAAGGTTAACCCATAGTGAACACTTACCTCGTCCCTGAAAATAGCCATCTTCTGTGATGGTGCTGCTTTCTTGCCAGCCTTCAATGTTTCACCAGCCCATGGCTTCGCCTCAACTTCATTCTCCTTCTTGCGGTCCCGAATTGATCCAATGCTGTCCCATCCCTTTGTTGCTCCACCAGTTGCTGGACCCGGCGCAGCGGAATCGGCGTCTGAGAAAATAGCCATCTTTGACTTTCCGGATTTCGTCTTGGGGGCAGCCGAGGGTGATGCCCGTGAAACTTGTGGGTCAGCAGAGCTTTCTGATGAGGCGAACGGATCCATTTTGGCGGCCAGCGCTGGACGAACGGCCGGCAAAGCGGGCGAGGATGGCCCCGCATCTTGTGGTCGTCGTTCGTATCGATCTTGGAACTCGCTGTACTTCCTCGCCAGTCTCTCGACGGGTCGCGCTTCGCGGTCCATGCCGAGCCTGTATACCTCGTCGGCTTGTGACCACCGTCCAGCACCCTCTAGCCAACCAGCAAAGTCCTCGTAGAAAAGAGCTAGACTTTCACCAATGCGATGACGCGCGAGGAATGCAAATGTCTCACGCGGGGCGTCGGAGAAAAGTCGAATGTAATGGAGCCATAGACGCAGATACCGAGGGTCGTTTCTGTAGTGTGATGATGACAAGAATGATTTCGTGGCTCGCTCCAATAAAGGAAGAAGACCAGAGTCTGGGGTCGCTTGTGCGGATGGGTAGGCGTTCAGTGTCCATTTAACGTAACGGTCGTAAACATCCAGCGGATCGTCTGATTCTCCGATCGACTGGAGTTCTCCTTCGAATTCTTCGCGCACAGCATCGTTGAGTGTCCTGGTCGCGTTCGGAGACGGTGATGGGATCTTGTCACTGTTGCTGCCAGCTGAAAAGATGCGGGCAAGCTCTCTTGCTGATCGACCACCGGGGAGTGATTGAATGTTTTCCTTCTGATTCTCGATAATGTCGAAATCGACTAGATCGTCGGAGGCCGCCATGACGACAGATGAGAGATCCGAGAGAGCCCAAAAATTGTCGAGATAGAACTGAAGTGACAACTTTGTGTGGAGGGGAGGTGTTATCGATAAACATCACATGACCGTTGCCCCGGAGATACACCTGTTCTCTGTCCTTGCTGGATCATATTGACAGCATTGAGCAGATACTCCAAAAGATCATATCGGACAGTACCTTACTTTATTAGCTAAGAACCTTTTACCTATGTCTATCTTGTTCCTTGACATTTATAGCGACGGGAGCCAATTCCGATCGACACGAGGCTTGGCAAAATCAGCCAACCTCTTCGCCTCTTCGATCGAGTATCCGCTCTTGGAACCTGCAACATTGTGAAGGACGCCTTGAAATAAGATGTGCTGCCAAACACCTGAGTCGCCGAAGCGTGAAGAGTCTGAATCAAAGGCTAATCACAAAAGAAACCTCAGCAGTGGCACATCTGATGCCTCGCCTATGAGAAGATCCAAACGACAGAAATCAAGCATCAACCTCAAGGAGCTGTCTTCTCCCGAGGTATCGGAAGCAGAGGGCGAAGTTACCTCTCCACCGGTCAAAGAAGAAGCCGTTTACGCACCTGCCCCTGTTGCTGTCCCCAACCGAAAGGCAAAGAAGCCACCAGTCAAGAAAGAAGCCACCGGGGACGCTGATAGCGCCAAACCTGTCAAGAAAGCGAGAAAATCCAAGAAAGATCAGGAGGCTGAAGCTATGCCTCTGGCAGCTCGGGCGCAGGGTCTGCGTATGTTCATTGGCGCACACGTCAGTGCTGCGAAAGGTCAGTTCTCAAATCGGATGAGCTGCAACTTGATATTGATCTAGAAATTCTTGAGCAGGCGTCTTCAATTCTATTCACAACAGCCATAACATTGGGTAAGCTTGCGCTTCTATCCGTCGTTGGTTCGAAACTCAACTAAGTATGGAATTAGTGGGAACGCATTTGCGTTGTTCTTGAAGTCGCAGAGAAAATGGGACAACCCAGCACTATTAGATGATCACCGTGATCAATTCCGTCAGCTATGCGCAGAAAAGGGCTATGATGCATCCAAGTAAATCCCCATGATCACTATCATTCATCATAACAGATCACTCATGCTCAGTCCAGGCACATTCTTCCACATGGCTCGTATCTCGTGAACCTGGCCCAAAGTGACACTGCCAAGTCCAAGCAAGCATACGCCTCATTCCTAGATGACCTTCGCCGTTGCGAAGCCCTTGGAATCTCTCTCTACAACTTCCAGTTAGTCAGCCATCCCTCTAATCACACCTTTACTAACATCCCCAAGCCCCGGAAGTACCAACCAAACCCCTCTCCCAGAGGCGCTCGCACGCCTAGCCAGCACCCTCACTCAAGCCATCACCGAAACAACAACAGTAATCCCCGTGCTAGAGACAATGTGCGGCCACGGCAACACAATCGGCGGAGTCCTCTCCGATTTCCGAGATCTCCTAGCTCTAATCCCAAAGGAACATCATTCACGCATCGGTATCTGCGTAGATACCTGTCACAGCTTCGCAGCCGGCTACGATCTCGCCTCCCCAGAAGGCTTCAAAGCCTTCCTCGCGGAATTCGACGAGCTAATCGGCATTCAGTTCCTCAAAGCCCTACATCTAAACGACTCCAAAGCTCCTCGCGGCAGCAAGCGAGACCTGCACGCCAACATCGGCACCGGATTCCTCGGTCTGCGTGCATTCCACAATGTCATGAACGAGCCCCGTTTCGAGGGCCTACCCATGGTTCTTGAAACGCCTATCGATCGCGTCCCAGAGAAGTCTACAAGCGATGAAGATGCCGGAGATGGTATTGAAGTGGAAGGCGAGAAGAAGAAGGGTGCAAAGAAAGGACCGAAGCGGCCTGCAGGGGCGGGTGCAGCTACTGTTCAGGATCCTGGTGTTTGGGCACGTGAGATTAAGCTGCTCGAGTCGCTTATCGGGATGGATCCTGAGGGTGAAGAGTTCAAGGCTCTTGAGGCTCGGCTTGAGGAGGAGGGTCGTGCGGAGCGTGCCAAGTATCAGGATCAGTATGAGCGGAAGCTTGAGGCGGTTGAGAAGAAGAAGGCTAAGGGGCATGCTAAGCCCAGGGGTCAGAAGAATCTTATGGATATGATGAAGGGGGATGCGAAGAAGGAGTAAATGTGCGGATATTGATCCCAGATTGGGAGCACAGCATCACATATTTTCTTTACGGTACAGTCTTTTGATTGTTTGGATAACTCGCAATAATAGTACTGGGAGATCCTCCCTTGGCATCCAGCACTAAAAATGAACAAAAATGAATTGAAAAGATGCTAAATTGGAATCAAATAGACTGTAATGCTGAGTAGATGACCGCGCGCACCGAGGCAGTATGTATGAGTGGAGACTACTTGTACATCAAAATATTTAGTTGCTATACAATGATATCATTATCTAGATCAAGAACAGGCTGCAACGGCAGCAGCAATTGAGAGATTGAAAACGGTGTATAAGTGAAAGAAATTGAATTGATGGTATCAGTGAAGTCCAAGGCCAAAGGCCAACAACAGCGTCATGCGAAAAAAGTAACTTATATCCTGGCCAGTCCAGAATTAGACCAGCTCGTATCTGAAAGGAGACATGCAATCCAAGAGGCACGCTTCGGAGGTCAGACCAGCCAACAGAAGGTTTATAGGTGGCATACAACCGTCACATGGAGGGGAATATAGGGTAGATAAAAATAAGAGATGAGTAGGGGAGAACGAAGGTGACACGCTAGTGATGAGTGGGAGTTTAATGCCGTACAGGCGAAAGGGACGAGGTTGATTGAACATCCGGTGAACCCTCGCGATTGGAGGGTAGGAGATGAGGGAACCCCGCTTGGGCCATTGTGGTGATAGTGGGAGGGGCGGATCTGAGAGGAGAAGGTGGCCCGTCGTCTTCGGGGATGGTAGATGTGGAAATGGAGAGAGCATGTCTAGTGTGTCTAGAGCCGCTTGCGCGCACTCGGAATGAGCGCTGTTGGTCGCCAGTCAGCGATGCGGTTTGGTCTTCATTCAAGTGGCCACCTGGCGCAGGGCTGACAATGACAGCATCCTGGATTGCAACTCGACGATAGTCTCCTTGCTGTTGCCGTTCGCCACCGCTGCTGTGGTCGCCATCTTCGGTATCGGATAATGGACTCGACTCGCGACTCCAATCCGCTTCCTGTGCCTCGCTGCGCATTTTTGAAATCTTCATGTAGTTGTATGCCGCAATGCTGCTGATAGTCACGAACAAACCGGTCAAGTTGACCGCAGTGAGCTTATCGTGGAAGATAATGCCCGCTGCGCTGATTGTGACCACCTCCTTGAAGATACCACAAATACTCAATGTGACAACTGAAGAACGCTTGAGCAACGCAAATTCCGAGGAGATCATGCAGAATGCAAGCACGCCAGGGAAAATGAGGAGGAAAGAGCCTAACAATTGCCCGCGCTTTTCAGCGAGCACGAGATATCCTTGGTAGATCTCAGCAGGACCTTCTACGGATAGCGCAATGACTATAAGAGAGAAGAACATGACAGGAGTGAGAAGGAAGAGTGTCGCAAACGGATTTGAAGTGGCCGGATGGCGGAGCAGAAGGATTTGTGTCAAGCCCCATCGGAAGCCCGAGAAGAATGCAGACGCAATGACAAGTGCAAAACCAAGCGCATTGAAAGCAGTCTCTCCGGCGACCATCATCACCACACCGATTGTCATCGTAGCGATAATCAAGATCAACTTGACGGACGGCGATTCGAGGCGGAAGAGGATGGCGAATAGGAGAACAAAGGCAAGTGCAGATGATTTGCACATGGTAAGGAAAGTAAGAGAGATGAATTTCAAGGACATGTTTCCGAGGCCAATGTCGAGCGAGGTTGCCGTACCGCATGGCACGAGGCGGGTAAAGTAGAAGAATTTGGTCAGGATCGGCTGCTTTTCTTCAGGGCCATCCACCGGGGATGTTGCTGCAGACCCCGGGGGGTGTTGTGGACGGAGCGACGGGAAGATCCATAGAATTATAACGGAAAGTGTGAATTGAACAAGCATGTGTAGGCTTGTGGTGAAAAGAGGAAAGGGAAAGACGACATCGCTCTCGGAGAACATCCATTTATTGTACTACACACAAGAATCGTTAGTTCGAAACACCAGGGGAAGATTGGAACACGATCACTCACTATTGAAATGGACAGGGAGAAGAAATACCACATCAAAATCAAAGCGGCATTGACCCCTAATCTCTTGACGATGCTGCGGTCTGTATCAATGTCTCCTCGTGACTTGGTATCCGCGATTCGGGCATCCAGCTTCCGTCGTTGGTTCCTCCGTCGTTGTCGCTGGCGTTTCTGGTTTGAGGTGAGTCCCGTTTCTTCGTCATATTGGTCATCATCTGAACTCATCAAGTCGAGCTCCAAACTCTCTGCGGCGGACGACGGATCGGATGCATCAGTGTCCTCTTCAGCCGTCAATGGCTCTTGTTCTTCGCGCTTGTGGTTTCCTCCATCTGCATGTGACCAGAGGCTGTCATCTCTGCGCTCCGTCGAAACTGGCTGCGAAGCTCGCCCTATCCCGGCGAGCATGGAGCTTCGCCGACGGTGGTGGCTACCGGCGGAGAGCCCCATTCTGAAGACTGGGGCAGTTAGGTAGAAATGAGGGTAATGTAGACGAGAACTGATTCCCCCATGAGCATGGGAAACAGGGCGTCACACGACAGTGCACGAGAGCAGTTCGGGTAGGGAGACGATGCTGACAAAGAAAGGGAGAGGGGGAAGAGAGAAAGGGTGGAACTGGAGGTGGAACTCGTCCAAGGGAGTGAATGTTCGGGAACAAGGAAAAGAAAGGAAAAAGGAACGAACACGAGAGCAGCTGGGCAGGGAAAATGAGTCCTGAGGGATCGAGTGGCAGATCGAGGGTTGTCAGGGCGGTCTCACGACTAGTCAGCTTAAATTCAGCTCAGACTGGTTCCACCGATCTTTCTCCGCTCCACTGTCCGGTCGATCCGGGGCAGAAGTAAAGACTTGAGGAATTTCATGAAGTGTTTTTGACTTTCCTTTTTACCATTGGCGGATTGAAACCTCCGGCGCTGGTAGATTGAGGGACCATTTGTTGTGAAGGTATACAAAGCCCTGTGGTATCTCAGGGGATCCTGAAACTCCCGGCTAACCTCGCCCTAAGACTAGAAACATCACAATGCCAGAAAAATAAACTCAATGCGAAGCTCTTCAGTGATGAGGTCCCCACCTTCAGCTTGTCTGCTGGGGAGAAGCCCCCATCCATCGGCATAGCCATGACCTCAGACCCATGATACATCATCATCATGTCGTACTTTCTCCATAGTCGTCGGGACATGCGGATGATCGATGTCAATGGGAGACATTGCATTTTCTTATGCTTTCGACTCTGTTTCTCTGCAATCTTCCCGGGCTGGTGCTGCAAAAAGCATTGAATCCACATCAAAGACCCTTGTATTTTGAACTTCTATCGGATTCCCTGCTGTCACTATTGTCCGTTGTCATCATGTCTGAGGGTTCGTACATTGCCATCGAGGACTACGGACTGATCGGGGATATGCACACCTGTGCCCTGATCAGCAAGGCTGGTAGTTTGGATTACATGTGCTGGCCAGTCTTTGACTCACCTACTGTCTTCTGCCGCCTGCTTGACGACAAGAAGGGGGGATTCTTCTCGGTATCCCCCTACAAGTCCGTGGTCGATTCCCACAGCAAACAGCGGTATCTTCCATATTCGAACCTACTTGAAACCAGGTGGACCAACGAGGGTGGCGTCGTGACGATGCTGGACTATTTCCCAGTCACCCCTAAAAAGGTCAGCCAGTCCGCTAGGTTGCTGTCAGGATACTGTCCTTGTAATGAGCCCGGCACCAACCGGTTCAAGTCAGGACTGCAGCACTCAGGTCTGATCCGAAAGCTGGAATGCAGCCGTGGGTCGATGGAGTTGCAGGTGGAACTGTTCCCGGCCTTTAACTACGCACGAGACTCGCACAACGCTCGTGCAAAGCTGGAAAATGACATGGAGAAGCACCGGCTCCAGACCATCCATTTTGAAAGTGAAACCGAGCGGCTGCAGGTCGAGATCTTTGCCGATTCGCGGGAGCCGGACAAGCTTGGGTTCCCGGCGGCGAACCTAAACTTGGAAGACCGCTTGGACATAAACGGCCGCGGATTGGTGGCCTGGATTAAGCTGTCGGAAGGCCAGACGGTTCATTTGGTACTGCACAGTCCCGAGAAAGCTGTCCCCACCTCGGCCACCATGGCCGCCTACCTCCTCAAGATGGAAGATGAGACCTCTGACTACTGGACCAACTGGACCCGCAAGTGTGCCTTCCGTGGTCACTACCGGGAAACGGTCGAGCGCAGCCTCCTCATTCTGAAGCTGTTGACATACAAACCCACCGGCGCAATCGTCGCGTCGCCCACCTTCTCGCTCCCTGAAAACGTGGGAGGTTCGCGGAACTGGGATTATCGGTATTCCTGGGTGCGTGACACGGCTTTTACGTTGTACGTCTTCCTGAAAATGGGTTACAGTGAAGAGGCGGAAGCATATGTTACCTTTATCTTCGATCGAATCTTCCCTCATGCTGCCAAGGACATGGACAAGGATAGCAACAGACCTTTTTTGCCACTCATGTTCACCATTCGGGGCGACTATGACATTCCCGAGGTGGAACTGGACCACCTTGACGGGTACAAGGGAAGTAAGCCTGTTCGCATCGGCAACGCGGCTGTCTTCCACACGCAGCTGGACATCTACGGTGAGCTTTTGGACAGTATTTATCTGTACAACAAGCACGGTAATCCCATTACCTATGACCAATGGAACTCCATCCGACGTATGGTCAACTATGTTATCACCGTTCGGAACCAAAAGGATATGTCCATCTGGGAATCTCGTGGTCAGATCCAGAACTTTATCTATTCGAGAATCATGATGTGGGTGGCTTTGGATCGCGGGATCCGCCTTGCAGAGAAGCGCTCCAGCTTGCCATGCCCCGATCGCTTTGAGTGGATCAAGATTCGGGATGAGATGTACGACGAGATCATGACCAAAGGATACAATGAGGAGCGTGGTCATTTTTGCCAGAGCTATGAGAGTCCGGATGTGTTGGATGCATCCGTCTTGATTGCGCCCTTGGTCTTCTTTGTTGCGCCTAATGACCCCCGTTTCATCAGCACTCTAAAGAGGATTCTGGAAAGCCCCGAAAGGGAGGGATTGTCCAGCGCCAAGATGGTGTTCCGGTACGACCATCTGAGAGCCAATGATGGTAAGTGATAATTGTGTCCCAGGAACCTTGCATTACCGTGCATTGGAGTCTGGCTGCTGATATGCATGTTGCACAGGTGTGGGAGGTGGCGAAGGCGCTTTCATCATGGTAACCTTCTGGCTTGTCGAAGCAATGGCTCGTGTAAGTGGTAATCCCACACCTGTACACTGAGATCCCGGCTGAATCTGTTCTGGAATTCCAGGCTTCCAACTACGATGTGCCCATTCCCAACATTTGGAAGCTCGCGCTTTCGCACTTTGACAACATCCTCTCCTACGCGAATCACCTGGGCATGTTCTCAGAAGAAGTGGCTATTTCTGGTGAGCAGATGGGCAATACTCCACAGGCATTCAGTCACTTGGCCTGCATTAGTGCGGCAATTAATTTGGAACGACTTGGACAGGGAGAAGACTAGATAGAGCTCCTACCTCCAGGACGTCAAAGCTACAAGGAGATAAACCACTAGGGATGAAACATTAGACGACGCTATAGATTGACTTGAGATATTGTTTGTTCTTTTTCAACAAAAAATGAGAATCTTCCTTTGAAACAACAGCATTATATATCTCCCGATGTTCTATTAACTGGCGGATGAATCAATGCGGCTATAGAGCCAAGATGCTACCATACACGAAAGAGTCTAGTGACCATCTCACTCATGGAAAATCACCAAATGCGAGAAATGTAAGGTCTTTGACTCTATACTGGATCAGCGCCTGGCGATCTAGGCACCCATGGCAGGTGACGACAACATTCTTACGTAATGTAGAAGATCCGAGCTCAATACCCCAGAATAGCTTCTCTTTGTTGGCCAACATAGTCAAAGTGACCAGTGACCAGTGAACAAGGACTATCTTCGTCAGGGATGGTCTTCGCCACCAGCCGTGCCCCACAATAACTGCGATCTCGCGCTAAGTTAGGGATCCGCTCCTGATGGCCGACTTGGATGCCGATAAGCCCGACCCGATGTCGTCAGACGAGGAGGGCTTCGTCTCCAGCGAAAGCACCGCCTCAGTCGAGCTTGTATCCGATGCCAAGAGAAATCTCACTCTCGCGCTGGGAAAGCTACGTTTCGAACAGGAGGACGTGAACCGATTCTCCGACCAAGGCGCTACCCCATCGACTCCCCGCACGGAAGGCCGAAGTCAAACGCCTCCAGATCTCAAGATGCCGAAAAAGCCACGACTTTTGTTGGATTTGCCTTTAGATGTGTTGAAGGAGATTATCAAAGAGGTATTACACGTCTTTCTCGCAGTCTCTGGCGAGAGCTTACAATTCCGCATTACTAGGTCACGCATACAAATGACCTGACATCGCTCGCCCTAACATGCTCTGCCCTCCATGCACTGGCTATTCCGCACATGTACTCCCGGTTCGACATCGTCTGGCCAGAGTCGCTGAACCCATCAACGGAGGACTACTCGGGAGTGGATGCTCTATCTTATGGCTTGTCGACATTGGTAATGGGCGAAGATGTGTTTAGCCGGCTACCACTGTTCCAAGACAGTCAGTCGAGCAACTGTACGCACTGCGGTTGTCATTGCCAACAACAACATCCAAGTCCCCGATCGGCAAACAACGAAGTCAGTGGGCGGTCGCGACGAGGGAATCACTATGCGCAATACACTCGCACATTTTCCATTGGAAATGGTCCGCTGAGCTGGGTCCAGGAGTACTCAGTGACCAAAGAAGTGGGTAAGATGCTAGGGACGCTGGTTGCACTGGCCGTTGCGCGGATGATCAATCTCGAGGCTTTCGTCTGGGACATGCCGACTGGAGTGGTCCGTGAAATCTGGTTGGCGCTTGCATCTTTGGCGGATCGGCCAGGACATGAATGTCGCTTAGAGCGCATTTGGGTGCGCTGGCATGACAATTCAGAGAATGCTCTACGCAATCTGTCTGCACCGGCAACGAGGCTCTTCCAGAAATACAAACATGTCGAACACCCTTCGTTGTCTGTATTGCCTCCGCTTAAGAGCGTGGCTGTCCTTGACATAGATGAGCCGGCGTATGTGGAAGAGCTGGCACTTCTTATTGAGCGATCGCGTCATCGCCTGACTGAGCTTCGAATTGGCATTGCCGAAAAAGCCCACATGAGCGCGTGGCTACTATGTGGGACAAACTCGGAGTCTGCATCCAGTTGGCCCCGTGCAGATGGTATACTGGGAATCCTGAAACGACGCCATTCGTGTGACCAACAGGACGATATTACTCCAGCCTCTCCTATCAAAGTTTTGATCGCACCAGACAGTGCGACTGACGTCGCCACCAAGTGGTCGACCCCTGCTGAGAGCGAGGAAACCCTCCCTCCAGCAGAGCAGCTACTTCCCAGTGCTGAGAAGGGCAAACGATTGTCACAAGATTCTGGTTTGCCCAATCGGACTACTCGTTCGCCAGTGTCTGCCTTTGAAGCTGGTTCTGATATGCTTAACCTCGACGTCCTCGAATTGGAACGTGTTCCACTCTCTGTGCCCACACTACTGCCAGCCGTTGACTGGACCAAACTCACTACTCTGACTGTCATGCAATGTGCTGACCATGAAAAGCTTTGGCGGGCTCTTCGCCGAAAATATGCACCTCCTCCGGCACCGGTAAAGCGTCAGGACAAACCAGATCGCCGATTGAGTGAAAGCTCGGTTGACTTCCCGCTTAACCTGAAACACATCCGTACGGATAATGTTTCACCCTACTTGATACTCTTCATCAAGGATGCATTAGCACCGAATACCTTAGAGAGTGTCTTCTTGCATGAAGCGCCGGGTCACGAATCTTCTGTGCAAATTGACGCCATTTACCGGCACATCCTACGAAAGCATCGCAAGAGTCTGCGGAAAGTTCTTATCGATGGCACTGATCGCAAGATTGGCAGCGGATATTCCGGCTCGCGGTGGCATAAATGGATGTTTACTCATGACATGATATCGTTTGTCACGAGTGGGAAAATGCCGCAGCTGAAGGAGCTGGGCATGGCGATGAATTATGCCGATTGGGTAAGCAAGCACTGTCAACTTGCCGGTCACAACTTATACTAACATTAAGCCAGCATTTCTTTCTCCAGAGATTGCCAAACATGCCCCAGCTTCGAGCGTTATACCTACCAAACATCGGCAACACCGTCCATCGTGATCTGAAAGAGCTAGCTCTCCAAGTTCTGGACATCGTCAGCATCCGTCCCGATCTCAAAATCGCCTACATCGGTCTCCACGTCAAGTGCTTCCAAATCCTCGAAGCCAGACATGATGATAACCCCGCCGATTTCGACGACAACCCCACAGCCGATAACTCCCCGGTGACCACTGAGGAGGATGAAGACCCATCGACCAACGACAACCCCACCTTCGAAGACGACAGTGACGATGACGATTCATTTAACGCAGACGTCCTTTCCAGTAACCCGGAAGACTACGATACCGATCCAGACGAGGATCAGAGTACCTCGCGCATTCGCTACCGACTGCAAGAGATTCTGTTTTATGACGAGAAGGTTTCCATTTTCAAGGCGCGGCACGGTGTTTTATGATTGATGTGGGCTTGCATTTTACTTGCGCAGGTGTCGTCTGGGCCATTAGCGGCGTTGGGAGACGTCCCGGGATCTTTACTCTTGCCTATGAGATACCATCACGCTTAAGCTTTGTCTTTGCTTAAAATGAATTGTTTTCGATCATCGATGTCCCACGTAAACTGTAGTGTGAATGCCCCTACAGCTCCAGGTAGAGTCTGGACCCCTTCCTCTCCACGTGGGACGGGATCTCGGCTGGGTCCCGGTCGATCAGCCGCATGTTCAGCCGCATGTGCAAACGACCAGGCACAAGTGCGGGAAAGACCGTCTGATTGGTCCTGGTGTGAATAGGCTGGTGATTCCATTGCTCTATTGTTCCATTGTTCCATTGCTCCATTGTTCTATCTGCTCAATAGAATCACAGGTCCCTTCTGATCCAGGACATCCTCCAGAGCCAGGCCCTCCTATAAATAGCCCTCCCACCTTCTTCCCTCTCTTTTCTCTTTCTTCTTCAACCACCTCCCCTTCTTATTTTCTTTCCCCCATCCCGATCCCCGTCCCCATCCCCATCCCCCTTCCCCCTTCCCTCTTCCCCTTCCCCCGCACTACCATGATGAAGCAAGCATAGGGCCGGCCGAGTCCAGGTCCTCGGCTGGTCTTCGGACAAAAGCCCACTGACTGATTCTGACGCCAGTTACATTTCCCTTTCCTTCTTTTGTTTTCTTTGCATCTCACCGCCCATTCACCTTGTTCCCTCTTTCCTCTGCATGTTGCTCCCTCTTCCCCTGGTTTGGCACCACTATAATGAACTGAGCGTAAGGGCCGAAGAATAAAAGTGGCGGGTATCCAACCTGGACTTGTAGTCACAAAGCTTGCCAACAGATAATTTACCACATGTCACTTTTATGTCCGTGTTCAAAGGCTTCATTATCATTACATGTAACTAGCTGTCCAAATTATGTACGCAAACCATGACTCCAATCCCAGTTTCCAAGATACAGACCAAATCACCGCCCAGTATTATATAGCAAATTACCTCTCCTCACTCTTCATCTCAATAACAACCGTCTTGGTAATATTCCCAAGCTGCCTCACCTCAGATATATCCCCCTGACGAAGCCCATCGACGTGCACAGGCACAGGGACAGTCACCGAATTCGAAATATCAACGGACACCTTCTGTCCATGCCCATCCCCATCCCCATCTCCGTTCGCATTCTCATTCCCATCGCCGTCACAACAATCCTCCAAATCCCTCAAAACAAACTCGACATTCGCACAATCATGCGGCGGCAACGTCCTCCTCCGACTGGACCCAACAGTCCCAGAAAGCTCATGCTCCCCATCTTGATGCTTCCCAGACCGATCATAAGAAGACCCCCTAAAGACAGAACTAAACATAGGTCGAAGCGGCGGTGCCGAAGCGGATATAATGGCAACATTGACTTCGACCTGTGACCAGATGAGGATTTGGATAGCGTCGTAGGAGACATCCTTTGTGATTAGGTATTTGTATAAGGCGCTGAGTCGGACGAAGGAGGCTGCTGAGGCGAATGTTCCTGTTAGGAAGATTGCGATGAGGGCAACTGTTGAAAACGTGTTAGTTGGGATTGATTCGGGGATATGGATGGGACTGACACTTTTTTGGGCGGTGGAGATTCAGTTTTGTGAGTAATGGTAGAGGCATGAAGAGGATTATCAAGTCGGTTAGGATGTTGGTCCCTGCCATTGAGAAGTATGCCGCTGGGAGGTTGTTGCAGCCTTTTGGGAAGGTTGGGTCCCATGCGCGCCAGGGTTTGGTGTGGCATTCAAAAGCCTGGATTGGAAGTGTCAGAATTGAGCCTGGAATGCAATGAGAGGGGATGTTGAAGAGAGAGACTCACGTTGACGAAGATGACGACGACTGTGTAAATGAAGACGAACAGTGCGACTGCAGCCGTTGCGATTCGGAATCCCCTCGCGGGAAAGATGCGGTAGTATTGTGACAAGATGCTGAATTTGACCAGGCCAATTGCCAGTGGGTAGACGAGCTGGTAGGCGTACCAGTGTTTAAGGGTTGGAAGGAGGATTGTTGGTATGTCGAGGTCGGCCATGTGACGACTAGGCGAGGTTTGTTAGCCAGACCCTGTGAAGAGCATCGGAGGTGATGATGGGATTGGAGCCAGTGCGCTGTAAACAAAGAGGAAAACAGCACTAACCCTGTGCCAAAGCTGATATGAAACCCATTCATCACACCCATCGCAATCGTGACAAACAATCCAGTCACAATGAAATAGTCATCTGGTCCAACCTTGTGGACTAGCACTATGCGACAGTAGAGTCTCAATATGACACTGGTACATGATAATAATAACAGCACGGTCATTATGGCGAGGAAGGCAGGCTGAAGAGAACCATTGTCTGCCGTTATGTAGGCCATGATAGGCCGAGTAGAATCATCGGACCTACAGTAATTGAAATGTATGCTATCCCCTCAACTCGGATGAACAGGGATCTATTAATTTCTTATATCACAGGGAGAAAGGCAAGCCATGTGATCCACATACTTGTGAAAGGAAGCAAGGCTCCCCCGGAGCTTCCCCATACCGTAGCTTGATATTGTGCTTCTTTGTATCCGAATTGAGTTTAATAGCATTGAAAGCAGTTACGGTACTATCATCCGCCAGTGGCATGATATCATAGTCATATTTGCCTGTGATCTTGAACTTACGGTGAAAGATCTCCCCGACAGTTCGAGTCCAGCCCTGTGGGCAACCATGGGTGCTATCCAAAACCGGCACAAAGAGGTCGATCTCTGGCTTTCTATTGGACGGGCTGGCCCCTTGCTCCGCGATCTTGGCGACATCGGGGGTTCCGAGAGCTCCAATCCCCACGTCTTTGTTTGCACAAGATCTGGACTCGCGATTCATGGTAGCACTGAGATATTACAAATTCGTGCTTCTTTGTTCCTCGGCAAATGCCAAGGCCAACCCTCACAAAGAAAAAAACAATGGGACCATGGTTCGGCATTCTTTGGCCCGACGTTGTACTTTATTTCCCCCAGTATAATTGGTGGAGCCCATCCGTCCCCACAGGGATAGCTTATAACACGCAGAACAGTCTAGGGACCCGAGGCAGAAAAGTCGAACTTTATGTTCCTCCGAAGATATAGTGCAGTTGGTGGAGATCTTAAACAGCCCACTTCCCCCGTGAAAGAATTAGTAGACTTAAGCTTTATACATTAAAGTATGCGCTTCCTCCGGCTTTCACTAGGGGTCTTTCTTCTGGTCGCGGACAGTCTCGCAGACACGTGCAAGAATCCCCCGATACGCAAAGAATGGTAAGCCACAATGTTATGCTGTCCAGTCTATGATGTGCATAATTGACTTTATCTCTTTATTTCCTAGGAGACAACTGGATCTAGACGAACGCCGCGATTACATTCGCGCAGTCCTTTGTCTGGCGTCTCAACCGGCGATATCTGGTCTTGAGAATGCAGCGACGCATTTCGATGATTTCCAGGCTACTCATAGTGACCAGACCCCAAGTATCCATTGGGTGGTAAGTATTGCATGCCTCATTTGATGTATAGCTGTCTATCAAGCTAACACTGTTACTCAGGGTCACTTCGCCCTATGGCATCGATACTTCGTTGCAACCTATGAAAAAGCACTTCGGGAAGAGTGTGGATACAGAGGCGCACAGCCGTAAGTCCCTATCCTAAAGCCCAGTAAAAAACGTAGAGAAAATGTAATTAGCTCCTCGACAGATACTGGAACTGGTCCTTGGATGCCTCCTCAACAGACAATTCCTCAATGGCCATCTTCAAAACCGATATCTTCGACGCGGACCGAGGGTTCGGCGGAAATGGCAAATACCTCCCAGCCAACGCCACACAGAACCCATTCAACCTGACCGGCCGAACAGGCGGCGGATGCGTTGAGAACGGCCCCTTTACGCCGCCAGATTTCATGCTCGCTGTTGGACATCCAAAAGGTCAACCGGATTGTCTGCGTCGGGACTGGATACCCTGGATCATGAATTACTTTGCCCAACAGAGTCTTGTGGACCATGTCCTGGCTCAGCCGGATTATACATCCTTTTCACGGGCGCTTGAAAATATACCTAGCTTTGCGCAGCCTAATATCCATGGAAGCGCGCATTTCGGGGTCGGGGGTGTACTTGGGACATTGGGGAACTCGGCTCTCAGCCCTGGGGGTAAGTTATCGATGCGTTTTATTTCTATATTTCACAGTATTGTTTTGCTGATATGTCAGATCCTCTCTTCTTCCTTCATCACTGCAATCTCGATCGTGTCTTCTGGGAGTGGCAGAATAGAGACCTGCCTACTCGCTTCCATCAAGTTGGTGGTCCTATTACACCACTTGATTATACTGGGAAGAATGTTACTCTAGACTTCAGGGTGAACATTGGCAAGCTTGCGCCTAATACTACGCTTGAAAGCTTGCTCAATACTCAAGGTAATACTTTGTGTTATAGTTACTCGGAATAGTGAGTATGTCATTTGGATGTTGGGATACGGAGAGCAACTTTCAGGTAACTTACAACAAGCTTCTCTTTGCACAAAGACTTATTTCAACGTTCGATTATACATTGAGACTTTTGTATCTATGCTTGTGGAATGACAAAAACGCAGTTGAAACGAAAGGGGAAAGTATGCAAAGAGGTCTAGGGCAAATGTATTCGAACATTTTCCGCATTTCGCTACGGGGTACATATTAGCTATAGGTTACCAAGAATGGTCTTCCAGAGCAACAAGGTATCCTCTTCTACATGGCTTGTTGAATCAAATGGCATTCTTATTGCTCCCATCCAAGATTACATCAGTAAAAAGACAGACCATGAACTGTGAGATCAACCTTACGTACATCAGCTCCAACTTTGTATAGAATCCATCCAAAACCCGACCGAATAATAGTGCACCATACAAAAACAATAGGAGACATATTCCTCAGTTATACTGGAAGTCACTCCCCCGATGAGCCCGTCGCGAGTGCTCATCCCTGTTGTCCTTACGGTTGAACAATCTGCTGCAAGCACTATGAGGGCATTTGAAGGACCGAGGGGAAACATGTTTTGTTTCAAGGTGTCGCATCAGAGAACCTTTCGCGGAAAATATCTGCTTGCAATGTCTCCATTTACATGTAAAAGAAGGCATGGAACTAGGTGAGAAGATTCAAATTAGCAAAACGCATGACCAGTGTACTTCTTGAACTTTGCGACCTACTCGGGCTTTCCTCTTTTGTCAGAAGGCCGGGGGTATTCATGCTGCACCACTTGGAGTTGATTGCTTCTTTGCCCTGTGCTATCTGAGGGCGTCGCTGGCAGCGAGTGAGGCCAGATGGCACTGGAATCAGTGATACCATCTACCACCAAAACTTTGGGATCGTTGAACTTTATCGGGGGATGACTTGCGGTACTAGAATTGAGGCGATGGAGCTCAACTCCTCCTGGGCCCGTATCAGCACGCCCGTTGGGCTGAGGATATTGGACGAGCGAGTCACACAAGAAGACCTCTGTAAATAACGGAGCTGTATCCTCGGGGAGCAGACCCGATGGTGGATATCCAAAGAATTCGGGATTATAGTTCAGATTCTGAGTGCTTTGGCCAGCTTCACTGAATAAATGGTAGTTCTCTACAGAGCTATTGTATGGTGTCCACGCCATCGGAAAATGATTAGGAGATCGTAATGTGAAGGTATAATGAAACTGTGATCATGATCGAAAGACAATCTGTGGGCCGGAGATACGTATTTGTAGGATAAAGGGTAGACGGGTCAAAAGTGGTATACTACAAAAAAAGTGATAACTTATATACTTACAACATCAGTCAGGTACATGGGTGCCGGGTTTAACGGCACCAATCATGAAAATGATGGCTAACCTCGCACGAGGATGATGGATCATAAGTCGACCCCCGCGTTTTCTTACTTTCCTTTTTTTACTTTTTACCTTTTTTACCCCCATACACAGCATATTTCTGGGTGACGCTCAACGATCTGTCCGATCTGTCTGAGCCCCAACGCCAAGAGGATCATGAAAATTGAAATCTAGCGAATCCCAAATAAGTTTTATCCCAATGTGGCTTATGTTGGCCTCGCCACGTCTTTAAACACAACCAGAGAAATTTATGACACCCCATTTAGGGTTGACCTAAAATTTTCCCGACTTATCAACGACCCAACTCAACAACAATAGCCTCACTAGACTCAACTTCAAACCCAACAAATCCCTCTCTAACCCTCAAAACCTCAACCTCCCTATCCCCAAATTCCCCAAGCCTCCCATTCGTATAATTCCAACTGACCCCACCACAAGAAATCCCCTGATCAGCACTAGCCCCTGGACCAGTCAGCCGTCTAACCTCAGCACTTCCCACGCGCTCGGGCAGATCAAGCAAAACCTGCTGATAGGTCTAGGATAACTAGTCGTAGAGTTCCACTCGTCAAGCTTAATAACCACGTACCGAGACAGCCTCTTAGACTGATAGATCGCATAGGCAGATAGATCATCTCTACCTAGATCAAGAGATTCCACTTGGACGGTGGGATGGCGCCCGATTGCGTCTGCTGCCACAATTTGACCGTAGAGTGGTGCTCGGACTTGGGGAGCCAGGTTGTCATTTTCTACTGGTGTCTAGGCTGCATAGCCGAAAGTTGTTCCTTGGATTAGATTGAAGCGGGTTATGTTCTGAAGATGGATTAGTTTTGTTGGTTTATTTGAGAGAGGCGTTGTAGGTGATGTTCATGCTTACAATACTCAATCCATAAGGGAGATAATCGACAAGCTAGATTGAGCTCCCGAATACACCTTCCACCTGACACATATTGAGATTGCTGTAGTCGCTGTTTGTTTCGCCTAGGAGGAATGTGATGTTTGGGCTGTGGGCGTGGATTATGCTCATGTCGTCGATGTATTGGATCAGGTTTACGGCGGTTGCGGTGTGGTTCATGAATGATCCTAGACGATCAGGTCAGAACCTTGGAAAGATACTTGATGCTGACAGATATATAGAGGAATAGGGATGTCTCTTCTTACCTTGCAGAACCCAGTCTTGGTTGCCAGAAGCGTATCTATACCTTCATTAGACGCCGCAAATAAGAAGAATACAGCCGGTAGATACGTCCTGACGAAACCAACTTGACATGTCCATCCTCATCAACGCCATCTTCAAAAGCCCGTGCTCTATTCCTCGTTAGTCCAAGAACACACAAACAAAGGAAAGAAAAGGAACCTATCAGTGGTGTATCATAAGTATTTGACCTCCGGTACTTCGGGCCTTGACCGCCCGATCATACCGTCTACTTGATTAGGTTATAACCTCGCGCGTCTTAATATGGTAGTATACACGCTATATACCAATGCATTCTAATACAACTTGACATTCTTGTGTTTGCCTCATCAGCATAGTCCGCGAAGAAATGAACGGGCCAAGAGAAAGAAGCAAAGGCATGACCAACCGGTTGAGAAGCACCAGGAAGCAGGTGTGAAGGGGCTTTGAGTTCGACTGTGTCTCCTGCTACACCCAGTGAATAAGAGCAAGGTAACCATAGACACTGAGCAATATAAAGATTATGCATCTCGGTTATGTGTGATAGCGTATATGCACTTAGATTTAGTAATTCAAGCGAGACTTTACCCCACCCTGGCATCTCCCATATATATACCTCTTGTTTGTACAAGTTTACCCCAGATTTTGACCCGCAATTCCTCACAATACGGCACCATGGCACCATAGTTTCGGTTCTCGCCTCGAGGTCGTGGATCTCGGCACGGATCTCGGCCATGCAGGCTTCAGGCTTCAGACCTTCCTAGGGTAGTAATATGTACGCTACCCATGGACAATGATTGGAGTTTACCATACTCAAAATGCAACTACTCATAAAATCGTAACATGACATTGAAAATGCTCATGCTAAATTACTAAACGGGTATCTGGTATCTTGTGCTAGAAAGCTCTATTAGAGCGGGACAAACTTGCTCACGCAATTTCGCGGTGGGCAACCTCTTGCTGTGCGCGGATCAGCTCGACCTCAATAGCGTGCCTCTTTGCCTGGTCTGCTACACTGGAATTGTCTTTGAAGACATGGTCCATTTGTTCCAAGGTGCGGCCCTTGGTTTCTGGGACGAAGAAGTAGGTCCAGATTCCAGCTAGGACGCAGAATACGGCGAAGAAAACGTAGGCGCCGTAGCCAGTGTTTTGTACGAGAGGGGGTGTGATCAGGCCCTGCAGTGAAAGGATTAGTATTCTTGGTTTATGGATAGAGGGGCGATAGAGGAATCTCACGATAATGAAGTTGTTAAACCAGTTAGAACAGGTTGATAGAGCGACACCCTTGGCACGCAGAGAAGAAGGGAAGATTTCTGAGTATATATATTAGCAGGATATTTTGGTTGAACAGGATAAGTAATAAATATTTCCATACCGGATGGCAGTGCCCATGGAATGGGACCCCAAGAAGCTCCGAAGGAAATCATGTAGAACAACAGCATAGCCACACTAGCCCATCCCTGTGGTCGATGCGCCGGCCAGTTGTTCGAGAATTTCCCAACCAGAATCGCAATGACAATGTGTGAGATGGCCATGAGGGCTGCACCAACTAGCAGCAGCTTCCGACGACCAACCGAGTCCATGGTCCAAATACTAGTGGTAACACCAACCAGCTGTAGTACATTGAGGACTCCGGACATAATGAGCTGCATGCTCGAGTCGAGGCCCATTGTCTTGAAGAGGGTTGGGGAGTAGTAGATGAGAGCATTGATACCAACGAACTATAATATTCATTAGCCGAGTTAACTCGATGAATTCGTGGAGATACGAACCTGTTGGAAGAAACCCAGTCCAACACCGATATGAGTCCGACGCCAGCATCCCTTCTTGAAACAATCGGCCCAAGATGCCATTTCCAGCAAAAATGAGTTCTTGGCGCCCTTTTCTTGAAGATTCGGGTGCTTCTCTTTGTTGGTTTCCTGGTGGAAACGTACTTCAGCCTGAATATCCAAGAGCTCTTGGCGAACGCGTCTATCTGTTGGTGGTAAGGAGCGAAGCTTGCTGAGACTCAGCAGTGCTTCTTCGTCGCGACCCTTAGAAGCCAACCAACGTGGCGAGAAGGGAAGCATGTATACACCGGCAGCGAGGACAAATCCTGGAATCATTTGCAATAGGAATGGGAGACGCCAAGCCCATTCGCCGACCATATAGCGGGTTCCGTAGGTGATCCAGAAGGCAATCACGATACCGAGCACGATACACCACTCCTCGAGGACGAGTAGGGTACCACGGCATTCAGGGGGGCCTAGATAGGAAGAGCAAACAATCAGCAATGTATCCTAGGTGATAAAAAGCATCAAAACGAGAAGCACTTACTGATTTCAGAAATATACAACGGTGCAACCATCGACAACATACCAATCCCAAGACCACCAATGAACCGAGCAACCGTCAACATGGGATATCCGTAAGCAGCAGTCTGCAACACAGAACCAAGCGTAAAGATAGCAACAGCAACAAGAATCGAATAGCGGCGCGAAATCTTATCCGCAATCCAACCTTGATTCAGGGCACCGATCAAAGCACCCAATTCAATCATGGCCGTCAAAAGCCCCTTCCAGAAACCCGCTCCCGACGCGGTCTCCGAGACTCGCGGGAATTCAGCGAGGAACTGGTCCATGACGAGAATCACTGACACAACACCCTGGTCATAACCAAACAGTAACCCTCCTAGTGTTGAGCAGGCTGCACACAGCAACACGAATGGGTTGGCGACTAAACCGCGCAGACCGGGTGGCCCGTAGGGCTCGCGGTCGTGTGCGATGTTCTCGGCATGGTGCGAGAAGCCATCTACCACGGGGTCGTGGGATAGTTCTTTTGTTACTTCGATTTCACCGGCCATGTTTAAATTGAGGGCTGAGGCCGTAATGGAAAGTTGGTGTTTGATTTGGTGATTTGGTCTGTGAGGCAGAATTGGGCACGAGATATCATGGAAACTTCATGTGGTATTTATACTTGCGTGCCCATTTCTCCCGGGATACTAGTGGTCATGATTCGGGTTGATTTGGGGTCTCGGGCTGCCTCCGGAATAAACAGCCCAATCAGCAGCAAGCCGGGAGCCAAGTCGGGGTGGAATGACGCAAAGCCTGTATGTCTTCATTTTAGTGTACGATAGGACCCGTGGGGATGCGGAGGGGAAACATGGGGGTGGGATCGGCGGTATGCTTGTGGGGGATATGGCTTCAATTGGTAATCCGGGGGTGGCTATTGTCGTAAGTTTGACCTTTTCGCCATCTAAGCATTCGGCCTTTGAAAGATAAGTTGAGCCTTTGGGCTGACATGGGGTTTCGACCTCTTTGCTCGGAGTGTGCTTGTAATGCGCGATCTCGGACAGGCTGATCCTTGGAGACCCGCTTGCTCCAGACTTTTGGTCGGCCAGAAACCCCTCAGATTTCGGCTTGACTCCGGTGCTAACTGGTTCCTTTCGTCTCCACTTGATGTTTGAAGTCAGGAAGTCAGGAAGTCAGGGGAGTTGCGAATATCAGAAGTCTCACGTGGCCTCTTTACTTAGGCCATCTATGGTGTTCTATGCTGTAGTCTTTCCATGATGTAGTTCTGTATTTTCGCTGTCATATAAGTGGGCACAATCCTTGGATATCTACGAGTATATCATATACCAGGTTGGCATTGAATATAACTTATATGCCAAGCACACAAGTTTTAGTCGAAGTCTATAACTCGGCCCGGTGTAAGCCGAGTCACTTCGAGCCGATTCATCCCGTGACGAGAATGGGATTCACCTGATATCTCATATGTCTCCCCCACGGGGAAACTAGAAAGTTCCTATACAAGACCCTCTATAAAGATTATTCATACGGAATTCACCTACCGAGTGGAGACAGAAAAGCGGTCGGCCGCTGCCAAAGCCACAATCTCACGGATTCCAGTTCCCGACTCGACGTCACCTCCAACACCTCCCCCAGACAATCTCACATTCAATATGGTTTCCTTCATGGAGGACCTATGGTCCAGCATTTTCACCCCGGGTCCCACCCCAACCCTCCTCATCGCAACCAACGTATCCTTCGCCGCCCTCCAGCTCGTTTTCTTCGCCCTCCTCCTAGCTACATACAGTCTGCACTTTGTCGCGCTCTCCATCATCAGCGCGGGACTATGGTACTCCATCAACTGGTTCGCGGCCGAGGTGCGACTCGCCCAGCTGGCTCAGGAGGCTGAAAAGAAGAAGGAAAAAGACCAAGAGGATGACACCCGTGCGCGCGGAGCCAGTGTTGGCAGCGATACCGAGACTGAGGTACTGGCTTCCAAGAAGCAGAATAAGTCTGAGGCTGTCGCGACTGGAAGCGCTTCCAGGTTGCAGCCTACCGAGCTGGATTCGAAGAGGAGACCCAGTACTGGTGGTGATGGCTCTGGATATGGAAGCACTGATAGCGAGTGGGAGAAGGTTGATGATACCCGGTCCTGAGGAATGCTGACCCTGAAGTGACTGAGAGCTCTACGGTTTGCGGGATGCTTTCCAGTTCCTGGGCTTCTGATGCGTAGCGCATGGGTAACACAAAGCCGGAGTTGGCCTGTTACGCGCGCCTTTTGTATACGCGCACCCTGTTCTGTCTCGATACCCCCTGCTGTGTAGATGGTACAATCTACACTTCCATTATGCCTCACAATACACAAATAGATTCATGAAGAACAAGAACTTGCATATTATCCAAGTAGAGTGGGGCCTGAAGCTATAGAACTACACGTGACCACGCGATATCATCTAAACATTCCCCAAGTCCAATCCGGTAAAAGACGAACCCAACGGCGCGACACACAAACAAAGCTATACCATACCATGCCCAATGTCTGATGGTTACAATGCTATCAACCGTTCCCCTCAACGTGGGACGTAGGCGTGTGTTTGGCTCCGTCTTCTCCCCCGCGTCCCTAGAAGCCCCGGCGAAGTCGAAGTCAACCCCGAAACACGAAAACGACCACACACCCACAACGTCCTTCCATAGCTCGACAGGCTCAACTTCGACGTTCAAGGCAGACTCATTGCCCAATTCATTTGCCACTGTTGGAGGATCGACAGACTCGCCGGACGAGGAAACATTGGAGCAGGCGCGACTTGTGGCGAGCGAATTCTTGTCTGTGCCCAACCTCGGCTTCCAACTGCTCTATGACTACAGGAATACGGATGGGAGTGAAGTGCTGAAGCAATGGAACCGGCTCAGCCCGCCGTCGAAGGAGACAGCAGAGGCGCTGGATTGCCTAGTGCGGAATTGTCCGTGGACGCTGTTTGATGGATATGGGTGTGATATTCGGAGGCATTTTCTGGTTAATCTTCGGGATGGGCTGTCCGAGGTAAGTTCCCTGCTGTCTGTGATATTCCCACTACATGTGCTGACTGTATTATAGCTTCTTGGGAGCTCGGAGAAGGAAGGTCTCCTCCGGACCATCGTTGATTGCTTACAGCTTGCCCGTCGAGTCTATCTGGCGCCCGTCGTGCACTACCTTCTTCCTTTGATTCCGACACCCCACCAAGCCGGATTCTTGGCTCAATTACAACGGGCCTTTCATACGGTCGTTTCATATTCTCTGCCATGGCGGCAGATTTCACCGCTTCTTGCAAACGAACTCACGCGAGATGCTGTCACTATTTTGGGTATTGATACCGTGGATGGGGATTCGAATATGGAGAAAATGAGCGTTGATGAGATGGAGGTGGATCGAGCGTACTCCGTCTCGTACAAAGACTGGAGGCAAGAAACCACTGAGGCTCGAGCACACATGATGGTTGAGGGGGAAGACCATCGAGTGACAGTTGCCCGAGATCGACTTCTAGCTTTCCTCAATGGTCTGCAGCTCGTTGGACTTGGTGCCGAGAAAGCCCAGAAGGTGTTTGCGAAGGTGATGAATGTTATGATGTCGGACTTCATTTCTGCTGCATACACCGGCCAGTGGGACGCACCAACATCAGCGCCACAACACCTGCGACAATGGATAGAGAATGTCTTCGCCCGGCTCGCGGTACAGGTCTTGGCCATCATTCATTCCGAACAATCAGGAACCCAGACTGGGGCCTTGGATGTGAGCTTTGGTGATGTGGAAAAGTGGCAGGATATGGGAATCGCCCGCTTAGGTGCGCTTCGGGTTAGTGAGCTTTTCGACGTGGTCGTTGAATGGCCTGCGAGCAGTGGAGCGGTGGAAGATCTGCGGCACTTCACTACACATACTACGTCGAGAACACATGTTACGCAGTCATTTATCAATATGCTGCAACAACGGTTGCTGCATCCTGGAGCTTCCACTGTCGAAATCTTGCAGGTGTACATCTCCATCATTCGAGCCTTCCATCTACTCGACCCCAAGGGTGTTCTGCTTGATCGTATCGCTCGACCTATCAGACGTTACCTGAGAGACCGCGATGATACCGTCAAGGTCATTGTCGGTGGCCTGTTGGCCGACTCTACAACGACCAATGCAGGCGACACTTTGTCAGAACTATCGACAGAGCTGACCAAGGTACACCAGCACTCCATGCGGAGCAACAAGGGCGAACTGGACTTTGACGACTTGAACTGGGTACCTGACCCAGTGGATGCAGCTCCGGACTATCGAAAGTCAAAGAGTGCCGATGTCATTGACAGCCTGGTCAGCCTGTTTGACTCGAAAGAGACCTTTGTGAAGGAAATGCAGACTCTCCTCGCAGACCGCCTGATCCAGAATCGCAAAAACTATGACCAGGAAATCACAGTCCTGGAACTACTCAAGGTCCGATTCGGCGACTCAGCACTGCAAGCGTGCGAGGTCATGCTCCGGGATATCTCAGATTCCAGACGTCTCAACATCTCCGTGCAGAAGCAGAGCCATTCAAAACCTCGCTCAGCCGCCACGGCCAACAGACATGTGCAACCAGAGTCCACAGAACTCCACGCCAAGATTCTATCCCGCTTCTTCTGGCCCGAGATCCAGGAACAAGAATTCAAGGTCCCCCACGAAATTGCCAAGCTACAAGAAAGCTACGCCACCGGCTTCGAAGCCCTCAAAGCTTCGCGCAAACTCAACTGGCGCAACGGCTTAGGCCAAGTAACAGTCGAACTCGAGCTAGAAAACCACAGCTTCGTCGGCGAAGTCACAACCTGGCAAGCAACGGTAATCTACGCCTTCAACTCCGACACCGACACCGACACGGATCCCAACGAACCAGTCACAAAAACAGTCACCGAACTATCCGACACTCTGTCAATGACCCCAGCCCTTGTTCGCAGCGCCTGCTTATTCTGGGTAAGCAAACGCATCCTGATAGAACCCCACCGCGACACCTTCCGTGTTCTGGAAATCCTACCCAGCGAAGACGCAGCCCAAACCTCCGCCGGAGGCGGCATCACCGGTCCCGAAGGCGCAGAAGACGAAGACGACGACGGTGCCAATGCAGCCGCAGCAGCAGAAGCAGCGGCAGCTGCTGCGGCGAAAGAATCTGCCGAAGCGGCTGCTATGGAGAAGATGAATTTGCATTGGCAGTTTATTGTTGGCATGCTTACGAATCAGGGTCCTATGCCGTTGCAGAATATTGTTATGATGCTGAAGATTGTCGTTCCTGGTGGGTTTCCGTTTAGTAATGAGGAGCTGAGGGAGTTCCTTGGGGGGATGGTTTCTAGGGGCAAGTTGGAGGTCGTTAGCGGTGGCAGTTATAAGATTGTGCATTAGGTTACTGTTACTATGTATTTTTTTTGGCGTTGGGAGGTGGTGCATTGTGCATGGATACCCAGATCAATGATTTATGATTTATTTATCTTGTCCAAGTACAGTAGTTTTTGGATTCAGCTATATTCAACCAATGTTGTTTCTTTCTGAACAACTTCGTCATAGCTAAACCAAATCAATAAAAGAAGTGAAAAAGGTATCATTCTCATAATCCAAGCATACACATACACCCAAACTACCTCCCTAACTACTCAGCATCCAAAGGCGCAACAGGCGCCTGATCATCAACCTGGATACCTCCCCTCTTCTTCTCATTACTATCCCAGAAAGGCAACCTCCAGCCACCCTCCTCCTCAGGCGTAGCCAACCAGAGCCGCATAAGATGCCGTCTAGGCTTAGGCGGCGCATGATCCGTATAAGCCGTCCGCGCATGCAAAATATGCGCATTAGACAGGAACTGAATATCCCCAATATCAAGAACCATATGCAACGAAAGCCGCACACAAGTCTCCTCCAGGACCTTCAATGCCTCGAGTTGCTCTGCGCTCAGAGGGGGAATGATGCCGGCGTCGCTGAAGCGGCTCAGAGAGCGGACGTAGTAGGGGTCCCATTTTGTGTAGACGCGCGGCTCGATGCCTGTTTCGGCTGCGCTGCGCTCTAGGTAGATTACGCTTGTGCGGATGTATTCTTCTTGGCCGGTTGAGGTTTCGCCTTTGCGGTCGAAGTACCAGATTGGGGAGATTAGGGTTTTTAGGACGTCTGGGCGTTCGGCTGCGAGGGTGTTGTAGACGTTGTGGGAGGAGACTAGGTCGCTTTCGCCGCCTTCTAGGGCTTTGGCTATGCAGAGGAGGCCGACTATATCTGAGTCGTCGGCGTGGAAGTATTGGCTATTTTTATATGTGGTAAGTAAAGGCTCTTTTTCTTTCTTGCTTGCTTGCTTCTAATCGGGTAAGGTACATACCGAGCGTTGGTGCGGTAGATTCGGACCTTATCGATCTGCGTCGAATCCTCGCCGAGATCCTTGACGTGGCCGAGTACATGGCCGCGACTGTTCTGGCTGACGAAGTAGCCGAGGTATGTACCCAGACCCATGTATGCCACGGCAGACTTGTGGTTGCCCCATTTCTGGACAGGGAAGCCCTTGAATAGAATAAAGCCCTTTCCGTCAATGAGATCTGCGCGTAGCTTGTGGAGATAATCTGCTAGCTTTGGGAGCTGGAAGTTGCTCTATACAACAAATTGGATCATGTTAGCTTTACTCTGTCTTTTCTTTTGTTCTCCCTAGACTTAATATCTCACCTTCGAAATGCCAGTCAAAGGTGTCTTAGAAGCAAGGAAAGCATCTGCCGCAGCACTCAGCTCGGCTACCTGCTCCTCGTTGAAAGTATGCGTCCACTTCTCCGGGTTCTCGCGATAATCCTCGGCTTTCCAGACAGTAGGGCCGGTAATCTGGCGCGGGAACTGGTCGAAGGGGACGAGCTCGTCGTAGAGAGGGGGGTGCTGCCCGGTGGTTTTTAGCCCATCTGGGAAGATATCCTTGGAGATAGGACCACCTAGGTTGTGCGGAGCTGTTGGGAGGTCGCCTGTAAGAGCGGGTGCCATTTTGGAGGGCTTGTAGAGCAGGGAAAGGAAGTGGTGTGGCTATAGAGTAATGTATGACGAGGGTCCTCGGGTTATTTATACTTGTATTACATGTGCAATGAACAGTGATAATCCGTGATAATCCGTGATACTCAGTGAGGAATGATGTGGATTGTATGGCGTGCGAGATCCACCGAATAACTTCAGAATAGTTAATTATGTAGTATATAGGTATAGTTAAGTGACCAAATTGAGCTGATTGGGAGGTTCGGGGTGGGATGGCGCAATTTGCGGGGTCCGATGTTGTGATGACAAGGGCCGATCACGAATATTTTGTCAGGGTAGGAGTAGATGTTTGTACGAGATTTAAGAGTATATTAGCACAGAGTACAGTATAGTAGTATGGTAGTACTCCGTATCAGTTAGAATATAGAGTATGCATGTAGTCGATGTCAGTGAAATAAGTATAATGTGACAATGACACCGGCTATGTGATGAGCCGCAATAGAGGCCTACAGCACCCACGTTGCACTACACACTACACTCTACATTATTCGGTACGCGTCTATCCTATTCTCGCGTAATTCTCGGCCGATATCTTATATGCCTCCATCCCATGAAATACCGGATCGACCTTGGAAGCGTAGCGAACCAGCATGCTGCATATCGAAGACGCAACTTTATGCTGATCGAGAACCCACCTAGTCGATCATCTCATGCAAAATCAGGAACAATCTATCGGTCGAGAAGTGACTTCGGCTTTTGTTCGCTGGCTTATGGCAGGTTTTTAGGGCTAAAATCGCATGGTCTCGTCTACAGGCTGGTCCCCCAGGAAAGGTCTTGGCTTTTTTGTCCTAGTTATTGTTATTCGTCACATCTCTACCTAACCCCTTGGACTGTCACTTGACTTAGTGAAATATCCTCTGTTAATGTGTTGAAAGGTGGTCTGCATTCTATACCTTGAAGCGCCTATCCAAGCTACAGGACCAGAACCTGGCAAGCGAAGCAACAGAGGCCTGGCATCACAGGCATAATCCCGGTCTCAGGCATATATAATATTTTTTTCACACTCACTACTATAGCCTACAAAGGGAAATTTTGAAGCTATCACCACCTTTTACCGGCCGGAGAGGATCATCTCTTATTCGGCTTTCTATGGCGTTGAGAATTGCTACCCAGATAACCCCATAAACTAATTGCCATAGCCTTTTTGTGATTTCATGTCTACTTCGCTGCATATCCCTGTCGTCAACAAACTCCCCATGAGCTTATATCTTTCATTCTGTTACTAACAGAACGACGGACCAACCAGATGCTCTTCCGACAAGGATTCGATTTCCTCATTAGGAAATGACAGCTCCACCAGATGACTCAGAGAAATTCTCATTAGGTATGTAGATGCGATCTGGGCATCAAGTTCTTTTTGGCATATATACATTCACTCTTCGTTTTATACATATCTTAATACATTCCTTATGGCGAACAACATCCACGTCGCCGTGCTAGACGCAGACGTCCCCTGCTTATCAGTATACAAAGAGCGGGGTCTATACAGCTCTCAATTCCGCGTCCTCCTTCAAGCAGCAGCAACACGCCTTAACAAGAGCGCAGGCACAACCCTCCAACATGGCCCAGTAGCCGTAACCGTAACGGCCTTCGACGCCGGAGGCAGGACCCTACCACCACTCGAGACTCTACGAAACAGTCCAAAGACCCCGGCAGAGCCTCATGCCGGCGGACCACTTGGCCCGATAGATGCAATCCTAATCACAGGCTCAGCATCCTCAGCCTACGAAGACCTGCCCTGGATCCACGAGCTGCAAGCCTTCATCCAATCAGTGCATGCAGACTACCCGCACGTTAAGATCTTCGGCTCCTGCTTTGGTCACCAGATCATAGCCCAAGCACTTCTCTCCAAGGACCAAACCTCACTGGAATCGTCATTCCACGTCGCGCACTCGCAAGCTGGCTTCGAAATGGGTATCCAGCCCATCACTCTCGACCCGTCATTCACGGCGCGCTTCCCGCCTCTTGCGCGTGCTTCGGCGCTGAATCCATTCCGGATTCAGCTAATTCATGGTGATAGGGTTGTTCCTACGCCTGAAGCTGTTGCAGCTACTGGGGAGACGGATGTTTCTTTGCCGGCTCCGTGGTGTAATATTGGGAGTAGTGCCCAGTGCGCTATTCAGGGTCTTTATAACCCCGGCCGGGTTTTGACGTATCAAGGTCATTTTGAGTTTGATACTTTCGTTAACGGGGAGCTTTCGCAGGAATTTGGAAGGAGAGCGAATTGGCCGGCTGATGTCGTTGCTGGGTATTTGGAGTTGATTAATCGTTCGCTTGTTCCTGGCATGGATGATGATGATGATTCCAAGGCTGCTGCTGAAGCTGTGCTGTTGTTCTTTGCTGGTGAGGATTTGAAGGGTCAGGGGGTTGGGCTTGCTTTGCCTGGTAGTGGTTTGCTTACTCCTCCGTTGGGTTGAGCTTGTCTACAGGAATCAGTTAATGTGGCATAGATAGGATAGAAACAGAATTTATAATCATAGAGTACTATATCAATCAACCCTTGTTTCATTCATCGCCGTGATATTGAGATGAAACATCATTTCCAATCTCCCCAATCTTCCACAGTAAATGCTCATTGTTTATTGGGTCCTTGACATGCTCACCATTGAGAATCAACTCGTCAATCCCAGTTAAGTCTCTCAAATTCAGTAACCCCGAATCATAATGAGGCTTTTGACACATGCATTTGTATATCATGCTCACGGTCAAGACCCTTCCTATATCCACGAATACAAAGATGGGTCAGGTTAGTTGACAGACAATATGCAAGAGCTGCTCTTCTCGCGCAAGCCTTCGTTTGTCCCCGTGGCGAGGTACCAAAGTCTCAATTCCCAAGCTCAAGCGTTTCAAAGCCATGAACTCCTAGCTGGTCTCGACTGTTCGATGTCTTTTTGTCTATTGATTCGGTCAGCACACGCGCTATGGAAGGGGATTCCCAGGCGAAACTGTATATCGACACGCAAGAACCATCCAAGATTGTCCCATGATCCAATGACAGCAAGATCTCTATTGAGCGCTCGTTAGTTAATACTACTTATCTCACGGGATTGATCAAAGCGATATGCCAACACAAATCGACATTGGTGGTACTTGATGTTGATGCCGATATCGAATGGCCACTTCCGTTTTCTTGGGCCAATATTGGGCCATATGGCCTGGATTGGAATAGGGACGGTCCATTGGACTTATATGAAGAAGTCGCGTGGCTTGATTTTGTTGCATCGCTATGGATGAACAACGGGTCGTTTCCGGGTGGCCATAGTAGTGATGGGCATTCACAACCCTGACCGAATGAATTAATGATATAAACGTGGCGAAGGCTGCGCTGATACTATTGCTCTCGAAGTCACCGTTTGTCTCTAGGAGGAACTGATGGAGAGGCGATCCCCTTTCAACGCCATCATAATGGACTTAACAATACCCTTGAGCGAATGTGTGCTCTAGTCCACGCGCTAGGCGATATTAATAATCAACCCATACGGCCGCAGTGGTTCCTCGCAGTGGGTTTCATGTTACAGTACTAACCCAAAGCAGTACTATGTCTATCAAGGTAATATCGTTCCAGGAGCGGAAGATCTACGAACTCCTATGAGTGACAGTCTAGACCTAGAACGAACGGTCCGAGGGCAGATCGCCGGCTTCCTGTTCCCAACTTCTTTTTGAATTTGCCGGCAGAGGGGACAAACGGTTAACACGCGGGGTGGAGAGCTACGATCGTCATATCGGGTTGTCGAAGCTCACAGCACCGGGACTGAAGGGAGAACCCGCGACGGTGCAATATTGGAATTCTTTGTGGTCTTTGTCTCTGGAGGGAAAAGCGGATGTCTTAGCCCACTTTTGGAAGCGGTAATTTACTAAATTTGCTGCGAGTCAATCGGTGTTTGTAGGCAAAGCAAAAATGAACCTGCACCTAACTATTGGCTGAGATCGCGGAACATACCCATTGTTTCCCCACTTGATCGGGAGAATATGTGACGATCCCTACGATTTCCGATCTTGATGTCTCCTCTCTGTTCGCCGACTTGGGTTCGTATGAGTTGCCGGTATGCTTGGCCTGAGGGCCACTATTAGCGCTTCCTTCTCTCCCCTGAAGATTCAGCCCGTGGGCCTCGCAATGCCTAGACACGCCACCCCGAAAAGGAGCGGTGTGAAAGGCTAGTGGAAGATATGAGCTGCTTGTTGCTTTTCACTGGATGCCTCAGCTGCACAGATTACAAAAACCATGCATTGTTAGCACGGTCGCTCGGCCCATCTCACCTTCCATCGTATCCTTCTAGGCGTACAAAACCTACTCAAGGGGAACGAACTTCTCCACATCTAATCTCTGATCTCTCTCCACAGCCTCATATTCTTCCTAAACTTCCCTCACATCAAGCCCAGTAAGCATTTCACCCTCACCCCTTCGCCCTGGTAGAACCATCTCCCCTCTAACCATCTAAGTAGTCATGCCTCAATGGCTCGGCTCCATGACGTACCAGGATGACCAGTCCCTGGCCGGCGTATTCACGATCAAAGGCGAGCAATGGGTATTCGAGAACCCGCGATCAAAACCAGCCGCGACCTTCCAACATGCTCCGGCTGTTGTGAATATCCCCTGGAAGGAGGTCGAAAATATCCGCCATTCCCTCCGTGTGCGTGAGCCCTTTACCGCGATTATCAGCGGGTCTACTATGGAGATCACTTGGTCGAATGGGGTTCGAATCACGGCAAATGTGCCGCATTCTGGTGACTATAGGTATTTCTCGGGGGAGGGTGGTTGGCGGGCGCAGTGATATCAGTAATGGCAGCGGCGCTGGATGATTTTTATGTTTTTGGTGTGATTTTGGTGTGATTTTGGCTTAGCTTTTTGTATTTTTCGGGATATTGTGCATCATAATACAGCTTCGCATCTCATATTAATCATTATCATCTCGTGCATTGGAGGGGTTCAAGTGAAGCTTGGAACCGACCCCCCCAGCTATACTGGTCTCTACGCTGGAGCATCAGCAATCTTGCGGTCAGTACAACTCCCGAGAGGTGGGGTATTGGGTAGCCACATCAACACTATAAGGCGCCTCTGCAGGGTTAAATAATCTTCACGATGCATTGTCAGTTATACACTAAGCGGTGCTTGGCTGCATATACCTCAAGCATATACCCGAGAGCTAAATCATAGGGTTTTCGAGATCACTTAGATTGAGTAGAGCGGGGATATGCTTCTAATCGCACTGCATCCAAGTTATTAATTTGGTGTGTCGTTCAGAAAAACAGGACTAAAAACGCCACCGCTTTGTCTAAGCATATATACCGGATAATGTCTGGCAACTCTTGGCCTTCTCCTTCCGTTCTAGTGCTCACCCCCTCGCCGCTTTTGCTCCCTGAGTAGAATTGCGCACGCCCCTGACCGGTCTAAGCTAGTCAGTGATCATTATGTAATCAAGCTGATCACTCACTGAGCCTGATCGCCGACCGCCTTCCAATTTGCTGAGTCATCCTGTTCCCCACCACTCCATGTCGTGGATAGCACTCAGGTAGCTTCATCTTATATCACCACCTTTCGTGCCATCTCTTTCTCCATGCAGTATCGCCCTATTCACTTTTTTCTCGGTGCGTCTAGAGTGTGCTAGGAGCTAGATCATCTCATCACTGCATATTCGACCACTTCTGTGCCATCTCCCATCCAATCTCGTTCGTCCCTTCACGGTGGCATTCAGTCCTCTTGAGTACTACTTGATTTGCATGTGATGATTACGATGGATGGGTTTTTGTGGATGCAGGAAAATTTTTCTACTACCCTCTAGTGGCTTGGATTTGATATTGACCAGCAAAATGGACAAGAAAACTAAGAATTTCTGTACAGTGCACGGGACTGTACTATTGTTGAAGCTCTTCGAGCTGCCACTTTAGCGGCTTCTCAGCTGCCCTCACTGGCCCCACGTCACCTCCAGCCGCTCTTCGCCTTTTCCATACATCGATATCGCGCTGATCAACAAAGTTACCGTGCAGGCCGAGGCGTAGCTTGAATGGGAGACGAATCGCTGCAACTGGCCCAGCTGCCACGTTGAGAGCGTCCAAGATGACAATATCATTTCGAAGCTTATCAAGATGGTTGAAAAGAGCAATAATCCAACCTTCTCCTTCCGTGCCGCCCTCCTTTGGAATGAAGGTTGGTTCTTGAAAGGTTGCTCGTGGCCCAGCCCAGTATACGTCTTCTGTTCGATCGTTCCACGTGTAATGGCCAATGCAATTGAACAGCCCGCCAGCTGGCGATCCGCAAACTGCTGCGTCGTATTTCCTAGTAGGATCAATTCTAGCCTGCCAGAAATGGTTGTACTTCTTGCAAACATAACGATCGTCTATCCGGGAAAACTCTCCACTTGTATCCCACTGTACTTCTGGTTGTACTCTTGAGCCCGTAGGGGCTTGCGGGTCAAAGATCCACCGACATGTCGGGCTCTGGAGTACGTTTCTCTTGGCCAAGTCTGTATGAGGCGCATTCTCTGGAGGGAAGAAGAAGAAGACGTTCCCATCGGCGACAGTCAGGTCAAAGACCACCTTTCCATCTTCATTCTCATAGCAACCTGCGACGTGGCCATGAAATGCTGACTCACTGTTAGTACCAACGTCGTCCTATCGTGAAGCATCTGTAACCTACCATTATCGGATCTCAGCCACACAATATCTTCCGGCTTTCCTCCTCTCCTTGGTACAATTGCATACCACTGGTCTTCATTTGGGTCCCACGCCCAGTGATTGCCACCGGCCTCCAGGCGGTCTGTGCTGCACTTTAATGGAGTCATCGGTAAAACGACATAGTTCTTGGAAATTCCACAATCGTGTATCATGCCGCAGAAGGGTGCCTTATACCAGGCCTCTTCAGTCTTTTTACCATCCGCGCTGATGGTATAAACGACGATATCGAAAGATCCGTCGTTGCCATTACCACCAGCTTCATATCCAAAACAAACCAATTCACCTGTCTCAGGATCGATTTTCGGGTGCGCAGTGAATGTTGGTGATTGAACTTGGCCATCGAAATCGTATCGTCCGATAGTTTCCAGGGTCACAGGATCCATGGCATAAGGCGGTCCATCCTCTTTCGTCGCCAACAGCATGCCTCTCCAGAAGATGATGTTTGTATTGGCCGCTGTTCTAATGACTCCCTTGACTGCTTCGTTATCGGTATAGGGATTGCGGTAGCGGCCGAAGAGACTTTTCTTCGCCGCAGTTTCGGCTAGATATCTATCTGTCTTTGCATATCGCTGCTTGAAATCAGCGTTACCTCCTTCGATACGAATGGCTGTGATGTTGCCGTCGCCGTTGAAGTGGATGTCGTCTTCGTATTGAGGCGGAAATCTGTGGTCAGGCTGAATACGGTAAAAGGTTCCGCTGATTTCGGGAGGAATAGTGCCGTCAATCTCGAGCTGGAAAATGTCGCCTTCGAAACGTGAGGGCCCATTCATACCTTGAAAAACACCAGTTTCGGGAAACTTGATCCGATCATCAAGCTTCAGCCCTCCGACATAGGCCGGCTTGATCAAAGCAGCTAGATCTTGAATATGCGCCATGGTGAATGTTTTGTGTAAATAAGTTGAGTCAAGGTGTTGATTGTCTTCGGCGGTGGAGGCAAGATGTATTTGCCTTGTCGGTAGTATTTAGCCGAAGCACTTCATGTCTGCTAGTTACTACATGGCAAAAGTAGCACATGTCCTCAACTTCCGATGATTAGATTCCAAAAATTGAAAATTTAGTTGAATCTGCCCGATCAGAACATATCCATTGAGCATGGTCAGGTTGTCGGGAAATTTGAAGCCATCCCCTCAGTTGCCCGGAACGATGATGCCGACAACAAAAGGCTAGCAAATTCCTCATATATCGCTCCAAATCCGAAAGATACTGGCGTAGAAATTACGTGATACATTCACAATTGAAAGCAGCTAAGTCCACCAAAATGCTTGGAAAAGGAACAATCGCAGTGGAGGAGGCCGTCATCAGTCCTAACTCAGCTTGGCTACTGAAAGAGGACTTGGCCAAGCTGAGCCCAGAGGATTTTACTGAGAAGTTCTTTGAGGAACACAAAGCACGCCTTCAGGATATACATGGCAAACGGCTCCAATCAATGGACAATGAGGGTGTCGAGTACATGCTGCTTTCCCTCACGGCGCCGGGCTGTCAAGGTATCCAAGAAAAGGGGCTAGCGGAAGCCACCGCACAAGAAACAAATGACTGGCTGGCATCAGAAGTTGCCAAGAATCCAGCTCGATTTGGAGGCCTGGCAGCTTTATCCATGCATGATCCGTCCCAAGCAAGTCACGAGCTCGAGCGGGCTGTGAAGGAGTTGGGATTCTTTGGTGGCTTGGTTAATGATTTCCAGAGCACTGGTGACGGCACCGGCAAGGAGTATTTCGATACGAACAAGTATGATCCATTCTGGAGGAAAGTGGAAGAGCTTGACGTGCCCATCTACTTTCATCCTCGTTACACTATTGGGCCTGAGATGGAGACTGGGATGAAATACGGAGATCGACCGCATCTTCTAGGTGCCGCAGTGCAATTTCATCTTGACTTATCATTCCATATCTACGCCATGTGTTCTTCAGGTAACATCAAACTGAACCCTTTGCGATATGACTAGAGCTGAGTTTCTTACCAGGGATGTTCGACCGGTTCCCGGGTGTCAAGATTGTGGCTGGTCATCTTGGGGAAAAGTAATTCATGCGCACTTTCGCATATAGCAATGCTAACATTCTTCAAGCATTCCATTCAATCTTGTGAGAGCTTGCCACTGGTACAACAAGCCATCTAAAAAGAAGACGCGCCCGTCGAGGGAAGACTATCGCCACTACTTTCAGCACAATGTCTACATAACCACATCTGGAAACTTTAACACCAGGGGGCTCAAGTACTGCATAGATGAGCTCGGGGTTGACAAGTGCTTGTATTCGATAGGTTAGTTGGCACCTATCTATCATGATAATCCTCTAAGGCTTTGCAGATACACCTTATGATCAGGTGGAGGTGGCTCAAGCCTGGTGGCGCACAGTGGAGCTGGGCGAGGGCCAGAAGGAACGGGTTGGAAGAACAAATGCTATAAAGCTGTTCAAGTTACCCTTGGATATCTAAATATGTATCCCATTATAGTATCATGCTATGAATATTCTATCAACCCATCTTTGTATTTATCAGGTTGGCGAAGCTTTAGCACAGAGTTGGAGAGCACAATGCAGTCGCGGAGGAGTAAATCAGATGCACAATACTCAAGAACTATAAAATTTGAACTAAGAAAAAAATAGGAATACACATTCTCTCCTACGTGCATCGAGACTTTGAGCCCTTGATATCTGAATTTGATTGAAATACGTAGCGTAAATTTGATCGCGAACATTAAGGCTCCGCGAAGGCGGCGAGGTACAACAAATTGTAGTTAACCCTACTCAATCTACCCCGAATCCCTCACATAATGCCTCTTTATAGCACACTGCCAGTGCTTAAGCCTTTTGGTTTCTATTATATTTTTCAATGCGACAGCGAAAACCTCGCGGCTTCACAAACCAGACATTGTCAAGTTCCCACGATGGCGTTCCATTCTCTGGAACCAATTCAAAGTTTCGCAGAATCTGTGGGATAGCTTTGGACATCTCCATCAGACTGATATTCTTACCAATACACATTCTTGAGCCCATTCCGAACTAGTGAGTGCGCGTTAGCGATATTAGATCACGTCTTGCGCTCCAAGGGAGTCACTTGAAAACAGCGCAGAGCTTTCGCTTACCGTCATGGAATAACTATCCCGCTTTCTGACAATTTCAGGCTCTTCCAGCCAACGTTCAGGTCGGAAGACATCAACATCGGAACCGAAAATGTCCGTGTTGTGGTGTGCCACCCAACTGTTGATTCCTACAATGGTCTATTTATGCGGGCAAGATATAAGCACTCCAGCATGAGGAAGCTGAGAGACAATGAGATTGATACTTACCCCTTCCGGAAAGTACTGCCCTGCCAAATTCTGGCCACCTTTGGGCACCACACGACCAAGTATCAAGCCTGTTGCCGGATGTATGCGAAGAGCTTCCTTGATGACTGCCTGGAGATATGGCATCCGAGTAGATTCTCCGTATTTGACGGGGTCAGATAGCAGACCTTGATCAATGTTTTCGTTTATCTCACTCCTCAAGCGGGCAAGGGTATCTGGATATGTATATAGGAAGAAAAAAACGGCCGACAGAGATATCGAAGTTGTATCAGAACCGGCGCCAATGTTGGTCGTGCAAGCTGAAGCTATCTCAGCTTTGCTAATCTTGCTGGGATCCGTAGATTGAATACGAGTGAGTTTGGTGACAAAGTCGGCAGGCCCTGATTCATCGGACTTGAAATCGTCTGACAATAGTTTGGCGTATCGATTTTCCAATTTTGAATGCGCGAACATACGGACGTTGATCAGTCCCGGTAACTTCTTAAATCGCATGTAGAGAGGAAATATTATTTTGTGCCATTGTGCATATATCCCAACCCGCACTGCATACTTCGTAAATTCGTCGATGGAAGCCATGACCGACTGTAGGTCTTCGCCTTGGTCCAAAAAGCCGAATCTCTCTCCTACCTACGGAATATATAAGCAAATCTAGTTCGAATATCAGCGCTATAGAATATAACATACAGTGATATTTCCGATTACGTCAAACGCATAACATTGCATCCAGCGACACAGGTCTATCGTGGTGCCCGAGTCCGCGAACTCTGAGAATCTCTGGTGAAGAATGACGGAGCAATCGTCAACAAATGTCTCCATTTGCACCAAACTCGTCATGCTATACCCTGACGCAACTTTTCGTCGGATCCCAGCGTGAAGAGTGGGATCTCGCTCGGAGAAAAGACCAGGAACTAGGCTCAAAGGACTGCCACTTGCTTCGTACCATGGCGACTAAACCATGTGTAAGTTCAACGTTGCCCGTCGGTTTACTTGGGAGCAGGAGAGTAATGATACCTTTATGAAGCCTTTGCCGCTGCCATAGATAATCTTTGCTGACGCGGGGTCATCAATGCTGTATTCGTTGGGAGCTATGCGTACTATAGGGCCTTGATTGGGGTGTCAGCAGCGCCGGATATGGAGAGCTGAACATCACTTACCGTACTTTTTATGAAGCTTAACATTTGTGAAGGGGAATCGGCTAATGACTGCCTCCCGTAAAAGCCATAGCCTCGTAAACCTAGCTAGGAATGGTCCTGGTATGCGGAACAATGGGTGTGAGATTGCTTTATACAACGCCACCAAACAGATACCTGTTAGCCCGCAAAGGATAGGCAGCAATGGCAACGAAGGAATCTCGGTCATTGTAGAGTATGAGACGGAAATTGGAAAGAATGATGGTTCAATTGGAGAGCCGATTGTGTGGGGTGAATGTGGGGAGGAACGGCCTCTTTAGGGGAGCCCTGGTCGTGTCGACTTGGAATCAATTCCCCGCGCCTAAGAAAAAGCATAGTGGGTTCGGACGGATCTATCGTTCCGAATTCATCGGGTCTCATTTTGCCGCCAATACTTCGTGTATTGCGGGGAATCGATTTGGCAAATTCAAATCCGACTCTCGCTAGCCGCAAGCGAGAATACCGAAAGTTAGACTTGGGGTAAGTGGAGATGCGTTGAGAGCTCGTGATTGATCCGTCACGATGAACGAACGTAACTTTGAAAGCCAATGGCCATAGAATCACCAACATGTTTTAAAGGAGATTATGAGAAAACAGACATTATAAGGTAGCGCTCAATGGACTACCTCAATATTTTGCGTACAAGTCAACCAGTTTGTGTATGCGGCCAAAGGAGCCAAAATACTTAATCAAGCCCTAGCCATACTTCTTGGCAAGGAGAAGGATTGCAATAGCACAACCAACGAGGCCTGGAGACCGGAATGGTTTGATGTTTTCGGAGAGCACTTTGAGAAGCATAGGTTTGGATCGTGAATAACAGCAAAACTCAGAGCTTGATGGCCGTAGGAATGGACGAGCGTCGAGTTGAATATTTGCAACTAGTGACGGGGGTGACGGGAGCTCAGAACCATGAAATGGGTTGCACGCATGCGAATATCTAGAGGAGAGAGCGCGCGCGCGCGTAGCAACAACGGGTAGGCGACCTTGATTCCTGAGGCATCAAGGCCTCAACAACTGGCAAATTTCCAGATAGGCTGCACAGTCCCTTCCTGAACTGCCGATATGGGTTCTGGTTACGGTCACGCCGATTCAGACCATGGCAAGTGTTCTCCAAGCCGAATCACCGGAAACGGTAACCAAGGTTCGCGTACATGGGTCCGATCGTCTATAGTCCTCGCCAAGTATCGGTGCGATGAACCCGAGTGGCAACTTGTCAGTTGCAGACGACGCTTGGCAAAGAACGAACCTTATCACTAGGGTCTTCAACTAGGCCGAGACTATTCGCACGACAACATAGCTACTCTGACAACACGCTATACCTCGTTTGGAGCTACCAGGATAGGATATATTGCTGATCTCCATCGCCAGCATAACTTCCCCAAGAACTTCGCCAAAAAAATCCACTCTATAAAAACAGCTCTAAGATTCAAGGTTTCGGAAGCTCCCATTGATACTTTCACTTACAGTCATGCAAATATTCAAATCAACTCCTTTCCTCAATAGGGTATACTAATTGATTGAAATGTTATAATAATATTTTGATGAGGCGCGAGTCGCGCAACTGAAAATTATCTTAGTCCTCGGGGAATTGGGAATGTATATCTTCTTGGGTCCTACTAAATAGGCAAAGCGCTTTTGTTCGAGTAACTACGTTGTCGTGCGCATAGACCCAGCTTTTAACTAAAACATGGAGAACCTTGCCCGGCCCCGCAAGTGTGCTCCCGAAGTTCCCCATGATACTGATTAGGGCTCTTAGCGTACTTATTTAAGTTTTTGGAATCGAGGCCTCAGAAGTGCGGAGACTTACTCTCTTCCCCCCCGGAATGTGGAAGTAGGCAGGCGCCTAACTATATAAAACAGGGATCTAATGGCCACGTCCATAAAAATTTTGACATCGCTCCTTAACTATATCCCAATATCTTTATAATCTGCCAAATATGACTGAATTCACATCTTCTTTGAGAAGCATTTTCTTCAATGTCTGGAGAGAGAAGCGAATCTTTGCCATCTCTTTCGGCATAGCCTTAGCGCAGTTCCAGTATGGGTTCGACTCTTCTGCCGTTTCAGGCTTCCAGAGCATGGTTGGGTTTCTGAAGATCTTTGGTTATGAAGATGTGAGATGCCGCAACTCGATTTTTGCAAATTTCAGAAAACGCAGCTGACCTCAGTCTTGGGGAAAAGCCAACCGAATCGATCGGATACAACATCCGGACCACTCCGCATACCCTCATCCAGAGTCTGATGCAGGTTGGCGGGCTGCTGGCTTCCATCTTTATCTTCACATTGGGCTCGGGCATCAGTCGCCGCCTCGGCCTGTGGATTGCCTCGGCATTCAGTTTGATTGCTGTCTCTGTTCAGATTGGCACCACAAGCTTTGCAGGCCTGTACCTAGGCCGCTTGCTTTTAGGTGTATCCAACGGTTTTTACCTCACTTACTCTGTGACATATATGGGCGAGATAGCTCCGGTATCCATCCGTGGCGCACTCATCGGCCTAGTAACATTCCAAACGTCTTTCGGCGCCCTCGTGGGCGTCCTTGTGGATAACTATACCGAGACTTATTTTAATCGGCTGTCATATCAAGTACCTTTGGCCGTCATGTTCGCCATTCCGGCGATGCTATCGGCTGCCCTGATATTCCTTTGCGACACCCCCAGATACTACGTTTCGATCGATCGTGAAGATCTGGCTTCAGCCTCCATCCGACAAATACGTGGTATTAAGGATGAGTCCCAACTTCGAAATGAGGTTAGGGAAATTCATGCTGAATGGACTGCCGAGCGTGAACTACACCAGAACGTACATTTCAGGGACGCCTTCCGGGGTTCCGATCTTCGACGGACGATGATCACAATCGGTACGGGCATCGCCCAAACAGCTACGGGAATCATCTTCATGGCCGCCTTTTCGGTTTACTTCTTCGTTCAGGCCAATATTGGAGAACCATTCAAGTGGGTGATGATCAGCCTTGCTATCGCAATCACAGGCAACCTAGCAGCCTTTCCGGCCATGCGATGGATAAACTTTCGTCCCATGTTGGTCATTGGCTCACTTGTGAGCGGAGCTTCCATGCTGGGCATGGGAATTGTTTACACTGTGTCGCCCGTTGGTTCTCCCGAAGCCGGAAAGGCCCTCGTCGGCCTCAGCATTCTCTTCACTTGGGTCTACGGTTTTGCCCAGGGCCCCGTGCTGTGGGCCATACAAACAGAAATCCCGGCGCAGCGATTGCGCTCGCAGACGGTTGGCTTAGCGCAAGGCTGTAATTTCATATTCGCATGGCTTTGCACGTACTGTACGCCTTACTTTGTCAACCCGGATTCTCTGGGTTGGGGGCCGAAATACTGCTACATCTGGGCTGGCAGTAACTTCATACTCGCCATTTGGGTGTTCCTGTTTGTACCTGAGACCCGTGGTAGAAGTATCAGACAGATTGATGAGATTTTCTCGAGCAAGATCTCGGCCTTGAAGAGTTCAAGGTCTATTTCGGCAAATGGCCTTTCCAATAGGGATGGCATGATCAGGGCAGAACTGGGAAAGGAAAGTGATGTTGTTCAACTTGAGCATGTGACCGAAAGATGATTCAAGTGGCTGGGCGAATGGATCAGATAATACTAGTAGGTCAGACTTTGCGTTTCATTTCTCCCACGGTGCTTCATGTTATCAAGCATCTAAGAGTCTCGCTGCCCAGGTGGTCTACCCGGGAAATTGGAATCTGAAGTAAGGCTGCATATCACAAATAATGATCGACCATGTATTTTGCATAGTTCTTTATTCGAGAAATATTACGCGGAACTTATAGCTTAAGAATACTTCAAGATATCTAATTCACACAATCATGCCTCTTCAAACTTCATCAGAACGCTCTTTGTCTCCAGATAATTTTCAATACCAACCGTCCAACCTTCACGGCCAATGCCACTAGCCTTGTACCCACCGAATGGCATGTCTCGTGCCCCTGCCGGACTGGTACAGTTTACTCCAACCGTCCCCGCTTCCAGAGCTTTCGCCATGCGCAAAGCCCGGTCAACGTTCTTAGTGTATACAGAGGCGTAGAGTCCAAAGTCAGTGTTGTTTGCCTTTTCGATGACTTCATCTTCTGTTTTGAAGGTATTGATGTTCACCACTGGACCAAAGATCTCCTCCTTCATGATCTTTGCGTCCTCGGGAGTTTCGGTGAATATGGTAGGGTTGACAAAGTAGCCCTTCACGGAACTCACCGGGTCAGCGCCAAGGATCAGTGTGCCGGATTCTTTGCCGGATTCGATGTAGGATTTGACATTGTTGTATTGAATCTCGTCTGCTTGAGGACCGTGGTTCGTCTCTTGAACGGTAGGATCTCCTGCCTTCACTGCTTGGAACTTCTTCCTGAAGGTCTCGATAAATTGCGGTGCTATTGATTCCTGGACATATATTCTTGAATTTGCCATACAGACCTGGCCGCTGTTCCATTGGATGCTGTGCTGAGTCTCGGCAGCGGCCTTCTCGATGTCTGCATCCTCAAAAATTACGGCCGGTGTCTTGCCTCCAAGCTCGAGGATGACATTTTTGAGGTTAGATTTGGCCGCAGAAATTTGAATTGCCCGTCCAGTTCTTCCAGAGCCGGTAAATGTGAGAAGGCGGACATCCATGTGAGAAGAAAGCAAGGCTCCCGAAGTATGCCCATGTCCTGAAATAATATTCACCACTCCAGCTGGGAAGCCGGCCTTCTCGACCAAACTTGCGATCTTAGCTGACTATGGGTCATTAGCTGTGGGTCATTTTTCCAGACTGATAATTCCAACTCAGAATGCAAAGCTTACAGTCAATGGAGCCTTTTCGCTGCTCTTAATCACGACAGTATTTCCCGCCATCAAGGCTGGCGCGGATTTATTGGAGAGAAAGAGGATTGGGACATTCCAAGGAATAATGGCAGCAACCACTCCATATGGCTGACGTAGTGTCATATTGACATGGCCTGGGGTGTTCAGGCTGGAGGTTCCCAGGGCCTGGTAGCCAGCCTCGGCATAGTGACCAAATGTAGCAGAAGATGCGAAAGCATCAAAGTATCCGGAGACTGGCCTCCCCATTGATATGGCCTCGAGGTAGGCTAGTTCGGAGTGGGCCTCCAGAATCAGGACAGACAGCTTCTTCAGATAGCCACCACGTGCTTCTGGTGAAAGAGCAGCCCAAGCCGGAAAGGCTGCTTTGGCTGCGGCGACGGCGGCATTCGTGTCCTGCTCGGTAGCCTCATATACTTGAACAGATAGATCAGCATTTTACGTCGAATTGTGGGATCTCGAAGCCCATCTGGAGTGAAGGTTGCTATTTGGCTTACCTTCGGCAACTGGTTTGAACGTAGCCGGAGATTTGAGTGTGAATGTCTGCTTATCTGAAGATTCCCTGAACTGCTCTCTACTTTAGCCATTATTCACAATGTTGTATGGGTAAGACGTACCTCTCCATTGATGAAGAGACGGGTCTCAATCGAGGCTGGGGGGTCGAACGACATTTTCATAGATATTGTGAGCTGGCGAGCTTCTGAAATTCGGTGTGAAATGTTCTTACTCTGAGAGGTGGCACTCTTTCCATCCTGTCGCGTCCAAAGTTGATTTTGTACTGTTAAGGCCGATGCCTCAGGCATACAGATCGTCCACCCGTTCTTGCCACGCACTCCCTTTCTCCAAGTCATTCGCATGCATCCACCACATTTCATGGTCTTGAGCTTGCGTCATGTGCAAATGTTTCCGTCCCCTCCATACACTTGGTCTCCGAGTTTTGCCAGCGCTTGCTCGAAGAGAGGGGTCATTCGGAAGCAACTTAGATTAGCTTGGAGCCACTTCGGGACTATGGCTCCGATGGGGCCGCATTGATCCCCCGAGACTGTATGCGTCACGCTTGAGGATGGAAGAACTGATTTCAATTCAGCTGACTTTGAATACCCCTGCATTTTCCGACGGCAATGCCAATTTCAATCATTGGCTTGTGTAGTCGGTTCCTCCGAGTCGGATGGTAGTATAAAGTGGTTCAAGAAAGTTCTCCCGCTCTGCTGAGGAACACTTCTTACAAATCCCGTGGCTAATTCGCAGACTTGTGAATCTAGGTAGCAGTTGAGGATACCATTTCGACAGAATGAATGGCCAGGACTCTACCCCGGACATCGCTCAGCTGCTGCGAACAGTCGAGGGCCTTCGATCGAGCGTCGACAAGCTCACGCGTAAGTGCAGAATCCCACAGCCTCTGTATCCTCCGACGCGTTCCAGCTATTACTTTTCCTAATTCAAAAACAGATGAATCCGAAATCAAGAAGCTTCATCACAAGTATGGATACTACTTAGACAAATGCTTGTATCAAGAGGTGAGTCGGCAACCTGCTTCTTCATATTCGCTTTGCTAAAGCCATCTCGAGTTAGGTCGCCGAATTGTTCTCCAACCATCCTGAAACCTACGTCCAGTTTCTCAACGGCCGTTTCAATGGCAAGCAATCCATTGAACGGCTTTACGTCGGCCGCTTCGCCAAGCACTTCGTTGCAGGCCGCAATGGCCCGATTGAGGGTTGGCTCCTGGATCACCTCATGGCCCAGGATATTGTGGACTTCGAGCCGGGCTCCAATCGTGCCAAAGCCCGCTTTCGCACCCTGATGAGTGCGGGAACTCACGAGTCAATGTCCCAAGACTACCCAGGAGGGCATCGCCAATGGTGGGAGGGTGGTGTTTACGAGAATGAATACATTAGGGAGAATGGCGTGTGGAAAATTTTCCGCCTGAGGTACTGGCCTTTCTGGCACGGCGCATTTTCGAAGGGCTGGCAGCACTGCAACAACTTTATACCATTGTACAAGGAAACTTACCCAGCACTTGAATGGGGCCCTGACGAGATTTTAGAAGATGAGCGGCTCTGGCCGGACACGAGAGTGGTGCCATTCCACTATGCGCACCCGGTGACGGGTAAGGAGGTCACGGAGTCGAGCCTCAAGGCGCCGAAATGGCGTGGCGACGAGGCGGAGGCATTGCCTGCGAGGAAAATCACGGATTGGGACATGTAGCTAGCAGGTCAATCTGCCGAAGAGCAATGATGAATTTCGAAACTTCCGCCGCTGCGAGGCCCACGCTGTACATACAACTTAAATAGGGCTAGAGCCTCCCATGAAAACTGCTCCTCCTATTCAAGTCTAGTTGTTCTTCATGTGCCAAACAGATGGCGTCAAAAACGTAGCGATAGTTAGGTGTTGAGATGCGGCGATTGAGGCATTACATCTGGCATTCACGTCAGGCATTCACATCGCCTTCCTGGCTGCGCTCTCTCTTAGTTCCTTAGTCATTCCAACGCAAGCACCACAATTTATGGTCCTGATCTTCCGTCATCTCCGTCAATGTTCTAGGCCCCACCATGTCGCCCAGCCGTAAAGGGGCGGACATGATTTGTTGGGTCTGTGACCTGTGGGGAACCCCTCAATGTACCATTGCTAGAATGTGGGGTATTCCAGCGTACTAACCCGTAAAGTGCTAGGCCTGCCCCGCTCAATGCGAGCAGCGAGGCCTCCGGAGTATATAAAGGGCTTGGCCCCGGCCGCCTCTCCTTTCTAGAATCCTTTCTTCGTGAAACATTGCGTAACCTCCAGATCAACTACCTACCGATATACTTACTTCCTGCCATGACAGATACTTCTGGCAAGCCAGTGCGCAGGGGTCGTACGGCCATGAGCTGTGATCGGTGCAAGAGCAGGAAAACAAAGGTAGCTCAGCCGCGTTATCCCAGGCCCCGTTCTCCTGCTGACAGTCAATGCGTGCATCAGTGCAAGAATCCAGGTATTTTTCTCTCTACGCATGTCTTCTGGTTTTGCTCCCCTCCTGACAAGTGTCTTAGTGCCTGGACCATGCGAATATTGCAATAATGTCGGCGCCATCTGCCAGATTAGCACAGAGAGCCGGCGACCAAAACCGTTCTATTTCGTCTCCAACGAAGAGTATCGCCATATGCGGAAGATTCTAAGTTATTATTACCCTGATACCGAACTTGATGTTCCGGCACTACGGGCCATTGCATCACAGTGTGCCAGTGACCAGCCCCTGGTTAAATTTCCAGATGCCCATGCCAAGATGATTCCCGGAACTGTGCATAGCAGCACGCCCATGGGCGAAAAGCCTCCTCCAAGCGAAGAGGATTCCGCCGTGCAAGCTATTGTACAGCTTCACAAAGAGTACGGCTGCATGTTGGCTGACGCACACGGCGAGTATCGTAAGCGCTTTGGATTGGAAAGGTAACAAAGCAAGCATTAATGAACTTCAGGCTACATTGGAGCAGACTCTGGTGTTAGTTTCAACAGTGCAGTCCGAGACATGAAGAGCCCAGATGGACCCGTCCGAGGCGGCGAGCGCGTCATCATTTCCCCTTTGCGAAAGGTCACTCTCCCAAAGCCCACGCCTAAACTTCGTCGCAATGGTCCTTTTGGACAAAATATACAACTGCCGCCGAAAAGTGTATGTATGCGATATGTGTCAAGGTATTTTGAAGAACTTCACTGCATTTACTGGGTCTATTCATCCGAACAATTCTACACGCGTCTAGAAGAAACATATGCGGATCAGAAAACTCCCTGCACCTTCTCTTGGATGTGTTCAATATATTGCATTTTTGCTATCGGCGAACTGAGCGACTCCCCTTCTGAACGGGCAGCCGGAGGGGTCAGCGGAGAAGACTACCTGGACATGGCAAAAGCTTTACTCTCTGACGTATGCGATGAAGCGAGCCTTGACAGTCTAAGGGGATTGATTCTACTTGTGAGTACTTGAAGTCCTCGTTGGCGCTTTCTGGTACGACGGGAGTCCTGATGACAATTTCAGGCTCTTGCCTCGCAAACCCACGGTTTTTTGAACTCGGCCTACCTCTATTCTGGGATTGCTGTCCGAATAGCATGTTCCCTTGGTCTACATCTCGATAAATATTTCACTCCCCATCCGGTCGAGAAACAGCATGCACGGAGGTTATGGTGGTCCTTGGACATATTTGATCAGGACGTTGCACACAGAGTTGGGAAGCCTTCGATGATTGGAAGTCTCGAAAATGTGACATGCAAACCAGAGCTGCCTTCGGAAGAGGTATTTATATCTACTGATCGTGTAGAAGCGTATCTCAAAGCTAAACTGAACCCAGATACTCAACCCTGGTCCCCATACCCCTGCCGGATGCCTTGAGCTCGCTTCATCGCTCACACAGCTTACCAAGGCTATGCGCCATAAATTGTACATTGGACCTCTTGAAGGTGGAAGGAGGTTGACTCTAGAGACATTCACCACTATGCTAGATTCGCTGCGGGAATGGCATTCCGGTGTGCCGTCGTATCTGCAATACGATGCGCCCAGTCCTCCGTTGCATAGAAGACCTCTGTGCTTTCTGCATCTGCGATACTGGAACCTGGTCATACTTTCTACGCGGCCATTCCTGCTCTGTAGCCTTTTGCGTCGAGAGCAACTACAACCGAACTCGAATTCCCGATCTTTCGAAGAGTTCAGTGATATCTGTATTGATGCTGCCGGACAGTCTTTGTCCATAGTGCAGAAGATGATGGACGAGCATACACTCTCCAGCCTATTGATATCCGACTTTTATTTTGTCCTTGATCTCATTCAGATCCTGCTAGTCGCATTCGCACTTCGAGGCTCCCAAGTTTTCCTTCAACAAGCCAGTGAGTGCCTACAGGTGCTCAAGTCTATGAGCTCATCAGGTTACTGTCAGCGGATGTTCCCTGAAACATTGAACGAGCTCCGGGAATGGGGTGTTTTGAGTGGGCCCATAGACAACTCCAGCGCCTTGCAACATCAAGACGTCTCAAGCTTTGAGATGGAGCCCGATAACGGGCTTTACGAAGCGTATGTGATCCTCCCTCAACGATGCTCTCAATGGGGATTTTACTTTTTTTTTCATGTCACGGTAGCTTAATGTCCATTGGCACCTGACTTGGGAGTTCTGAGATTTGTTTGCTAATTATTGAGGTAGAATTTTTAACCTTGGCGACCTTACAGAGGGCGACATTGCCTCTGCTAACTTCGGATGCATGGTTGGCGAGAACGACGATTTACTCATGCAGCAGATGCTTGAATTCTGAGTGTCAGTATTGGGCGAGCGGTAGGGAAGTATATTCAAGTTTCAGAAACAGGGGGAAAGGAAACCCGTAATACCGCCAGGTTTACAACTATCTTAGGGACGATTACCAGCCTTCTTGCTGTTGTTCAAGTTATGGATCATACCGGCGTTTGGTCCGTTGCTCAAGGTTATGTGACGTCTCATATATGCCACCAAATGTCCTGCAATTTAAACAAGGACAGTTGACTTCCTGGTGGGTTCTGTGGTAATCCGCCAAGAATATAAGTTTCCCCCGTGGACGCCTCAATTACTATTGTACTCTTACACACTAAAGGGGGGAAAGCGGCTCCTGATGAAGGATCTAGGAATATGTTGACCGGGATTATGGGTCCTTTAAGTACATATCAATAAACCAACGGAGCGAAGGCCCGAGTCCAGTGGCCATTTAGCTATGTCCTACGCCACCACATCAATGAAACTAGTATATTATCGGGACTACTACACATGGATACCAGGAGAGCAACCGATTTAACCATTCTTCAGGTTTATTTTGTGGGGTAAAATGAACACATATAGAGACGCTGCACACAATTACTAGTATACCCAACATCATCGCGAATGCTCCTTTCCCCCCGGGTCTTTTCATGAAGTATTGATGATTCAGCGGATAGATGATTGATTCAGGACGCCCGGTCTCCTCAAGTTGTGCCAAATCAAATACTTGCCGGCGGTCGATTCTCTCACGGACCTGATGGGAGAAACCCATCAGACCCGCTGCTACCTTTTGCTCTCTTGTGGGAGGGGTATTTCTCCATCATCATCTTGAAAAGGTGCAAATCTTTAACGGCATCGGAGCCGCTGGTTTTGATTGTTTTTCCATTGACAATGCAGTCGTGCCATTCTCTCAATTCAGCCGAGTATGCATCTTCGTATGATGTTTGGAGTGATCGGTGACATCTTTCCCCGTGCTCGTTCAACTCGTCAATTTCAACAGTGATCCCAAGGCCTTTGATAAAGGGGTTATCGTAATTGATCGAGACGCACTTATTCTCTCCAAAAATGGCAACCTGAGAATCAAATCTTGGTACAGAGTCAATTCCAGTCTCATAAAGACATGTAAATCGCTCATTATTGGATTTGTTTCGGTACTCGAACATTGTCGTATACCACCGAGCGTTATCTGTCGATGCGAGGACTTCTGCGGGAAGCCCACCCAGTACCTCTCTCATCAGGCTGAGACCATGGCTTCCAAGATTGGCAAGAAGACAACAATACTCCATCTCTTCCGGGCTAATCTCTGCAAATGGAACTCCCGAGGCTTGACCTAGCAGCGCTTGCAGCCTCTCTTTCCTGTCTTCTCCTGCCTCGGCGGGAATATCGTCGAAAAATTTCTGGGGCTCGGCTCCCGACTGCCCAATGAAATACGCATTTGGACCGATAATGTCACGCACTCTGGCATACCTGATAAAATCAATGGACGCGACTTCGCGTTTGAAGGCATTCAAACTAGGCGCATAGCGTCGCATGTAGCCGACAAAAACACGGGCACCATTTGGCGCAGAGGACTCTGCATCGTTGATTTCCTTCGCAGCTTCCAAGCTCAAAGTAACAGGCTTCTCAACAAGTACGTGCTTTCCCGCTTGAAGAGCTGCAATGGCGTAAGGTGCATGAAACTCATCCGAAGTAAGGACCACGACTGCATCGATCTCACTGTCGTTGAATATTTCAGTTGGATCTGTTGTCGGGCGTGGAATACCGAAGCGATTGGCACAATGAGTCGCGGTCTTCAGGGAGATGTCACAGATAGTTCTCACTTTGAAGAATTTTGACAGGAATGCAAACGTGGGAAGGTGAACAATTTGGGCCACATCTCCGCCCCCAATAACACCAACCTGAATTATTCATTGCGACATGGTAAATAGTTATGCTTCAAGTTCTCAGGAAAAAAATGATGGTGATGAAAGGTAAAATGATATATGATCTTCGTAATACATAATCTACTGGCGAGTACAATGATACGACAGTCCCATTATAATCGACTATGGCATACTTAGACTAAGTATAAGGTTTTAGTTGAACGGATAAGGGTAGATGCATGCGAATGTTAGTAATGCGGGAGTATGTACAGTGAAGTCACGCCATGAGAAGTGAAGAGTGGTCGCCTGCGACTTCGGAATTCTACAAACGTGCTAATTCTCCGGACCCGGCCTCCTCTTCTCAAATTATATTCGGTGGTGATGCCAGATCTCCGACTGCATGTCCTGTCGGGCTTACATTTCTCAGTGTAGCTGTACGACCCATTGCATTGAAGACGGAGCGTGGAACTTTGAGGTTGTATACATATAACTGCCTATGTTGGAGTACTGTATAGAATTGGGTGTCAGATGTTCTCAAAATTGGACCACGACAATAGCTCCAACAACACTAGTCATATCCTATAAACATAATACGTTTCATGGAAAAGACCTCAGTTATAGAGCAGACACACTTAGTTTGTACTGTAGTCATAGTTATGAACAATCCTATTGTGTCACGGGATTCTGGATAATGACGTAACTGCGTGCCGCGTCTATACTCTACCCGACGTACTTAATTCTCCTTAGTCCCAATTGGCACCCATAGAACTGGTGTTTCGCCTTCATATTACACTTTGGCGTCTTGGACCCAATTGCCTGTTGCCTGAAACCCTATGGCCAAGGCTCTTACGCGGCCCGACGCCATCGCCACATGTGGCGGTGTTCAACGTGTGCTTTACTCCGTTTCAGAGTCTGGAACTGCTCCCAGGGTCTTCGATGAACCCTGCAGATCGGAGTTTGGCCTCTTTGGTCAAGTTCGTCCGGGATAGGAATGCTCTGTTTGCATTGAATCTGTCACAATCGAGGCAAGGGACATGGCTGCCCGGATCTCCGGCCACGAGGTAATAGTGTATGCCTTGACATTATGTGGTGGAAGTACTGGCTACTTAGGACGTACTCTCATGGTCCAATTTAATAACTTTTTAACTTTGATTTTCCACCCGATGTTAGTGGTCAACGTGAATCAAAATGGCATGCTCATTGAAGTCTCTTCTGTGCCGTCAAAAGCCAAATGAGAGGGCGTGTAGATCGTAGCTAAGTATGGTTGGAACGGTAGCCGGTACATCTGGCTTCGTCACTGCCAAGCCTCTTCCCCCGTTGCAGCCACAGTCCCCTCTCCTTCTCACTCTTTCATCTTCCATCTCGATTCTCTAAACTTCGCTTTTTAGACAGGCTCAGAGTTTGACTCACTCTCTTCGAGCCACTTCGCCACCTCCCCTTCGGAACGGGAGCTGCATGAGAGAACGCGCTTGACTACCGTCTTGGGCCGCGATTCGGAGAAAGAGAGGCCGTGTGTGCTTGGCAGATCAACTCCTCTGCTATAATCATTCGCGTCGAACAATCGACTTCTATCCTGCGACTACGATCCATTCCGCCCATCCGCCCTTTCCTGCGACCGCATAACCGACACCATGTCCAAGGTCGTGCGCAGTGTTAAGAACGTCACAAAGGGGTACTCCTCAGTGCAGGTCAAGGTCCGAAATGGTACGAGTGGTCTCATTCTTTTCGAATTGCTTGGTGAATAGCCAAGCCCGGGCGCATTCGCAGAATGGCTGTATTCGCGGCCTATCTCCCTGTTTGACCGGCGCTGCTGCAATGCGCCCCTCTATTCACCCCGCATGTAACAAGACCAAGACACTGACTTTCATATCTTTCAGCCACAAGTAATGACCCCTGGGGCCCTACGGGCACCGACATGTCCGAGATTGCCGCCATGACTTTCGGGAGGTATGACCGGCCTCTGCCCAATTGTGTGGATACCACTAACATCATTTGTATAATAGTCCGAACGAGTTTTACGAAATCATGGACATGCTCGACAAGCGACTGAATGATAAGGGCAAGAATTGGCGGCACGTGCTGAAGTCACTCAAGGTCCTGGACTACTGTCTTCACGAAGGCTCGGAGTTGGTGGTGACATGGGCGCGGAAAAACGTCTACATTATCAAGACTCTGCGCGAGTTCCAATACGTCGACGAAGAAGGAAGAGATGTTGGCCAGAACGGTAGGTTGCCTCTCCACTCGAAGATGTCGCGGTACTGACAAGTGGGGATATAGTCCGAGTGGCAGCAAAGGAATTGACCGCTTTGGTACTGGACGAAGACCGACTGCGCAGCGAACGATCGGACCGAAAGCTCTGGAAAACCCGTGTCAGTGGACTCGATGAAGGCTATGGAAACTCCGGGGGCGAACCCCCACGTCGAGAGCGACGCCGACGCAACCCGGACGATGAGGACGATACCGAGTACCGTTTGGCCATCGAAGCCAGCAAGAACGAAGCCGAAGAAGAGCGCAGGCGACGGGCCAAGGAGACCATGGCAGGCGAAGAGGATGAGGACCTAGCCAAGGCTATCAAGCTCAGCAGGGAAGAAGAAGACCTCCGCAAGCGTGAATTGGAAGAGAGCAATGCACACTCTCTCTTTGACGACACTCCAGCTCAAGTCCAGCCAACCGGTTTTAACCAGGGCTACCAGCAACAGGGTGCTGTGGATTGGTTCGGAAACCCCATCAATGTGCAGCAGCCTATGACGACCGGCTTCTTGAACAACCAGTATGCCCAGCCAACAGGATTCCAGAACCAGTCCACCGGCATGAACAATCCCTACGCCAATGGCTACCAACAGCCCTCGGCCTTTGACCAGAACCCTTACGGCCAAGCTCAGAACAATTTCTTGCAACCGCAGGCTGCTCTTCAGCCTCAGCAAACCGCATTCAACCCCAACAACCCCTACGGTGGTGGTGATATCTTCGCGCAGCAATCTCAACAACAGCAGCAACCTCAGGAGAACTACCCGACAGCAGGAAGCAACAACCCATGGGGCGGCAACCAGCAACAGCAACAAGCTGATGCCTTGAAGCCTATGCAGACCGGATCAAACAATCCCTTCGCCCAGCGTACTCAGACACAGTTCAACAACCCCGCACAGACTGGACCTCCAACTCTGAACTCCTTGGCGGAGGACCGCGCAACGAACCAGTTCAACCAAGGAAACTCGACCCAGTTCGGTCAAATGAACAAGCCATTCAACCAGCCCTCTCAACCCAACCCAATTTCCGGATTCCAACCCCCACAGCCACCGAAGAGCACTCCACCCATGTCACAGGATCCTCACCATGCTCGTCTGAACGCACTTCTCGCATCAGGCGAGGGCCTGGACACCTTCGGAAACGTTGGAGACCTCCGAATTCCCGCGCAGCACACAGCCCCGGGCACATTCGTCAACTCTGCCGGCCAAGGTCTGGATCGACTACACGCCACGCCTACTGGAAACAACCCATTCTTCGGTCAGCAATTCACAGGCATGCCCCAGCAGACCGGCTTTACGCAGCAGCAGCCTACCAACAACCCCTGGGGTGGTCAGCAGCAGCAACAGCGCGGAGGTAGCCTCATTGACCTGTAATCAAGCCACCGTTGAACTATCTCTTGATTCATCCTTGACTTCGCGAAGGCCTCACATGCGGATACCATCTATCTCTTTGTTTTGTTTCTGTCTGCTTTCTCGCTCTGTCATTCGGGGGCTTGGTTTTCTGGTTGCGTTACCCGGTTCTTCGTTTCTCTCCCTATCGTCACCAAACCGATACTCTACTCACCACAATCTTCCTACATCTACGACCGCTGGACCTGCATTGTAAAGTGAAGGCTTCTCAAACACCCATGGCTTTCTTCGCTCTCCGCGCTCTCCCGCTGATGTATTCACTTGGGACCTTTTATCGCTTCATTGTCTTTTTACCCCTCGCCTCAAAGACTCTTTCTTTTGTTTTTTTGTTACCTTTGCCATTAGGATATCCTTCTCATTTCAAATCAGTTTCCTGAGGTCTTTACATATTCCCTTTTGCTGCATAGTTTTCGGTTTAGTCGAGCTGTGATTAATCGTACTTGCTGAGCCACCACATCTTGTTCTGATCTTAATTGTAAGCGTTGGTCTTGTGGTTTTATGAAAGAGTACTTGGTGTAGATTAAGGTAGTAGTATGAGGCGAATGTGGAATGTGCTAGATATCTCGCCTTAAACAATTTGGTTTCTCATCTTTAACTTACTCTTACGGATTCTTCTGCAAGTAGATGTCCGCTACACTTCTTGATAGAAGCGAACAGCGAAATAGATGAGGCCATACGCATAAAGATTTAAAAAGGAATCCTAGAATTTTGATTGCACATAAGGTATGGTATCTACTCATCATCACTCTCCTCCTCCTCACTCTCCTCTTCCTCACTACTCTCCTCCTCGGCCTCAGCCAACCAATCAACAAACTGCTGAGCCTGACTGCGAACAGTCCTCATCTCCTCAGTAGCACTAGACCGCTCATCGTTCCACCACTGATCATAAGCCTCCTCATCAACAAGCTCAAGCTCATAAAGACTCTTAGCAGTAAACAGCAAAACGGTATCACCCTTAGAGCGATGCACAAGATCCTGCTGAAGCAAAAGCAACAAATCAACCTGATCCTTCTTCTGCTCCTTCTGCCGGTCGAACAACGTCCGCTCAACAACCTCCTTGTACTTAGCGAAGACTTCGCTGACAGCCTGGCCGGCGCCCTTGCCGGCTTCCATCAGTTGCTGGATGTGCTTCATGAATGAGGAGACGATGGCGCGGCGGACTTGGTTGTCCGATGCGTTGGCTGTCATGCGGAGACTGACTAGCTCGAGTTGGACGACGTCGGCTGAGACGCCTTCGCGGAGACTGTCAAATACGCTGGCTGAGGCGTCGTGGTGGAAGTTGTCTTGTTCTTCGTGGTCTGTGGAGAAACTGCTTCGGCCCGAGTGTGGCCAGGATCCTTGTGATAGTTCTGAGGATATGGTTGAGATTGAGGCGGATGAGAGGGAGAGTCCAGGCATGCGGTAGACTGGATATAATGTTAGTAACTGTTCGTTTGGATGGGATGTTGCTCGGGTAAACGTACTAAGTCCTGACGAGGCAACGCTCACGTTCTCGTCGTCATCGTCGTCGCTGTCATCCTCCTCGCCGTGGATGAATTCGTAGCCTTCGCCTCCTTCGCCAACTACTGAGGGATCGCTCTCTGCCCTGCTGCCGTCCATTCGTGTTTTCGTGATACGTTTGCCGCTTTCAACCGAAATGCCATCTGCGATCTTCACACCAAAGGAAATCAATGCACCGGTTGCGATATTACAGTTCTTGCCAATGACAACACCATCAGCAATGATGGCACCACGCACATCAGTATTGTCACCGATGACAACATTGTCCCAAATGTATGCACCATCCAGCTTGACATTGCGGCCAATCTTGCAGTTCCGGCCGAGAGTGGTGTTGTGAACGGTTGTCCGGTCTCCGATGCTCGTCCCCTGGCCGATAACAGTACGGCGGCCAATAACACAAGACCGCGCAAGTGTCACACCTTGTTCTTGGTACAAGCTGCCCTTGCGGAGGTTGTAAGTGTGGCCAGGAAGCAAGTTCGTGTCGGGGCACAAGGGGTAAGCCCAGCGGGAGATGATATCCTTGCTGATGGCATCGTAAGCCTTGAGGTTGCGCACGCGCGCAGCATAGTTGTCATTGATGATGTATGTGTGGAGGGTCTTGCCGTTCAGCTCATAGTCCTTCAGAACACCGTACAAGAACTGTTTCCGAGGTGTCTGGTAATCAAAGCTATCGGACCACAAGCTCAGCACATCGGGTGTGCAAATATCGATGCTGCAGTCGATCAGATCTTGGCGGATATCTAGCTCGGGGAATTCCAAAATGGTCTCGGTCTCGATGGTCACCCGGGCTGGGCCGGTGCAGTTAGGACTGCGATCAATCTCCTCGTAGTGGACGCATCTGTTCTTGGTTGGGTCGATGACAAACACCGGCGAGGTGGAGGTGGACTTGGTTCGGTGGTTGCGGCCAGCTTCTCTTAGAACCATAGTCATGATTGCGTTCTTGTCCGTTTCCCGGCGGGCCCTGTGTGCGGCGAGCGCGCCTTCAATGGGCAAGTTGCTGATAACGTCACCGCTTACAACGATGAAGTCTCCGGTGATGAGATGCTTGCCGTCCAAGTCACGCATCACGTCACCAACAGAGGTGGATGTGGATTTGAGGAAGCTCAGGTGCTTAAAGGGGGAAGAGAGCGCTCTCCATTTGGATGCACTAGTAATATGGGTTAGGTGTGTACCACACGCAGTATGTAGGGCTCGCCGTACTTGATGTATTTCTCCAGTTGGTCCGAATGCGCTCCACCGTAAAGGAAAACCTCCTCTACGCCTGCATTGGCCAGGAACTCGAGAGTATATTCGATAAGAGGTGTGTTGGCGAGTGGCAGAAGACACTAGTGATTTGGGTCGTTATTCCTCAGGTCTTGTATTCAAGGGTATATTGCAAGGGTACATACCCTAGGCTTTTCGCGGGTGAAGGGCTCGAATCTCGTCTCGAAGGTGTCGGCGAGGACCTAATAGCATCAAAATGAGTAATCCTGTCGCGATACCGCCATGGCGGGTCCAGCGCAAACGCCGCATAAATTCGCTCGACATACCACGGCCTGGAACGTCTCTTCCACTTCCTCCGCCGCATTCGCCTTGGGCTTTTGCGCTCCTTTCTTGTTGGGAGCCATGGCTGCAAAGGACGATAGACAGTCAGTCGAGCATTCGCATGCAATCGCCGTCTCAATCGCTGGTCCCCTCGACGAACTCAACAATAGAAACGAAGCAGGGCTAACATACCTCGCAGGATCAACGCTCAGAAACCAAGCTGGGACAAAATCAAGAAGTTGCGCGCCGTCAGCGGAAACAGAAGACGTGCTTTGCGAAGCAATTATAGATCCAGACAAAAAGATGCACCGATCTATCAAAGGAAGGGCACAAAAAAGCATCGGAGTCATCCCGCCCACCTGTTTGCTTTGTTTGCGTTGTTGCCAAATTCGACAAATTCATGCCTCAGGCATCACAAATTTTCAGGCACCAAATCTATAACTCATATCATGCCCTAACTACAAAGTCAACGAATTGCTTCATGGCAATTTCTAGTTACGCATACAGCATGTGAGGGTTTGTATGTACTCAATCAAAGTAATCATGGAACAGACATGGGCAGAGCAACCTCCAGAATGGAATCCGATGTCACGATCAAGATGCGGTTCAATGAACAATGACTCCCCGCGATCCTTACATATAGACCTTGCACATACAGGTCATCCACGCATTTTAGCCTTGCGCCTATAGCCTCGTGACAGATTTACGCGAGCGCACAACAATGACAACTCTCACTTGGTATCAAGCTACTGCGATATCGTCACCGCTCAGCATCGGATTCATCCAGCTCAGAACTGCAGGCAGAATTGCATCTATTCCTTCTACTCTTCTTCCCTCTTTACTCAGCACTTTGTCTTATCCCGCATTCCAACCTTCTTGAAGCTCCACTGCTTTGGTCCCACCATACTGTCCAGCTCTAGGGCTAATTACCAAGCCCTCAGCTTCATCTCCACCGCGCTCACCTGCTTCTTCTGTTTCATTGCTGCTGAGCCTACTCCTCAGACATCATCTGGGTCTATCGGACAACATCTAGCTCCATCACGACATAGGACCTAGGGACAACATCCAAGAGTCCAAGACAGAGTGACCCATTGCCCGTAGGTCCTGATTGATCTCCATCAGTCGTCTCTTCTCAGACGGGTTAGGGCTAACGTCCTGGCTATGGAAGATCTGCCAAAACTCATGTCCGCCATGTCTTTCCCTAACCTGAACGCTGTATCCTTCACCCCTGACCCTACCCCTACTCCAGCTCCCATACCTCCAACGGGTGTACAACCAAGACGACCAAGTGCACGAGGCTCCAACCGTGAAATTGGCTACGTCTCTCAAGCTGAAAACACAAGTGGTCGTCTCCGAAGCTACAAAGGAAGTGTCGGAGATGGACAAACCGAAAGGGGTGACGATGGTTTCATCAATGAAGATTACAGAATTGGTGGGCCATACATGTGCTCTCTGCCTCTCACCATCACCCCACTTCCAAGACGACACAGGCTCTATGCCCCGAAAGAGAAAGACAGGATTCGCAAAAAGGTCTCTGATATCCTAGCTAGTGTCGGAATCAAGAAACCTACAATGCACATTGCCCGGTGTACTTCACAAGTCAAACCCGAACACAGACCAATCACTACACTATTCATCCATGCGGAGCGTGAGAATCGCATCGACCACATGTGGCTCGAAGCTTCCCTTCAGATCTATCACTTCCTTTCTGACAATGACATGCCGGAAGTCTGTGTGGAAATAGCAGACCCGCGGATCTACAAGCCCTACAAATTCGCACCAATCCAACAAATTCCCTCCATCTGGCATTGGGATGGAGTCATTGCAGAAATCACAAAACAGATTGATTTAACAGATGTCATTACAATCGGATGCATGCGTGTCCAGGCTCCAATTGCAATGAACTATGTCCCAACCGTCCTTGTCACAGTGGAAATAGAAAGCGAGCGAGACTTTCGAGAGATGCGCGACATCATCACTGCTATCCTGGATAAATACGGGCTGCCCACGATTTCCGTTCTGATTTTGAGAGACGAGCTCGTTACAAAGGCCAAAGGACCACCAGGCTTTGATCGCACAATGCTGGATGGAATAGCCCGAGCCGGTGGGAACTTCAGATCAGCGAAATCCCACCTCAGCTATGGGAAGCTTGGGGGCTTCGTGGAGCTGGAATTCGACGGCACAGACCTGGACCCGATGATTCTTGGTGTGACCTGCTTCCACTCCGTTCGCAGTGATAAGGACAGTCACGTAGTCTCTCACCAGAGTAAGTCCAACCCTGACAACTAACATGAGAATTTACAGTGTGAGCTAACATCGCTGCTATCTAGAAAGATTTGCCAAATGGGACAGGGAAGGATTGAACCTATTCGAAGAGCAAAAGAAGAGCGAAATCTCTCGCGTCGAGCAGCCACCCTTACGCGATCTAACACTACAACTCCAAATCAACAAGAAACGCATCGCTACCATCAAAAACCTACCGAGATTCCAATCCTGCCGCTACCACGAGGCGAACGGAATCCTCCACACCCGACCAGAAAAAGAGCAAAGCAGCTACAGAGTCTGGACGCAAGAAGTCGCCGAGTTGACCGAATTCAACAATGAAATCGAAGAATTCAGACCAAATGCTCGCCTCGGTTATGTAACCGCCTGCTCCGGAAACAGGTTCCTCCAAAAGACAAGCGAATGGAGTTCCAATACGTTCAATGTGAAGATGGACTGGGCACTATTGGAAATCCTACAGGCGCGAACATCCACCAATCAATGTGACTGTCACCATGAATACCTCCACCAGCTTACCGACGAAGAAATGGAGGATCCACAAGCTACGGCGTTCTGGATTAATGGAACCGGTGGCCCTTCTCAAGGCCGATACAATGGTCTTAAAACCTGCCTCGTTTCTGAGCAGGTGGTAGAGGGGGGTGAAAAAGACGACTGGGTGGTGGTGGCCGCGCCTAGGTGGTCATTTGAACATACTGTCGTGGCGGGGTCCAAGGACCCTAAGGTTTCGTTCTCTATGCCAGGTGATACCGGCTCCCTAATCCATTTTTGGAAAGGAGGTGTTGTCGGTATGGTTAGTGGCATGCTGCGGTACTCGAAGATCACTTTCTTCACGCATGTGAATGACTTGCTGGCGGATATTAAGGCACAGACAGGGGCTTCGAAGGTGCAGATCATGGGTCCACCCCTGGAGGAGGAAGATGCTGATGAGGATGATGATGAGGGGGTGGACCTTGACTCTGAGCCCGAAATGTGAGTCTAGTGGACGCTAGGGGTGGGTGGTGAATCTAAGAATAGGTTACCCTCACTCAGGGGTAAAAGGGAAGTGAAAGAAAAGAAAAAAAAAGAAAAAGGAGGTATGAGGACTATTTCTGTTTGTGTACATGTGCGGATATACCCCCCGAGACTTGTGAAAAATCTCTACTTAGTAAGGATACTGTCTGCATATATTCGCCTCCAAGTAACGTTCACCGTAACTACATGCATATCCAAGGATGATATCAAAACCAAAAATAACTCTAATACGCCACACCCAGACAACCCTACAATCCACCAGCCACATCCCTGAGGTCCAGAACTCCCCGCTAGGTCCAGGCCCTCCTGGACCTTGACCTCCATAACAGTCGTTCGTCTCGACGGGTCTAGACTCCCCCGTTGTTCATGCCGATCCGTTCGGCTCCCAATGCTTGTTCTGATAGCTGTAGTGTTTGGCTCTCGGGGAGATTCGGGAGGTGAGCGTGAAAATTATACTCCGTAACCGGGGACGTATAGTAGAGACTAGAGATGCGAATCATGGGATTGGGAATTATTGAATTATTGGGTCTTGATGATGCATATGCATACGAAACCCCTTGTCTGTTCCAGGTTGGTTTTCTGGTTTTTCTGTGGTATGGCTTGTCCTGTCTCATACCATATCCTGGGATCCGTGCTAGACCCGATACCTGACCACGGACACATACCCCCACCCCTACGCCAACGTCTACTGTACACGTACTATAACACGCAGTACCTGAATCTGAATACAGTCAAGTTAAGTGAAGTAAAGAAAAAAATATGTTCGTAAATATATACCAGGCGAAAACAATCTCATAGGAGGTCAATATATAGAACTCTCCACGGTGGATATAGCTGACGCATGTCGAAAGTCCGCTATTCGAAATTCGCAAGTCGCAATTCGCCACCCCAGAACCAGCAAAACAAAGCCACCAACGCCGTAACCTGTAAAAGGGGGTGGAAGACAAAGACAATCCGCGACAAGCGGCCAATGTACGATTTGAAAACCTCGTTATAGACAAGTGGGAATCGTGAGAGATAGACAGGCGGAGAGGTGGAGGGAGATATAAAGAAAGGAGCAAGAGAAGGTATGAGGGATAAATCAAATTGGCGAGGGAGTTTAGATCAGCCAGGGCGACCTGCTTGCACGGCAAGCATGGGTTGAGGTTGGGGGTACATGCGCTGGCGTTTGGGCATGTTGGGGTTTTCTGTTGCGCTGGACATGTCTGAGATTTGGCGACGATGAGGGGGGCGGGAGGGGGCGCCTGCTGTAGGGACGGCGACTGGTGCTGCTGGGTATTGGATGCCGTTTTGGTCGACGGTGTATGCAGTCTGGGGTGCTGTGACGTATGCGCCCTGCACTGCGGGCATGTTTTGTGGGACGGCTTGCATATTTTGAAATTGGCCGGGGGATTGCCAGTTGCTCATGGAGCCTGCAGGCGACTGCCCTGGAGAGCTGTCTTCCTTGATTGATTGAGTGGCCGAGTTTTGGGCTGCGGCCATGGTTACTGCGGCGGCTGATGGTGGTACCTGCTCCATTGGACCGCGCGGTGTCGTCTTGAGGTGGTCCAGGTGTCTCTCCAGCATTTCAAGAAGACTCTTGCGAGTGAAGGGTTTCGGAAGAACGTCATCCATTCCTGAATGGGTTAGCCGGGCTCATTCCAATGCTATCACAAGATTCTTACCATGCTGGAAGTAGAGCTGGATGTCGTCACTTCGAATGTTGGAGGTCATGGCAATGATAGGAGTGCGATCAAATTGGCGGATAAGATGGCAAGCCGAGACGCCGTCCAAGTTGGGCATAATAATATCCATCAGAATAAGATCGTACTTCGAGCCGCCCTGGATTTTGTTGACAGCTTCCAGACCATCGAACTATCGAACTGATTAGCAAAATCGCCTCCTCGCCTCCCCACGACAAAGAATACATACCGCGCTATCAATGACACAATTGAAAGAATATAGGAATTTGCCACCAATCTGGCGGCATGTAGAATCGTCCTCAACCAGGAGGATCTGCGGGCTCCGAACCCAACCAGGGTCAACATTTGTGCTTTTCTTGCGATTATCAGCAAACTGTCGGCGAGCATCTGAAGTATCAATCTCCTGCTTAGCCGGCATCGGATAGGGAACATTGTTGATGTGCTCGCTGTACATGGGATCGATGCCGTTGGTGGCGCCGACCGGGTAGACCACTTGCTCCAGGTCGCCGGCCATTTTAGGGTAAACGAGTGCTTGGTTAGCAGGCGCAGTAGTTGTCGGACGAATAGAACCGTTTCGCGAGTTCGGATCCATTGCGGTCGTTGAAACGACCCCGGCTTTGGGGGCCTCGTTCATTGAGTCGACGCCGCTCATGTTGAGCTGCATTTCGGCGTTCATGTCGCTCAACAGCTTCGAGGCATTTTGAAGTGGTGAGGATGGCTCGTCGTCCACAGCTCCGACCTGAGACGGACTCATGGTTGTTCCGGCCTGGAAAGACACGGCCTTGCTGTCGCGGCGCTGGCGATCCACCGTGAGTAGGTGAGCCATCACCTGGTGGATGACATTTTCGTGGTTCAGGACTGTTTTTTGTACTCGCATCACTTCCTGCAGCATAAGTTGATGATCCACCGTGAGTTGGGCGTAGCGATCGGAGAGGTGCTGGATCTGCTGCTGTTGGGCGACAATCTGCTGGTTGAGGAGGTCGATCTGTTGGGTGGGCACCGAGTCATCGTTGCTCTGAGTTTGCTTTCGCGGGGCTGGTGCTTTTCGGCGGATGTTATCGAGGGACTCTTTGCTGTTCGCCCGGAATTCTGGGTGCTTGAATTCCCACGCCTGTTCAGTGTGAGAGGGGTTTCCTTCAACTTTGGCATGGGGAGCCTACATTTTGCCCGTATGGCGACTGGCCGTTTTCCTCATTGTTTTGGCGAACCTTGTGGAAGTCGTACTTGTTCAGTTGGCGTACAAAACTGGCGAAGTTGCTGTGCTTGAAATGCTTCGGTAGGATGGTCTTGGTGAATTTCTCGCACTGTCGGGAGAGATCGAGTTAGCCAAGATGCAGGGATCCCCATAAGCCACGGGCGCATTACCTCCAAGACCACGAAGCTATCTCCTTCATCACCCCAGCGTACAATCGACGCGTAGGTCGGGTCCTCCAGCATTCTAGGCAAACATCAGTATATAGGGGCAAGACGGCGAACACGTAGACCAAACTCACTTGTACAATTTGCGTACCTAGTCATGTTAGCCGATATCCTGTCATGGGGGAGAGGGGGGATTCGATTCACGTACAAAGTCGCTGGAGTTCCCAGCGGGGGCGGGATTGGAAGAGGTCTGGCCCTCCATGGCTAGACGGGTCGCGACCGGACAGACTGGTCTGGTCCCCTCGGAAAGAAGTAAATATTAAAAAAGTGAAGATGGGGCGAGAGGGTGGAAGAAGGGAAAAATTAAGATGGGGGTTGAGTTGGTTTGGCGGTAGAGCCAAGTACCAAAGTTACTGTGGAGGTACTGCCTGGTACATGCGATGGACTTTGATTCTTTTATTCTTTTCGTTTTATTATTTAATTATTTAATTCTTGTCATATTTTGGGACATGCAAGGAGTTCATCTACTCAGGGACCAACGAGGGGCAAATATCTGGTATGTACACCCTTTAAAGGTGTACAGTACGAAGGTAGCTATTGAGCGACTTTCTCTCCCAACATCTCAAGTCGGTGCGCAGAGGGACCATGCCCTCATGAGATGAAATCTGTGATGCCAAGGAGCGATTAATAAGGGACTCCACTGGAATGTGAGGAATTGTCCTCAACATGTTCCAAGACACTTGAATATGTTCCAAGGTTGTCTTTGATCTTTTAATACATAATGAACTACTTACCCACTTTATCGGTTTCCAATAGGAACCTTGTATAGCCTTATACTGCTTAGTTTACGGAGTCCATTTGCCTGCGATAACCGATGATACCTACCTAAGACATAGTATAGCAACCCTCAGCATACGCCCTAGAGGTCGACAGGGAAGCGCTGGCACTGTGGCACATACTGACAACATACATGCCGCACCTCCTATTTCGGCTGTCCAGTCCACGATGTTTGCGCCGAACTTCACGTGGAACTAGAAGATGACTGCATCCATCAACAGGGGGGAAGCAATCCAATCCACTGTGTTACAGGCCAAGGATCCACTGCGTCAGGGAGGAATAGGATGTGACTTGGTATCATCCGATTCGAAGAAGCCTTGTCCTCCCTGTTCTCACAAGTGAGCAGTTATTATATACTCGCGGTACGTGCGGTATAGCCTCCGTAGGTCGCACTGTAGACACAAAGCAGAATAGTATAGCTCGACGAGTCCGAATAATCGAAAACACTCTTTGTAAAACATAAAGAGAAAGAGAACACAAGTCAATGGAGCAGTAAAGCGGGAAAGGGTCAGGTCTAACGTGCAGATGCAAGCCATGACGAAATTCGTCCAAGCTCCCATACCCGCATACCTTCCGCTCCTCTCCTCTCCTCTCCTCCCTAGACCTACACAACTTCGTCTCAATCCATACATCTACCAAGTCAATTGATATACATCATGTTCGCCGCCCGCCGCCTCGCAACCAACGTGCCCCGCGTTCGCGCGCAAGCCTCCCTCTTCCACAGCACGGCGCCCGTATTCGTGCAAAAGGGCGACGCCATCCCCGACCTCGATTGTCTCGTCGAGAACTCCCCCGGAAATAAGATCAACTTGGCCAAGGAGATCAAGAACAAGGGCGTTATCATTGGAACCCCAGCTGCCTTCAGTGCGTGAACCTCGTGAAACAAACCCCGCATACCTGTCCAAAATGGAACTGACCTCTTTCAGGCCCTGCTTGCTCTAGCACCCATGTCCCTGGTTTCATTAACCACCCCAAGCTCAAGGAGGCTGGTCAAGCTTTTGTCATCTCCATCAATGACCCCTTCGTGTAAGCGGAACCTGTCGAGTTACACTGGTGTTTCAGGCATTTGTTGACGTTGATCTATCATATAGGACCAAGGCTTGGGCTGATTCCCTTGACCCCCAGGGCAAGAGCGGTGTATGTTTCTTTTCTCTCTCTATCCATTCAATTTTGTGGTAGAAACTCTGCTAACATGGCTTTTTAGGTTCGCTTCCTGGGTGACCCCTCCGGCAAGTTCACCGAGGCTCTGGACCTCAGCTTCGACAGCAGCGCCATCTTCGGCAACAACCGCAGCAAGCGCTACGCCCTCCTCGTCGAGAACGGTAAGGTCAAGGAGGCTTTCGTCGAGCCCGACAACACTGGTGTGAACGGTATGTCTCTTGTCCACGGAGTATATCGACCTATGCTAACATCCCCAAGTTTCCACCGCCGAGAAGGTTCTCGGTTAAACCGTTCAGCATAGACGTCCCTGTACCACCCTTGCACATATGCGAGAAAAATATAACATGATTGCCCGCGGCATATAATTGGTTTTATCCCTGCACTGTACTCGTAGCGCAAGGACGACTAATGTACAAAAGAATACCATCCATTCCAACCCGGCCAACGCCTGATAAACCGATCTAATAACCAAGGACGTAGCTGGATCAATGGAGTGGACAATTAAAATGGCTGATCCTGCCGATCAAAACACTCACTAAGTATCAGTCCGGTCCAGTTCAATATCTTCTATTCCTCCCTTGGGGACTCTTTAAGGGGAAAAAAAAGTTCATGGTTCGTCAAATTGCAGTCAGCTGCACAAATTGATTTACTGTGCTAGAGCCTGCCACTGCTCAGGGGTATAGCACTTAGGAGTCCAAGCATGGATAGCAGCGATCTCATCCTTAAGAGCAGCGTTGACGAGACGGTGTCGCGCAAGCATGGTCTTGCTCTCGAACTGGGGGGAAACAATAACAGCCTGGAAAGCTTGTCCACAGCCACCTATTATAAAGCAAGAGGTTAGCAAAAGATCGACCAATGCAGACCAAAACTGAAACAGTTTCTCCAGGTTATGACGCCATTCGGAATAGGTCCATACCAGACAGATCCTCAACCTCGACGTGCAGCGCCTGCAGCGTATCAATGAGCTTGTTCTTCAGCGAGTCGGCGGTAATTCCAGAAGTGTCGGCCATGGCGTTGAATGCAGCGGGAGAGCGCGCGGTTAGGGAGAACGAGGCCCGTTGGGTAGATGTGTAGGGAAGGGGAAACGATGCCGATGCCCGGGTGGCAGGGGTGTAGGGAGAGCGGAGAAGATAGCGGCAGCTTCTGCTCAGTGCGGTTACGGAGGAGGCGCGGGAGAACATCAAGGTTGGTCGGAGCAGGGGTGTGTAATTGAGAGATGGGCAGCCTGAGGTCACCGAAGTATGGCAAGTTTGGCGATTATTACAAATTCAGAGGCTCCCGCTGGCTGTGGCTGGTGTGTGGCACGTGTGTGGCGTTATCTTTTATCGGAGCTGTGCTTTTCCCGGCAACTTCGTGCTTATACTCGTTCTTCTTTACTTGATGAATTTCTTTGGCACTGCTGTGCGGCGTTCCTATACCATGCCTATCCTCTCAATGCCCAGTCATACCTCATACTTCACCCAGGCTGTGGTGACCTCTATGAGGAAGCTGTTCGTTCTCCCCCGCTTCATTCGAGAGCTCCCCGCATTATATTGAGCTTGGGTTGACCTTGAGTACAGTTACCCAGAGGCATTGGCAGACAAGAGCTTTGATAACACAGGATGTAAGCTTGTCCTATTTGAAACTCCGTCCAATGTTTACAATGTGCTAACCTTTGCTCAATGGTAGTGCTGCTCGAAGCTCCCTTCGACTATTCCCGCAAACAGAGGAACTCGGTTCTCCTGGCCATTGATCTCACCACAGCTGTTGCCGATGAAGCCATTGGAAAGCAATGCTCGGTTGTCGTGGCATACCGTATGTTGCACCGTCCATCATTGAAAATGTGAGCTCCTTCGATTAACACATTCCAACAGACCCGATTATCTTCCGCGGTCTCAAATCCCTCACCTTCGCCGACTCCCAACAAAAGTCCCTCCTCCGCCTGGCACAGCATGGCATCAGCGTCTATTCACCACATACAGCCGTCGACACCGTCCCCGGTGGGATGGCGGATTGGCTCTGCGACGTCGTGACAGGCAGCTTCAAGCCCAATTCAACAGCAAAGGCTGTCGTCAACCAGTGCGGATCCAATATGTACTCTGCGCCTTCCTACCCAGTAGCCCCCATCCCAACCGTCCACTCCTCACCGCAAGGACCACCACACACCCGCAGTACAATCCACCCCTCGCCGCCAGCCTCGGTCCCCGAGGGTTTCGAATCTGCAGGTGCCGGCCGCCTGGTCACATTTACCGAATCACAGCCCCTCGTCACGCTGATCGATAACATTGCCCATGGCATCGGTCTCCCGGGTGGTATCCCCATTGCCGTGCCGCAGGGTCGTTCAGTAGACGATATTCACATCAAAACTGTTGGCATGTGTCCCGGTTCTGGCTCTGGCGTCCTCCTCCGCGGTGACGGACCTATCCCGGACCTCCTCCTGACCGGTGAGATGAGCCACCACGAAGCTCTGGCAGCTACGGAGCGTGGATCGGTTGTTATTTCGCTCTCGCATACAAACTCTGAGCGGGGATATCTGCGTTCTGTTATGCAGCCTAAGTTGCTTAATGAAGTTGAACGGTCTTGGAATGCTTGTATGGATGAAGCTTCCGGATTCGAAGGTTCTGTGATGAGGGGTTTGGAGGAGGATAAAGAGAAACAGCTTGTCAGGGAACTTCACAATACGCAGGGCAGGGTTGAGGTTCATGTGAGTGAGGCTGATCGTGATCCTTATGGGATTATGATCTGGCGTGGTAACTAGTTTCTGTTGTTTGAGCTATCGTGGTGTTGGGCTTTCTAGTCTTGTCATATAGGGCTTGGATGAAGATCTATATGATTAAGCATGTTCAATGGGAATAGAATGGACGTTTACTATGAGGTTCCAATCGTGTGCTGAAGCTGCGATTCGAATGAATTTCAACCCTTAGACCGTAATAATGTTGACTCTAACATTGCCGCTTCGGGTTGCGATCGGCTCCGGGATCACAGGGTGAGTTAGTCACCCCGCCGCCCTGAGTCGCCCACTGAGCGACCCTGAGCTGCTCACTAAGCATCCTGATCGCTCACCCCGTTGCTCTGCCCTGACCAGCCCCTTCACTTCTCGTCTTGAATTCTGGCTTTTCGCCTGCTCCGATGGTAACCGCGCTGCTACTGGTGTTCCTAGGAGTCCAGATCCAGAGATAAGGTATTCCCACGTCGCTATAGTGCTCGCAATTTTCCGTCGATCGACTCGATTCCTTCTACTTGCATGAGGAACTCAGCACCTCAACTCTACGTTCCCTCGTGCGTTACGTTCCCTAGCCAATTCCGCCGACTTCACTTATCGCTAATTATTTTAGGTATCTCTATAGTAAGCTTAGCCTCTCTCTATTCGTCTACTTCTTATATAGTATACGAGGACACGGTGAGCGGGGGGCCAGAAATGGCTCCCATTGCACCGCCGTCTTGCCGCCCTCGACCGCCTGCCCGTCTGCGCCATCCCCTTGCCCCTTCGGGTTTGGTGCCCTCGTCCGCGCGCCCGTTCGGGTTTAGTGCCCCCTCTGGCCGCTTTTACCGCCCCCAACCTGCACCTCCATCTATAAAACACCGCTCGTCCTTCTCGCAGCTTTGTCGACGCACTTTCTCTTCTTTTCCCTGCCTGAAGCCCTTTTCCTTCGGTACCCACAATCTCCAATGGACTGGCTCGCCACTTGATGCATCGCCCCCTTTCATTTCCGTCGCAGATGCTGCTCGATCCACCGCTCAGCCGCCCTGACCGGCGTTGCCTGAAACGCCAACTGACTGCTTACAATTTGATGCGTCGAGGTTATGAAGGTCTCGACAATACCACACGATACGTGGCTAGAATTACAGCAAAAAGTTGAATACTATGAAGCTATCGAGCACATCTCTTGTTCGCGATCCTTTCGCTGAGCGCCTCGCTCATTGCGCTGGCAGTATTCTGCGCATCCGGAGAACAATGTCTCGGAAGTCCTTGACACGCCCACCCCGATTTGCCACGGTCCGTTAGAGGTTGCATTGTACAGTTGCAGGTGCCCCCTACTCCGCTTGTTTAAGAGCGCCTCGGGACAAGATCGTCGTCATAGCCGGTTTCGCCTGACCTCTGTTACCTAGCCGACGAGATATCGGACGACGATGTCGTGATACAGGCCAATGGCGAAATTGACGCATTCTTGCCTGGTCTCAATCGGTGCCATGTACTGCATCACGAGGCCGACGATGGTCCGACGGCCCCTGATCATGCGCATATCTGAGCGATTGGAGGCTAAACTGACGACAACTGTGGAACCGGGCTACAGTGGACCGTCAATGAGGTGTACAGAAACCTTTGCAGGTGGCCTGCGGTCCCTTGATGTGCAACCGGTGTGGCTCCGCGCCTTGATGTGACGGTGAAACGGCTCGAGTTGAAGGACGTGGTGAATTCCCTGCGCCGCATCACGGGTAACGTTTGTCTATAAAGGAGGTGACTATCCCCTTCGAATGGCTCAATCGGACAGAAATCCATCAGTTCCCCTTTCCCTCCCCCATCCCCCCTGCTACACACTTGACCTCCCATCCCACCTTCCCTTCCCAAAGCAACACCTTCAGGATTCTTCTAGCCATCTACCTTTTTCAGCATGTCAAACACCAGTTTTCGCCTGGAATCGTTTCGTCCATGGAATCCTTTCCAAGACAAAGCCCAGCCTCTTCGTGATCCCCCCGGAGCTTGTCGCTATCCAAGTCCGGTCTCGATCGCTGCAACCCCGCCATCCTCCAATTCAAGCGATCAAGACCCACAGAGCTGCAAACATTATTTTAACAAACCAGAGCGACATCCCCTTCCTGCCCGCCCGCCGACGGAAGTCTGCTTGGGTGGTTTGCATTCGGAGACCCCAAACCCTCGACGAGAATTGGAGGGCTCAGGTCGGACAACTTCTGCTATCAATTATCCCCAGTCTTTCGGCCCTGAGAGCATTCCGCAATCACAAAGCATAGTGTGTGCCGATGACGTCGCTCCTGCGATGTTTGCTGATAGTGTCCGTCGGGATACTGAGCATCAACCCCTCGGTCTGGAATCGGACGGCTCGGAGCCTATCGTCTTTGCTGGTCAGCAACCTCAAACTGTCGATTCTGAAGACGATGCTCAGACTAGAGAGCTTTCAGTTATTGGAACCATTGATCCTGCAATCCTAAACGGCTATGACTCTCCGGATGCTGACCAGGTGCAAACATCGGAGAGTATTGCAACACACCGGGCAGACTGTCCCGCGAAGTCCACTCGCTCCCAGAAGAAAGCATCATCCCTTCAAGGCAGACGACAGAACTCGAAGGGGACCATGGGCACTGATTGCCAGTCAAAAACCACAAAACGTTCGGGTGTGGGGAAAAGGCACATGAACAATAGACCCGGCCGGTTCAATAAAAGTTCCAGTCATCGCCAGAGCATTTCTTTCCCTACAGTTCGTGCTCAATTCTCGGCTCTTTCAGTCGAAGACCGACTGCAGTTCCTATCCTGGCTGTTTGAGGGTGCTCTATCTCATTGCGCCTCTTCGCCTTCCAGCCCCGGTGCCGCTTCTCTGCCAAGATGTGTCTCAGGCCAATTTGATGACATAACCTACGAGTGTGATCACACAAGCTTGAACACTGATCTGGTCGAAGTGCAAGGTACGTCTTCGAGAAGAGGACTACCGTGGTCCGGGGAGGAAGATCACCTTTTGATGAAGCTAAGAGAAGAGCAAAAACTCGCTTGGTCGGAGGTGATCAAGCAGTTTTCACGAAAATTCCCCGGGCGGAGCAAGGGATCCATTCAAGTCTACTGGAGTACTAGTCACAAGAAAAAAAGGTCATCTGTTCCCTTACCCCTCGATTAATCTTATGAAGTTCTAGTCTTGCCTTTAATTGATTTGCGACAATGAAAATATCATAATATCTGCGTGTCATTCTGATAACAGTAATAGACGTACCTGTAGGTCTCTGCGCGTGTGCGTAGCTTTCAGGGTCGCAGATCTGCCACAGCGCTCTGCTATCGAGTAGCTCTGTCGCTATTGTTGGACATAATTGACATATTTGATAAAACCTTCTGCACTATCGAAATCGTCACATTTGTGGATTTGATCTATGGCATCAGATGAATCTTCGAAGACGTGCTGAAAAGGTCCATCTTTTTGCGTAGGGAGTGAAGATTGTGGTGATCAGGGCTCTGGAATTCGATCGGCCATCGTTTTTAATTTCATTCGAGATTGTTAAATAGGATTCAACCCAGTATTCACTTCCTGTTGACGTGATACAGTCACAGGGGATGATAGCGTTATTCAATATCCAAGTTCATTGCTGCATGATGTAGTAAACTAATCCGAGGAGCTATGTACTACGTGTTACGACATAATTTTTCCGGTATGACCTCAATTACCATACAAAACAAGGGGATGAAGCTGCTGCTGAATAATCAAATACGGTAATACAGTGCGGGGAACTCACGAAATTTACCCCACTTCAGTTGACGTAGGCTCAGGGTATGCTCAGGGTGGGCTCATGGTAGGCTCAGGGTAGGCTCAGGGAAGGCTCAGGGTGGGCTCAGGGTGGCTCAGGGTAGGCTCAGGGTAGGCTCAGGGTAGGCTCAGGGTAGGCTCAGGGTAGGCTCAGGGTAGGCTCAGGGTAGGCTCAGGATTGGCTCAGGGTGGGCTCAGGATTGGCTCAGGGTGGGCTCAGTTGTACTTCAATGACCCAACGCCTCATCTAATCGGTCAATGGCCACCACACTGTAGACTGCAAGGATGCTTGACATTGTCCTGTTCCTCAAGAGATCTGCAGCGCCAAGAAAGAGAAGAATTACAAGATCCCTACTTCCGTTGCTTTCACGGGACATATTTTATCCATTCTTCTACTACGTAGAGAATGGACAACTCTATATCTATCGCTGAATCTTTGAAGCGAGATAGAGAAATATTGCGAGCCTCTCCCACGAAAAAAATGGGAAACCATCCACGTTGTCTTTGATTTCCAATTGTATTGGCGCGGATCTTTAATGTAAGAGATGGAACTTCTAATCTTGGTGCGAGTAAAACAAGGAACCGATATCTGGAGAACTTTGAGACTAAGTACAAGGCAAGGTGATCAATGGTACTGTATAGCGTATTTCCAAAGATTTCATCCCCTAATCAGTTATGCCACCATCAAATCAAACCAGTGGAATTACAGCATAGATGAACTCCGGTGTGATAACGGTGCCCAAGTTCATTCCCCTGATAGGTGCGTAGAGCGCGTATTTATACCTTTGGGAAGAATGTATTCATCAATAGGTAGTCACAATGCCTTCTAACTGAAAAGAAAACAGCAGGGGTTATCTTGTCTTGTCCAGCTAAGATTCAGACATTACTCTGCTGAAAAGACGAGCAGTCCATTCCAAAGATCTCGCAATATCTTTAGCAAAATTGAGGTCGAATATATGCGAGTTGTGCTTCTTGAGGTTATCATGTACTACTGACGGTGGTGAAAGGGGGTCTCTTTCTCTCAGCGAATGGCTTCCAGGAATTGGTCTTGGTGGTATAGTGAAAGTGATGAGGAAAACAGCGGGGAACTATTACTGTAAGTGCAAGAAGTGTGCACAAATTGCTTGAACTTGGTGATTTACTATCCTACCGAAAGTCTTTTTGGTCCTCTAATTTTACTTTCCAGTAGAAAATCGAGCCCAGGGTAGGCAACGCGGGTCCCAGGGTACTATTAGTAATTTGTAATTCCCAAGGAACTTCTCCTGTCAGAGCTCAAGCATCTAAATAATGCCGGTGTTTGGTTGCTGGCATATGCGACAACCCAGACATCCGTAGTCTGTTGCCGCTCTGAGAAAATCCTTTATGTGTTACCACGGGCCTTTGAATGCATGATTGGTGCTCCGAGAAACATGCCGATTACTCCTAGGACGAAAGAACCCATTCCTAGGAACTTATCTGGAATCAACAAACGGACTGTAATCATCAAATCTGGTTACATATTTTGCCTTACTGTAGACTTTGAAACCAACAGACACTATAAATTCTGGTTTTCCTCTTCAAACAGATCTTTCGCTTCTACCGGTACAGCTTCAGTTCAACTTAAACGTGTTATGCTACAACAATCGCCTCTGCATACTGGATTCCTCTGCGTCGCAGTACCACTCGCCCCGAACAGAAACCACCTTTCTCAATACACATTCCGCTTCTGCGCCTGCTGAGTAGAGCACGTGACATATGATATTGCTGTGCATCGGAAGTGACAGTCTGTCACCGATTGTTGTGTCCACGCTTCCTAGAGCTATCACACATCTTGCTTAACAGGTCGAAAACATTGGTGCATGGCTTCCAATATTGATTGGTCCAACCACAATGCCTCTTTACTCCTGCCAGTCATGCCGCAATGCGAAAATTCGATGCAATCGTGAAGTTCCCCATTGTCAAGCTTGTGTCAGGCGTGGTAAATTGTGTGTCTATGAGATGAAAGGGTCTGACCGGAGACCTGCTCTCTCAGAACGGCCAAATCAGCAAACGCAAAAGCAAGAGGGTGGATCTGGTGAATATCAAATTACATGGGAAGTACAAGAACCGCCAAACGAACAGCCTTTGCAACACGGAACGAAAACAGCTGAGGCGATGCAACATGGTGCAGATGATGAACATATCCAGCACTTGGAAAAAGATGGTTCCGAACAAGACCAAAAGCCGCCTCCTGAGATGCTGCCAAATATTGTCGCGGCTTCGGTGGCGGAGGAAGCTTCGGTTTCCCAAACAAATGGCCCTACAGCTGCTGAAGATATTGCGGAACGGCCTCGAAGCCTGTCAACCTCTCAACCTACAAAGCCTTTTGCGCAGATGAGCCTTCCGGTAATAATCGAAACTTTAGAAGCAATTATGACTAACGGCTAACTGTTGACTAGACCTCTTTGCCTCCAAGGCCGAATTTTGAATTTAGGATAGCTGGGAAACACATTTACGGTCCACACACAGTCCACCAACTCTTGTTGGTTTTAAGTTACCTTTTCATTTCTGCAATGCTTCCTACAGATGAAGGAGCTCTGTGGAAGGTCATATGTCGCCGCGCCCGTGACTGGGAAGAGAGCTTCGTCTTGCTCCATGGTCATGTTCAAGGGTGGCTAATTGGTATCCGCGAAGCTTTGACTGAGTCCGATGGGCTGCACACAGTAACATTGGAAGACATTGTGCTCCAAACAAGATATATATTGTTCATTATTGGGCAAAATGCATCCCCTCATTCGAGCTTTCTAGCTGAAAACTCGCAAACCGAACACCCTCCGTACCGGCCGTTTGGAGTGAGGGCAAGCGTCGCATTGATTTGTCATGTCTTTGAAGGCATCCGGGCTGGTGAACTTGAGGGATATGAATCAAAGGAGATCTGGACTCGCGACCAAAGCTTTCTGTCAACGATGGCATGCCGGCTCAAAGAATCGCCATTGTTTGGCGCCAAGGTCTCAATGCATCATTTGCAGTCTATGATACTAAGCCTACAGAAAGCTTTTCAGTGTGAAGAAATCCGTGTTTCCAGCATGAAACCCATGATTTTGAGAATTGAAAGCCAATTAGAAGTGGCGAGATATTACCGCCGGGCATTTCTAGCTTTCAACCCGATGCTGTTGCCAAAGATATTGGACTCATTCGGTGAAGCTAATATCTCTATCCTGTCTGATCCACACCAACTTTGCAATATGGAATGGAGACTTGAAAGAAGTAAGTAAATTGATGTTTAGACTGATTCGGCATTTGACATGGGTATAGCCAATCTGGCCTTGCGTCTGGCCGACATTTTCACGTCACTTACGCCAGAGCGCCTAGACATTGCTTTCAAAGTCACCCGTGAGATCCAGCAGTCTAAGGCGGATAAAGTCGTTGCCATTGAGATGTTTCATGTCAAGTCCTTCGAAGAAACTTACAAGTTAAACAAAAGCTGTAAGTCACCGCATTACAAATTGTGCCGAAAAGTCTTCTAACTGTTGCAGACCCCACCATTGTTCGGGTTTTTCATGTTTGACAGTGACATTATGGGATGGATTGGAACCTCAATATAGCCCTTTTGGACCCTATATACCGAGATGACGCGAAAGTTGAGGTTGTTCTATAGAAACAAAAGGCGCGAAATTCTCGAATATATGAATGGAACGTGAAGATTAGCGGAGAATGAGATGGACTGTCCATAATTTCGGTTTGTAAACTCATGGATCAGCCATCTTTAGATTGTAATGTTCTTATGGGCAGTACTGTATTGTTGATGGACCGCACTGAATGAGGGTGAACGCGGTGAATGAACACTGGTGATGAAAATTCGATTAGATTTGTCAAACTAAATCTGTTCTAGAGAGGCCACTTGAACAATATCTGTGTCAGTGAGAGAGGGGCAGTGTTTATTGGATGTATAGAACCATGTTCAATAGCTCCATCGACATCATCAATTGCGGTTCATGCTCTTGCGGAAGTCTGTTTGCCTTTGTCATATTCACCGGAAGGCGAATTTGAATTTCTGACTGGAGGAATGAATACAGTACGGGGCTCGCACTCAATTACTCTTAATAAAAACGCAGAGAAGTAAAAACTCAGCTAAAAATATCGTGTGTTGATGATGTGATGTGTCTTCACTATACTTGCACTAAAAAGTCATTGAAATCAATGCATATAAATATTGCTTGCTCCCTGCCTTTGACCGGCCTTTGAACTTTACGAACTCCCACTTCACAACTCAGTTACCTACTTCGCTCTCCAACTCCAACCTAGAGTCCACAATTTACTCCAACGTCCCGAATGAAGCCCCTCACATGCCTTTCCCTACTGGCTGCCTCTGCTATCGCCGCACCTATCGCCATTTCTTTCCCCAAACACTTCCACCTCAAGTCCAGAGGCGCCACCAACCAAGAGCATAACAACCTCTATGTTTACGCATACCACACGGGCCCAGGCCTCAATGATGCCGCTCTGACCAAGGATGTGAATACTGCAAGCTCTATTTTCTTAACTGGCACAAAAGCCCTCTTCAATTTCAACACTGAATCCCCTTGGGGAGTCGTCGCCACCGGCGATACCAAATATACCTGTGAGTACTCGCCCCTGGAACGTCGCATACTGGTTTGAATACGGACTAACGAACTTTGTCAAGCCTGGGATCCGATCTCGATCAACGCATGCCAAGGAAGTAATGGATTCTCTGTCAAAGGCAACAACTTCCAGTGGTCAGAAGACAGCAGCTTCGGTGGATGGCTCGGTAAGGCCCCAGCGTCGTTGCTCTCCCCCAGAAGAAGATTTAGTCCTAACATTCGATAGTCTGCGACTGGTATCACAATGTGCCCCAGTTGTTCTACTTGAACCGCGATCATGACGCCGCTATCCCCTCCAGTTGCAGCAAGGTCCAATTGAAGGTGGAGTATATTAAATAGACACGGTAGCATTGAATTTGATCGCTTTGCATAGCACTACATGTGATGATTGTTTAATGACTTACATTCTACTAGATGGTAGCAAGTTTGAGTGAAAAGTTGCGCCGAATTACCTTTAAAATTGGACGTGGCTTGTTTCTGTGCTATGCAAATTCTGCTAGTAAAGCATCGGGATACCAAATGGAAAAGACACTAGTAGGAATAAAAGGTGATGCGCGAAGCACCGTGTCATATTATGGTTGAACTCGACTGACTCCACCTCGAGTTGTGAAAGTCATGTACTTGTTGATGGCTCTATCTGCCTTGGGAACGCACATACTTGCCCTAGGAGTTGTCTTGCCCCCGGAGTCTTGGTCGGCTATTCCCAGGAGCAACATGGCTGCCAGATCATAGTTGGTTATGATTAGGAACGTGTGGAAGGGAGTTGCATTTCCGACCCTCAGGGGTTGTTATTGCGACATGATTCGGCTGCGCCGAAAGCTACAAAAGAAAAGCTCAACCAGCGGAGTCTCTTTTGTGGTTCTACGAGCGCTGGAGCCTAGATTCATCGGTTACAGTCCGCTATTATTGTCCGATATGATAATGAGTGTTCTCATTCCAGCACCTTTGGCGATGTACGTGTGGTGAACGGTGTCACATATCAATGTCGATACTGTATCAACGTTAATAATAAAACACCAATGAACACCGAAAGCATGTGAATCATCTGCCCATAGAAGATATCTACAGTACGTCCCGAAACTGGTGCAACCGCCTACACTCTTCAGGTGATTCTCTAGCCCCACCGCCAAGAGACACTAGAACGTATTGGGAATAACCCAGGAATATCAATATTCCTGTACCAGTCTCGATACCGTGATTTACTATTATTAAAATACGGTGCCTCGTCTCGTAATTGTATTGGCGATCCAAGGGAACTAGAATTTTCCATGGAAATGCAAACAAGGCAAACAATAGAGCTGAGGAGTTCCTCGACAATCTGGCGACCTGTCACCTCCCTCCCGCTCCTGTCCAAGTGACGGTCTGGGGAGCTTACTCGGCACCAGACCTTGCAAATAGTGACTTGTATTACTTGGTTGCTGTCCCTGCAGACTACTCATGAACCTGCTTATCATAATACTCAGCCTGTCAGCCACAGTCCTCTCTTGACGTCCTGTAACACACTTGGTGGAAGCTAACACACAACCATGTTAATAGACTCCTCGGTGGCATCTTCTGCCTTGGGGGGATGACTTACACTCCTTTCAACAATGATGATGATGATGATGATGCTTACCGACCTGAACTGCCCAATCTATGGGAACGGACTCCCTCGTATGCCCCCACCCCTGGTTACCCAGACCGCGAATGGACGCCATCAGTAATCTGTCCTTCACCCGATCCCGAGGACATAGTTGGTGAATGTTCACCTCCCTTGCATCAACACCCGTCCGACCATCAGAGTTTTGATCCTGTGGTTGAACGTGCAGATGGAAATGCATGGGATGAACAATCTCCGGACTGTATCCACTACCAGATCGAGTGGAGGGTTAAATTGAACAATCGAGTTGTGGTCAAGGATACAAAACAAGACCTGACTCAACCGCCTAGATCCTACTGGGAACAGATAAAAGAGGACGCTTGTAATATTCTGCGACGGAAGACAGCCCGTGGCCGACGGGTGAGACTAGATGATACTGACATGGTCTTATCGGTGAACTCCCAACGGGACATTGACAAACATTTTGAAGGCACTAGTGTTGATTGGACAGCGGTGGAGAAACAGCTGCTAGCGTGGGCCTCTCTATTTCGTCGAGGCAAGACGATCCGGCTTCAGATAACGATCAACTACATAGAGGACAGTGGGTCTCTTCCTTCTAGAACAGACAAGAGAGGAAAGTCATCGGTGACTACAGTACGTCCCGAAACTGGTGCAACCGCCTACACTCTTCAAGTGATAATTTGGCCCCACTGCCAAGAGACCCTAGACCATATTGGGCCCCTATTCGGAATAACAATATTCCTGTACCAGTCACAATACCGTGATTTACTTTCATTAAAATACGGTGCCTCGTCTTGTAACTGTATTGGCGATCCAAGGGAACTAGAATTTCCATGGAAATGCAAACAAGTCAAACACTACAACAAATGAACTGCCATATCTTCACCATAATATCAACGCCCCGCATTTCAGCTGGAAGCTTTTCAGCCCGCTGATCCTCACGTTGGACCCGGGTACATAAACCACACCTGAGTCATGTTCTATACGTTCACAGATCTCCCGAAACCACTACTAATAGTAACAATCTCCATCTATATCGATATCGTCATGGCGACAGCAGTTTCATGTACAGTCAACGACGCAGTCTTCTGCGAGTATCATGTCGCGGAAGTCGTATGTATCTGCCCATTTACGGATTGCGATGCCCAGAAAATTTTGACGAAGCATCCTCCAGTGTAATGAGTGCGATGCCGATTATCGAGAGGAAAACGATTCATTTTACGGGGTGAGTATATCAACAATGGCTCCGCCATTTTTCCATCTCCCATTACGTGCTACTGAATACTCATGACATAAATCACTTTAGCTAAGCGACGCTGAAGGATACTTGGTAAATGAAGTCTGTTTTTATGTAGTTAAAGTGTGAGAGGTGCAGTCATGAGAAATGAATGATATATGTGGTTGATCTAATAAAACTAGATCGAGATAACACAATCCATCTCTTCGAGGTCGAGTGCCTGCTCCTGTGATTCTTTGAAATGGGGATTGTTAAAAATTCTTGTGAGGACAGGTGATTCTGCACATAGCAAGTCTGGAAACTCCCGCAGGGACTGAGCACTCCCGCAGGACTGAGAAGCCAAGACAGGCCAGTCCGAGAAAGAAAATTTAGAAGGCACACGCTTTCTCTGACTTTGTTCGTTTCAGGGCATTCGTTCATAAAATACATATTAAAAATTAGTAAGATTATCTTAAGTTAATGATAAGGAGGATATATTATTTACTTAAATAACAGGTTAATATTGTTAGAAACGCAGAAGTATAGTTTAGTCGAAAATGTAGGAGAAGGGTTTGGTCGAAAATGCAGTCATTATTTTTGACCAATTCCTCATTGGGAATTTCGGACCAAACCACTAATCCAGTTAGAAAACTTCAACCTCCCACCACGCATTTAATAAAATAGATAAAAATAAATGGGTTTCACATATAGATTCATAATAGATAGGAGAATAAATGAAAAATATAAAAATAGTAAATATCATCAGATAGAGGGTGTCGTATGTGCCAGTATTTGGCTAGTAGAGAAAGAGGCGGAAGTGGCAATCTAGGACGAGGACTAGTGGGAAAGCGGAGAGTTGGCAGACGATCTTGCCAGATCGCCAGATCTATCAAGCAATTCTACAGGATTTGATGTATCATTACAAATTCATTACAATACGTTGACAACTTAGTATAATCATTACGAACTGTTTTCTGCCCAATTTACAGAGCGGTGATACTAATCAGGATTAGCGTATCACGAAATTATTTTCCGGGAATCAAGTCGAAAGAGTTTGGGGTCAAACTGATTTCGAAAACTACTGTACCTTCCAAATGCTCATAGGAAACCCACCGTAGGGTGATCCAAAGGAAAGGTAGACTGAATAAGACGTAGATACCCGTAACGCGATCGGCGGATGACAATAATATGTACATGTAAAAGGAGCACTATCTGGTAAATTTCCAATTCTGCATCGTTTACAGGTAGATCTTTGGCAGTGAGGTTCGTGATGGCGTTATATTATATTACTTCTTGCGTATGTTACAGAGCTTCGCCTTGTCCGTCTTCTCCTTTTTTACAGCAATACTATGATTGGCATCCTTTAATTATAATACACTATTGTGCGAAGGAGACGTAAGTTGTCGCTTACTTTTCTGCGTTATAATAGCGCGTATATAGCGTTTATTTTAGCAACAGTTTTAGCAGCAATACTAGTACTCTCAGAGGCTATCTAAGCGTGATGTAAGACACGCCTAGAAGAAGACAACACTTATGCGAACACGACCAGTACAGAACCGGACAGCTCTGGATCCAACAGTGGACACGTGACCCCCAAGGAGATTCGACAGATCATTGAACAACTGCAACACACCATCAATAAGCAAAGCGTGCTGATCCAGGCGACTAGAACCGAGCTGCGGGAAGTGAGACACAGCCAGAGCGAGCTACAGAACCAGAATGAAACGCTACGGGAAGAGATTCAAGCGAAACGTGAGGGAGATTAGGTTGAGTTCCTACCGTGAACACAGACGAGCAGGGGTCAGCTGGGTGGGGCTGACCCTACACAGACACCCCCGCCCGGACTCAGTTCCCTACAGGGTGATGACGTGTCTAGTGACGCCATTTACCAGCGGAGTGGGAAAGTGCAGATGCAGAAACTCCATTCAGCGGGATGATGCATCAATCATATTCCAAAAACTGGAGAACCCGGGAAAAGCCGGGCCCTAGTTCGTGATGATATAAAGAGGTCCGCTTGCGCTCATCTCCACGTAGTATTATAAAAGGCTATATTCCAAAAGTTGGAAGCAATATAATCTTTTATTTAATTCCTTGCGAAAGCCTATTATACTTCAAAACAGACAAACATTCGCTTCAACATCAGCCCATCATGGCGGAGAAGTTCATTGTAAGACACTCTCATTCACACCCTATGGAGATTTCATTAATTAGTTTTAGGTTGTCTTCAAAGACAATGTTACACCAGATGTGATCGACCGTTATGCAGCAAGGGTCGAGGAATTAGGTGGTATGATGATTCATAGATATGATGGTACAACTTTGAACGGATTCGCGTTCGTGTTAACCTTAACCCCCACTTCACATATAAGTATGCTGATTACAAGACCAGCGCCGATCTTACCGAGCAGTGTCTGACTTCGTTGCAAGGAGACGATCTCATTGACTATGTCGAACCCTCGGATTGACGTTTATCGCCTTTAAAACCTCGAAGTGAATGTGAAGGGAATCATTTTGCTGTCAAATCGGTGAAATGGCCAGGTGTCCGCTTACTTGCAGGAAAGTGTTCTACAAACTATGCTAGCACAGTACGGCTGGTTAGGTGAATTTAATGGTGAATCTTACCTTGAAACCATAGAAATACAAGTCATGTTTGCCTGACTTACTCAGATCTGAGCTCACAACTTTTGCAGCTTATTGTACAGCTTATATTCAGTATTCGGGCGACATGCTTTACGGCTAGCCGCGGACCCCTTTTGAACCACTAAACCTACCACAAAAAGTAGATATTTGGGGCTGCCAAACACTCTTATATTACGGCGTACCTAGTACCACAACAATCAAGATTTACTACTATCGAAAATTCAGAGTGGAAGGTGTACTTTTACGGAGTAGCTATGTTACCGCACAGGGGCTTCGCACACTGGGCCGGGTTCGATTCTAGAGATTTGCCACCAATCAACCGAAAGCGGTCGGAGACACCCGCACCGCTCCGTAGAGATGGCTTAGCGGTACATAATGATCGAGGCAGTCGTGATTAGGTCGGGTTGTCTCGGGCGGGCATAAATGTTTCGTCTATACCAACCATTGCTACACTGCTACAAATGGAGACGAGTGAGATATGTAGGCCAGTACGGGGCACCTGCAGTCTGAACATGGTGATGTAGGTCTCCTTGACAGAAGGCTTCAGCACAAAAAAATGGTCTGATCTTCCTTCTCTACGTCATCAGTGAAATTTGCAACTTGCCGAGATATCGATGAATTTGATTTCGAATAACTCCGAAGTACGAAGCAATGTGCGCAGTGCTACACGGGCGGAAGATCTGATCAGCAGTGTTGACGATCTTGGCAAGAACTCCACCTGAATGGGAGGCCTGCGCTAAGTTCACTCCCTCATCTTTACAGCTTGCTTGGCATCTAGAAGGGGCAAGGTGCATGTCGATCATTCATTGGACGGACGACCCACAGTTTATTCTTCCTAGCGGCGTTCGGCCCTCCCGAGGAGATGGTGATCGCTCTAACCCTGAGCGAACCCGCTGATTTCTGCAGTGCATGACGTAGATATAAACCGCACATCATTCCTGCTTTTCCAAGATATACGCAGTTCAGCTGAAGTTCTAGTCGCCACTTTCCTCCAACTCATCTATTCGAAGAAAATTAGCTATTGACCACCGCACAAACAACACCGTATTCAACGTTACTTAGTTTTTACTCCCAATATCTGTTCAAGCCACTTACAATCCAGACTGTGACCAAAACTTTCCTCGTCTCTATCACATACTGTACAACAATCCTATTAAGGTTGATATGTCTTTCATGGTGGAAAAAGTCAAAATCTTCTTTTTGAAGGGGAGCCGATCGAAATCATGAATGGGCAGCAGCATACTATCCCGTCAAAAAAGGCACAGAGAGTTGTCGTTTTTTCTAAAGATGGGAGCTCACGCCTCTACAATGCGAGTCAAGGGTATGACTTCAAAGAGAATGTACCTGTTACATTTAGCGGTAAGCGTACGACCTGTCTTAATATCTGGAGAACCCTTGCTTACTATAAACTAGGCCCAACACAAGATGGCGTGATTTCTGCTCTCACTCCGGTAGGACTGGGAGGAAAATGGAGGGCTGTGGAATAATCTTGCCGAGATGTTCTATTCCTGTATCCACTCACAAATATATCTCTTTTCATTAGATTTGCGGGTAGAACACAAATTCAAGCCTGCAAGCAAATTTAAATATTGTAGTCGCCAATGTAACTCCCGAACTAAAGCAGGTCAGAAAGCAGGTCCGGGAAATACATAAGCATGTGTCGGTCCGGGCGGAAAAATGATTTGATAGTCAATTTAATGGGATTGCTTTAAAGTTAAGCAGCGAAACTGTCTCGAATTTAGTCACGCTACATCTCCTCTATAGTCAACCCTGCGTGACGGAATGGCCTTCTGCGCTTTCCTTCCTCGCGCCGACCCATCAACACACCATTCGGGAAGGTGTCAAAATCTGGTTCTGGATTTTCTTCGTAGGAATACCAATACGCCGGATAAAAGCCTTGAGCTCAGCGAAAAACTCAATAGGATTCAAATCAGGAGAATATGGAGGCAGATACACTAGCGTTACGCCAGCTTCTGAGCACATCTGTTCAATTCTGTCCGAGTAATGAAAGGATGCATTATCCATCACTAGCACAGACTTCGGTTCAGACAATTTCCCACAGTGCTGGAGAAACTGTTTGATAAAATCCTCAAAGACGGATGCGTCAGTTGAACCCTGGAACACTCTAGACAAAACAATGCCGTCTTGTATATACGCAGGCAGGGTTTGATAGCGCTGATCACGATGAAATTTCGACAATTGAACCGGTGCAGTACCAAGGGGAGACCAACCCGTTCGCTGGAAGCCTATTCGTTTATCACATCCAGATTCATCAACATAGACAAGATGGTAAGACTTGAAGTCTGATATAAAATGATGGTATTCGTCCCGGAGATCAAGGTTGCACTCTCGGGCCTTGATATATGCCGTATTTTTTGACCAGCCTTTGGATATGAGGACGCGACTTACGCTAGATTTCGTCGCTTGAAGAGCGAATTCGTCCCACAGTAAAACCACCATCTCTTCTAGATATAAGGTAGTTTTTTCAATCACATAATCACGCAAAGTCTCGAGCATGACTGGAGTGGTCGTCCGCCTTTAATTAGCGGTGCTTTGACGCTGCCAAACACTCTTATATTGGAAAAGATTTTTGAAATGATGCTCTTGTTGCAGCCAGCGACGCGTGCCATCCCCCTCAGTTATAGATAGTTCGTCACTGTGGATCATGTCATAGATAAGCTCATGTTTGGAAGAGACTAGGTTTGGAGCCATCTTTGGTTGGACCACTGGTGATTGATTGTCAAAGTGCCTCCCGAGGAAAATGTGCTGCGGGTGAGGGGCATGGAGATGTCAAATGTATTGAATTTACAAGCTAATACACGCCTAAACTTACTATGTAATATGCTTACGAAGAAATACCTGCACAACTGTCGGAATAATTCCAAATATAGACTAAGGTTTCTTGGCAGTGGGGCTAAATAATCACTGAAAGAGTGTAGACGGTTGCACCAGTTTCGGGACGTACTGTATCTGAGCCGTGTTGCTCGCATCTTTGATAGTGGGACTTGGTTAAATTTGCTCAGTGCAAACTCGTTTTTGATCGGCCGCGTTGATCCACCAAACAGTGGCAGTTGTCGCACGGTTGGAAACAGATCCTAACCTTGTTGGCAAAATAAGCTCAACAGAGGAGACAAAAAATTGGTGGCTACATTTTCCTGAGGAACGGCTCGGGAGTTTGTCAACCAACAGCAAAGCATAGCTTCCTCGTCTCACGATTTCACCAAAATTGAAATGGCCTATGTACAACCTATCACACATCTTGGAGATGTTGATAGTATATTTGCCCCGTTCTACAGGACAGTAAACCCTGGGAACGCACGGGGGGATTCCAGGACCCGCTTTACTCCCAAGACATCGGTCAAGTTTTCCGAGGCCGTCAACCTTAAAGATAAGAAGTGTGCTTCAACTTGAAACATTGTTATCCAGTAAATTCGTATAAGGATTGCCACTAAGGGAGCAGATAATTAAAAGGGGAACTGGGGCGGCTCAGTATCAGCTGCGCTGCTCTTTGTAAGGCGGTCTTTGTTTGAAGAGCACACAGCACATATAAGCTTCACGGCGCCCGAAGATATTGGCCTGCTTCATCTCTCCCTGCTGCTTCTTTACTTTGTTCAACTGTTCCCATGAACGAGACCTGCCTCACCTTCTTGCATTCGGTAAATCTGTTCTTGCACACACAAAATGCCTCTGAATACTGCTGGGGCCGTGATCCGGATACGTCTCGTCATTTTCTTCCTTACCACCACCTGGCTGGCCCTTGCCAGTCTCAGTTCGGCCATTATACGCTTTGCGGTCGTCCTGAAAGACCGACCGCGCAAAATCTGACCTCGTCACCCCGAGCGACTCTATTTTGGACATCACATTCCAAAACCTCATGGACAACGTCGTCGAGGGCATGGTGATTGTGGCCCTCATCTCAGCCATGTTTTCCATCTTCGGGTTCTTCCTTGTGATCTACCCAAAGTGGCTACAAGAGAACTGCAACATTCGAGTTTACTACGGTTGCGTTCAAATCGTCGTGAGCTTGGCCGTTCTCTCCCTAGGGGGTTATGTTGCCAGCCACGTCCACGGTTTTCAGACATCCTTCGAGTTTTTTGACAGTGAGGGCCACTTTCCATACTACAAGATTATGTATTATGGGGCCGTTGGCCAGGCCGCTTTCGGATCTCTAGTGGTCATCTTGTCTCTCGTACGTTTTGTCGTACGTGACTTATAAGGTCCCTAGCAGAATACGCACACTGAACCGACAAAACAGTGAAAGTGGCGGTTCGAAGTGCTTCGCCAAGTAGGGCCGTGAAGGAACTAGGTAGGGAGCATTTCGAATGAATATTATCGCAAATGTTCATGATGAATTTTCGATGGATGAGTGAAGGAGATGTGGAATTCGAAAATATTAGAGAAATACGACGGTCAAAGTCATGGAAAGGAATGTATCTACTCCAGAGTTGCTAAGATAATTTAGCAAGTGAATTTAATGATTGGAATTAAAGCGTGTTCATCTCTTGATCTGACTAGCCGGCCCATCGTGGCCAGTCTTGGAGCAGTATTCTGAGTAGCTTGATGTAAAGGACAAGTAAGATACAGTTACAGGAAAGTGCAAAACCAGCTTCACCGTTTCACTCTTCCCTGCATTCTGGGCCCCACTGCCAAGACGCTAGCTCAATAAACCGAGTGCAGAATATAGGAATAGTAAATAGTTCAAACGCCTTTACTATAATTTTATCTAATCAAGCTTTATCATGTACTCAACTCAATTTGTTAAAAAAGAAAGGAACGACTCTCGGAATACGAAAGGGGCTTCATAGTTTCAGTCTAAGCGACGATGTCAACGTCTCTGAGCAGACGATGACTTTTATAAGCTTCTAAAAATGGACACGCAAAGAAAACGGAGAATGGAGATAATTTACACAATTCACGCACGAAACTTGAGGAAGGAAATCCGCCCTGATTTGTGTCCTAAAGCAAGTGCACCACGCTTGGTCGCAGAGCACATAGGCCGGACCTCGGTAGGAAGCCACAGAACCTTTTCTCCATTCAATTTGATCCACTGCCTGTGCTCAATGGAGATATTCAAATTCATGCAATGTGAATTGAGCCTAGGACAATCATTCTTTCGTTGAATATCGAGGAGGCCTAAGTTTGTGTTTAGATATGGACTATCTTGAATAAATTCAAGATGAGTGGCGTCCCCTTCCACATTCCAAGTCTGCTGTAAGTCGCATTTCGTAGTATCCCAGAGCCGCACTGTTCTATCATAGGAGCCGGACGCCAGTAGCCGCCCTTCAAGTGAGAAACTCACCGAACAAACTGTGTCTGAATGGCCCTCGAAGGTCTGTTGAAGGGTACCCGTCGAAAGGTCCCAGAGCCGCACCGTTTGATCATTAGAGCCCGTTGCCAGTAACCGCCCATCGGGTGAGAACGTCACTGACTTAACCGAGTCTAAATGGCCCTCGATGATATATTGCAGAGAACCCGTCTTGAGGTCCCAGAGCCGCACTGTCAGATCGCGGGAGGCGGACGCCAGTAGCCGCCCGTTAGGTGAAAATGCAACTGAATTAACTGGATATGAATGGCCTTCGAGAGTTTGTTGTAGGGCGCCTGTTATGGAGTCCCAGAGCCGCACTGTCTGATCGCAGGAGCCGGACGCCAGTAGCAGCCCGTTAGGTGAAAAGGCTACTGATGTAATTGAGCGCAAATGGCCCCGCAGGGTCCGTAGCATGGCCCCTGTCGTAGGGTCCCAGATCCGCACTGTTTTATCATAGTGACCAGACGCCAGCAACTGTCCGTTAGGCGAGAAGGCTACTGACCAAACTTCGTCCACATAGTCATCGCGACTTTCTTTTGGGCCTCTTATCGTGGGGTCCCAGAGCCGTACCGTTCGGTCGTTAGAGCCAGAAGCCAGCAGCCGCCCATCGGGCGAGAATGCTACTGACCAAACCCAGTCTAGATGGCCTTCAAGAGTATGTTCTAGATCGCCTGTTGTAGGGTCCCATAATCTTATTTTTTTATCATAGGAGCCAGACGCCAGCAGCCGCCCGTTAGGCGAAAATGCTACTGACCTCACCCATGTTAAGTGGTTGCCGATAATTTTCAGTGGGTCGCCCGTTATAGTGTCCCAGAGCCGTACTGTTCCATCGTAGGAGCCAGACGCCAGCAACGGGCTATCGGACGAGAAGGCCAATGACTGGACTGAATGTGTATGGCCTTCGAGGGTCCGTTGAAGAGTGCCCGTCGTAGGATCCCAGAGCCGCACTGATTGATCATCGGAGCCGGACGCCAGTAGTCGTCCATTGGGCGAGAATGTCACTGAGTTAACGTAGTCTAAATGGCCCTTCAGAGTCCGTTGCAAGGCACCCGTCGTAGGGTCCCAGAGCCGTACTGTTTTATCATAGGAGCCAGACGCCAGTAGTAGCCCGTCAGGCGAAAAGGCTACTGATGTAATCGAGTGAAAATGACCCCGCAGGGTCCGTAGCATGGTACCTGTCGTAGGGTCCCAGATCCGCACTGTTTTATCATAGGAGCCAGATGCCAGTAAGCGCCCGTCAGGTGAGAACATCACCGACCAAATCAAGTCTGAATGGCCTTCAAGAGTCTGCTGAAGGGAGCCAGTCGAAAGGTCCCAGAGCCGCACTGTTTGATCATCGGAACTGGAGGCCAGCAGCTGCCCGTCAGGTGCGAAAGTTACCGACCAAACCAAATCTGAATGTCCTTCAAAATTTTGTAATTCTGCGCTCCATGTTTCCTCCACTTGCGGTAATTGGCATAACCAAATAGGAAGTTCTGTGTTGAACTCTCTACGAATGATTGCCATTCGAGGTGCAAATACCAAGCTTGCACAATAAATCTGAAGAGGCGCCTTATCGGCTATATGTCGATTTTTAAGAATAAAGCGCTTTGCATCATGTACAAAGACAGCGAGTGCGGAATCGTTATTGTCCTACACCCTATTAGTATAGATCACTAATTCACGAATAGCATCGACTCTATGACTCACTAATATAGTCGTGTGAAGGAGATCAAGCATACCCACCACCTCCGATATAAGACCAAGCAGGCTCATGGCTTCCACCCAGTGCAAGAAATGCTTCTGGAGGAATAGTCGCACTTCTTCTATCTCAGAATGAAAAGCCTGACTATGTTCAAAATGGTATATCCAGTAACGACAAGAGTATTGTAATTCCGGTGGTAGATGCTGGCGAATATCTTGAGGGTCGATGTCTGCCCTATGCGTTCCAGGGCTCGCTAGATTGCATATATCTTTCTGCAGGCGACTCCGCATAGTTTTGAGACACGACTTGGCAATGTCTTTATGCTTTCTTGGCTCATCAACAGTAAACTTGGGCCTAGGCTGGACCAAAAAGTCCCGAAATGATAGATGTAAAATCCTAACAGGCTGATCTCGGTCATCAGGAATGCTTAAAACCGACCGGAACGAATCCAATCGATTGCTGATCTGATCTGCTCCTATCCCAAGAAGAAGCGACAGCGCATTTATAGAAAGTGGAACAGCAAGAAGGATGATGACACCGACTATTCCCTGGAACTCTTGCAGGAGCTGCTGCTGCTCCAACTCATCACTCTCTTGATCGTCCAGTAGTCGCGTCAGAATCGGCAGGTATGTCTTGTCCATTCTTGATACATATTTGGCTTGGTCCATTATAAGCTCTGCGAGGCGCAATTTGGGTTCGCATTTTGATTTTTCAATGTGACGGCACACGGTGGCAGCCGAAATAAACAGTGGAACGGACATCGCAACCAATTTTTCAATGACGTCATCGCCGGGCCAGTCTGGGGAAATATTTCTGTCGTGTTTGATCTTCGTAAATCGGTCTTGTAGGAACAAACGTATATCATGTTCTGTCACTTCTTCGGGTACCTCGTGAAGAGCTACGTGCTGGTAATCATGATCCGCGATATCTGAAAAACCGAGGCTGATGGGGAGTTCAGGCCTACTAGTCAAGAAAATCCGAAGGTGAACCGTTTTTGCGTTTTGTAGAAGAGGCAGTAATCGAATTATGTTTCGGACATCTTCATCACGTTCACATTCGTCTAAAGCGTCGATCACCATCACTGCGATTTGAGGTTGTCGGCCGAGTTGGTTGAGATTGAGCAGTGGTTGAAGGAGTAATTTCTCAAACTGCTCCCTAAGCGATTTTGACGCAATGTCAGGGTCATGACGGAGTGCCTCTTGTACGCCAAACCTCATTCCAGAAATCCTGAGCATTAGTTGCCTCGTTAGTGTTGGGAAAAACTTCTTCGCGTTGCCTCGGTCCCCTTCGCCCCTCTTAAAAAAGAAGCTGGCACCTAGATGGTTGGTGTCCTTGAGCGACCTTGCCACAGTCCGAGATATCGTAGATTTTCCTGTCCCAGCCATTCCCTTTAACCAAAAAATGCTTTTTGGGGAGGGCGAAATAACCCATTCCATTATCTGCCGGATCAGCTCGGTCCTGGTGCCTTGGAGACATTGGACTTCGTCTCGATCGGAGAATGACTCAAACCCTGCCTCCATTGCACCATCCAACTGCCCCAGATCTATATCCTGAGCCAGGCCAACCATCAGGGAGCTATGCAGTCTTGAGTCAATGATACAGAGTCATGATATCGTGTTCGATAAACGTACGTCTGATCTACCTGTAAAGATAATAGAAATGAAGATTTATATCTCTCGAGGTTCTGAACAACACCCTCTACCTCTGTGCGTTTCAGCGGCCACTTGAAGGCTCGTAAGCCCAATTTCCTCATCAGCTTCTTTCCCTTTCCTAGATCAAGCCTCGCTTCTAAGGCTTGGAGGTCGGAGAGGCACTCGGTTATATTGCTGACTAGTCGCGATGAGGTAGGTAGGGCCTTTCCGTAGTTACTTTCGAGGAATTTCTGCAGGTCTTGGAGGGTGCCTCGGAGGTCTGCAATCACCCGTTGTAATGTGAAAACTTCGTCTCGTGCATCTTGCACCTCTTGAATGTACCCCCCACAAAGCTTCACGAGGCTTCCCGTTAGTTGAATGACCGCAATAACGCTCGCCGCCGAGGATAAACCATCCATTTGGAAGGACACGGTATAAAAGCCTATGTTCCACGTAGGTAGGTACGATGGCGACTCAAGTGTAGAATTTCGGGTCCGGATTCATAGGTTGGGGTTTTCTGGCACGATAAAGAGGGGTAGGTTAGGCGCCGGGCGCGAAGCAGTGATCCGAGAGTGCATTCAGGCGCGTGACTAATCATGCGTTCCTCTAGCACGTGAAAGAATGGACTAAGGGGCTAAGGATACAATTACCAGCAAATCATAAAAAGCGAGGACTGTCGTATGACTTAGGTGAAATACCACGACTTGAATCTATCGTGCTCAAGAGAATACAGACGGGAGTGGTTGTCGGCCCGACCATCGGCCCGAACCGACCCAGACCCTCTCGTTGCCCTGCGCCCCTGGCCACCCTCATTCAACTTCTGGTTAACAGCGCGACAAAGGCCATCATGGCGCCCCGAATTGCAGTGTCCCAGCTTGTGATGATCCGCGATATGATCAGCAGCAAATCGCTGACCACTTCTCAGATGGCCGAAGCGGCTGGCTGCAGCAAACGATCGATCATAACCATCAGTGCTAACCTCCGAATGTTTGGCGACGTTCATGCACCCCTGATCCCGGGCGGCCGCCCCCGTGTGATCATATCCGTCATGCTCGAGGCGCTATGCGACCATTTGCTAGAGAAACCAGATTTATACCTATATGAGATGGCAGAGTTCTTGTACGATGAATTCGACGTGATCGCATCCAGGTACACTATCAGTCGGGCTCTTCGATCGCATGGTTGGTCCATGGAAGTGGCCCGACGGATAGCACAAGAAAGAAACGCGGATCTGAGAGATTACTATATGTATCAGCTGTCCGATTTCCGCTCGTATCACCTAGTCTACATAGATGAATCGGGTTGTGATAAACGGGCTGGCTTCAGGAGGACGGGCTGGTCTCCCCGCGGGGTGGCCTATCCAGATTTCCCGTTTTCAAAGAGGTCAGCGATACCAGATTCTCCCGGCGTATTGCCAAGATGGCATTTCGATGTCGCGAGTCTTCCAAGGATCGACTGATGCTAGCATGTTCGAAGACTTCATTGAACAGCTTCTCCATCACTGTGGTAGATGGCCAGAGCCAAAGTCTGTCCTTGTTATGGACAATGCATCTTTCCACCATACTGATCGAATCAGAGAGCTATGCTCAAATGCCGGTGTCAAGTTGTTGTACTTACCACCGTACTCCCCTGATCTAAATCCGATCGAGGAGTTCTTTGCAGAGCTGAAAGCATTTGTTAGACGAAATTGGCAAAAACAGACAGATCAAGATTTCAAGGATTTCCTTGAATGGAGCCTGGATGTGGTGGGGGCTAGAGGAGAAAGTGCAGAAGGTCATTTTCGACATGCGAACGTTGAGGTTGAAGAGCAATGAAATATATATACTGTACATTGCCTACTATAGAGAGATTACGACCCTTTTTCCCCTCCGTTCCAGTGTGTTTATTTGTAGGCCAAGAGATTTGTAGGCCAACAGGGAGTTAGGGGTGAAAGTTTAGAGATGTTCTGCTGTCAGATGCTGGCGAAGAATATGAAATATAATCCGACGTTTTTGCCTACAGTGAATTGCACACATTTCTATGCGATAATCCATGGCCATGTGAAGCAGAGTGCTCATGACGTAATGTACGAAGGTCCATTTAAATGTACCCATTTCTCAAGCTAGCGTCTTGGCGGTGGGGCCAGAAATTAAGAGAAGAGTATGAACCGGTGAAGCTGGTTTTGCACTTCCCTGTAACGATCTGCTATGTGGAAATACCCATCATCCTTGGTATTTGTAAGGACCTTAAAAAGCTGACCCTAAAAATATGTGAGTCGACCAGGAATCACAGAGCCCCAGGAAATCAAACATAGCCAGTGCTAGGAACGCTCATCTTGGCCCTGGGAGTTCTCCTGCTCCCAGAGGCATGTGTGCGATTTCGGGGAGCATATAAGCAGCTTCTAGGAGCCACGTAGCACCCAGGAAACCGGACGTAACTTCTGGGGTCCTGTTGCTCAGCCTTGAGGAATCAAAGTCGTGTTCCTGTTGACAGCTTCATTAACTCCTGGAACCTTAAGTGTGGTTTGTGAGGGTCTCACGTATACATAGAGGTGGATAGTGTTTCGAGATGAATAATCAATATTAAATAAAGCTATAGTCGACTCTAGATACAAGACGTAGCGCGAGGAAGCAAAAGGAAGGTAGCTTCCTCGCGTTCAGGGGAATTTTAAGGTCCAGATTTGAGTGCCTTAAGTATAAATAGCGCGGGACAACTTCTTCCTGATGGTTAATGAAATCCAAAACTAACTATATTCGGCTCTAGATACAAGACGTAGCACAAGGAAGCAAAATCAAGGCGGCGGCCTCGCGTTCGGAGGAACCCTGATGCCCCATGTTGGTCCACATATCATTTCTCCACGCATCGCGTATGCTTCATGTGTAACCCTAAAAAGTGCGACTCGAGCTCCCAGGAATTAACAGCCAGGAATGAGTCGAGAAAGTGGCCAAATGAGCCCGGATTTCATTGCTCAGGTATGCAATCAGGACGCAGTGAAATTTAAAACCCCAATCCAAGCTTTCTCAAAGATCTATATATTGCACTCTTCCTACATGACCATAGATACCACACCCCGAATTTCACCATCATCCTGAGACGCATCTGCAGTTATTTCTCATCATGGCCTGGGATCCACTTCATCTCCAACGGGTATTGGGCCAAGTATTGGGCGATCCCTTGCACCGTGAGCGGTGCATATGGGTGGCAGATGACGGAAATCACTGTCAAAACACCGTGCCGATTGAATCCCGGATAAATGGAGTATTGTGCTTTCAGCTCTCCCAGAACTCTTCTTTCGCATATCCTTTACCGCAGAGATTATCTTTGGCTGTAAAGCAATTCTTTTGTTTTGAGTGCAGACGCCATAGCTCTCGACGAAAGGCGTGGGCCAACCGAATTTTGCGTTTGTTAGATGCTCGCCTGGATCAAGCCAAAGATGTCATGGGTCAATCGGAAACTCATGATTCGCCTCTATTGGTACATGCGTGGCCAAGCAGTATGCCCTACAGCGTTGACATTGCCGTATTCCCCAATGAGGCCTTCTCAAAAACAAGGATAGACTGCCCGAAGAGGCAAATCGAGCGGTGCTTAGGTTGGCCGGAGCCGTGAAAATCCGTCGTCCGGATTTTTTCCAGACGAGAAACCCCTTCAGTTGAGCTGTATCCGTTACATGCCTCCAGTGATAAGCACGGTGTTCTCCGATAAAGAAAGTTGATTGACGTTCTCTGGCAACTGTCGCATGTTTCCCACGGAAGTGGCCACCCGAAAGCTTTTGCTTTTTCACAACCCACCCGTGCAGCCTGCTACGCTCCTCGCGGGATCTGAGTCAGATGATGAGTTGAGCTTGACTCTGTTTTGTGACGCTCTGTGGTGATGGATTGCAAGTCAATCGGGGTGTCTGTTGTTTCTTTTTCATGGTTTTTTATGTTTGTTGGGGACACCTCTGGGGATGGGGCAGCTGATCGCCGCGTGCGTTCGGATTCAGAAGCGGTGGCAGGGATATCTGGGAGATATTTTGATCGACTGGGAGAAAAGACTTTGAATGAATTTTGAAGCTTTCGCTTAAGCTTTGGGAAACAAGAAGTTAACATTTTTTTGATAAGTCCCAATTGTATTTGCGCTTGTAGTGTGTAGAAGACTGATAAAATGGTAGTTTGAGGAGATCTTTAGAGTTGGGAAGTGACTATTACATCCGAAGGATCATTGGGAACCGGATAGAAGACGATAACTCCGGTCAAACGATTTTGGCGCCGTTGCCAGGGAGACACTTGGGCCGTGGTCTGTAAAAGCGAGTGATATTTAATTTAGGTAACTCTCGTGATATGAAGCACTATCTGAAATCAAAATCTGCATCACCGTCGTTCAGATGGTTCGCAGTCACAATAACGTCACAATTAACTTCAACGAACTCTACTCGATTTAGGATCGAATGCATCAGGAATACACTTGCAGGCCATCATTAGGGATATCATCTGCAATGTATGTTGTAAGGCTTCACCTGTCGCCCAATTCCTCATATAACTGAGTATTTGGGTGAACAACAGGTGAGATCGAGCATCAACGGTTGACGTAACTGTTTACTGAACTATTCAGCGCTGTTGAAAACCAGACCCGAGGGGTTATGAGTGCAGTCACAGCAGCCTTGCTGTGACTTGCCGGTCTATAAAAGGCTCTCGAGCAGAACTTTTCCTCCATTTCATTTCCACAGCCACGATGGACAATCCCACCTCGCGTTCTCCAATTGATCGGCCAGCCAAGAGACAGCGTCGGATGTCCCAAGATGGAGAAGATGAGTCCTTGGAAAATCACCCACAAGAATCTTCAAACGGCACAATCATCGAGTCCAAGGTCAGTCATACCCTCTTCGGCAGGAAATGAACAGATACGCTAATACTCTGCAGTTCCCAGTGACACCTGGTGCCCTGACGGCGGAGTTTATGAAAATTCTACAATACAATGACACCCTCGCTACGCCAGCCCTGAAACTGGTTGACCTGTACTTTTGCCTATGGGAATGCTACGTCGTCAAATCTGCCGAGAAGATGCGACTTGAGGATGAGCAGCGACAGCTTCAAGAGTTGAATGAGTGGCTAGCAAGCGACAGTGACATCCTTCTGCAGCTTTGCGAGGAACAGAAACTGGTATTGTGGGATCGAAAACGAGCAGTTCAGGCCCTTTGTAACGGTGTGGTTTCAGCTTTGCAAGCGAGCGATCATCAAGCCTATCATGTTGATGGGAATTGATAAGGTCTCAGTATTGTTTGGCGCGCTTGGATAAGGACACGTTTGGATATTTCTGCTATGTATTGGTGCTCTCTACCAGTTATCTTCGCTGATTATAGAGAATGCGAATGCAATTGCGGATGAAATTAATCGGGTTCTGTGACGAAGTGTCAACGTTCCACAGCTGTTGATATTTCAAGCGCTTGGTTTTCGAGACCTTAGGATCTGGCCGTAAAGCCCTCCTAACGTGCCCTGGTCTTCTATAATTGAAGATAAATAAGATCTCTGCTCAGCTTGCGGCATCTTGTCCCTCCCAACCCGTTAAATGCTACTTTAGACACTTCTGTAATTTCCCACCAGCAGATCCTGAATTGAAATGGACGAAATGAGAGAGTATTTTCCGTACATGTTTCTTCAATGCTTGTTTTGTGCTAAAGTTAGTGGCGGTGATTTGGATCTCGACATTCACGCTATCTGGCAGAAGCTTTCTGGTATATTGGCCCGCCCTCATGTCTTGCCACGGATCTGGATCCGCGACTTATTATCTAGGATGAAACCGAGCCTGCAGAATATGGGACCGGGGGTCTCCCTTGAATGAAAGTTTTTTAACCCCAATAACGACAATCTGTCCGGCTTCAAGTGGACGGGTCAAGATTCTCCGTTCATTTCTACTCAGGCTAGCGATAATTTCTACATGTCAGCGTTCGCTTTTTTTTTCCCGAAGAGGTGCAATAGATAGAGCGTCGACTAGCTCGGTTTGGTTCGACATCTGGCGAGACTATAGGAGAGCATATATTCTTTTTTCCCTGGGTTGAAACGGCCCTGGGGAATCTGTGTCGGGTACGCAGGCAGGCAGTTGTTAGACACAGTCGCCCGACATAGGATTGGTGAAATAGCCATTAGCTTCCGCATGACCCTATGGCCTAGTATGGAGCCTCTACCGCATTCCACGATGGCTATTCATGCCCTTCTTACTGTAAATACGTGCCAAATATAGAATGCTTCCATGCGGTAATTCTCTTTCAATTGCGGCTCTGTCGTATTATCTCCAAGTTGTTAAAGTAAGACATAGGACAGATATAAACATGCAATGCTTCACTCTTCTCT